TGATTTCTTTCCTGTTGCTTTACCATACATTTTCATATTTCCTCTTTCAGAAGTGTACTCATTCCTAAATAAGGAAAACTCTTCCAAGATGCACTGTTTACTAAATTATATGAAATGGAGAATGAGTTCATATCCATTGTGTACCAACTTGGAAGCAAATTCTATTCTTTTCTTGAATCAGAATGCTATGTCAGGAGCATGGGCTGAGTTCATGTGCTCTTTCATTACCTAGAAGGCTTTTATCTATTTGGGTTCTGCAGAAGTGATTTGAGCTCTTTCAATATTCACCATCTGGGTATTTTAACATTCAGACCAGATAATGCACATGGATCTGTAGAACCCCCTGTGTGCACCGTGACAGAAAGTCTTCCTAACCCCATCCCTGTTTTTAATGCTTTCTTCATAGGCATTACATCTTGCAGAAAATAGTAAGCTACTACCACCAGTTTGCTTTTGGGTGGCTTCTGTTTCTATCCTATTTGTATGATAGAAATATTAGTCTTTAATTCAATGTAGAGAAAGTTGAGTTGGGATATAGATGTTGACACGACAAAGTAACATCTACGAAGTAGAGGAATAGTTGTCAAGTTTCCTGTTTGAAAAAGATCTTCAACTTCTGAAACAGGAAGAAGATAGCAAAGGATTGAGAGAGGATGGCTTGCTGTTTCCCACAGCTGGGCCAATTGGCCTTTTACGTCCATCAGACTGGCACTTGGTAATACATTTTTCCAGATTCAGACAAATTTACTGCCATTGCTCTTTTGAATTGTACTTTCTTCTGTTTCTACTATTGGTTATCTCAGAAGCTGAATAAGGCCAATATATTAGAACAATTTTCTAAAAAGGACAATAGGCCATTAAGTAATATTTTTTATTCATGAGTTATAAAAAGGAAACCAAAGCCAGCAGGTGGGGAAAAAAATACCACATAAAAGATTGATTTTGTTTTCACATTATCCCAAAAGAAAATTTAAACTACTAATATTTTCTGTAATCTGCATTACTTTTTACTGGAAAAAAATTTAAATACAGCTAAAGCACAATTAATTTAAATGGAAAGGATAAACATAAAAATAACATTAGTAACATAATGGCAACCTTATATCCTTAGAGTAGATTCATCTGCTCTATCATCATAGCTTCTGAGGGTGATGTAGTACTTTTAAATCAAATAGACTTCGTATTGATTCTTCTTAACACTCACCTGAAGATATCATTATTTATTAAGATGTAATGCTTAAATCAAGTATGTAATGATAAATAAGTTGATTGTAGGAGTATATGCATTAATTTGACTATATTATTACTTAGAATATTTTCAGAAATTACCCTATGCTAGCTCTCCTAAATTTCCTATATAATAGAGCCTTTAACATTTCTTCTGGGAAACTGAATCTCTGAAACCTATATTCAATCCATATTAAATACAGAATCATAGACCAGTGAAATTTGTACAATTTCTTGGCAGAGTGGGAAACAATGATCTATCTCACATGTTAAGGTTAAAATATTAAAATATTAAGATTATCCTAGACACCTTGTAAATGCTCAGCAAGTATTTTTCCTCTGGACCACAAAAAATATGCCACATATATTTCAAGAGTTCTAGATGTAATCATGAAAGGATGCATGGAAATGGACCGACATTCTATCAGTACAAACACTTAAAAGCAAAGCTCTGTTCTCCAAGAATGAGAAAACATTCAACACAGCAGCACAATTTAACAGTTTAACAATTTAACAATTTTCAATGTTAAAGTGAGGATATGCTATAGCTATGTTCAGTTTTCCATATCTGTGCCTGTGTTTATCCATTCAACCAGATAATTGATATAATTCTCCAATTTGAGTTATCTGTGTAAAGACGAATTTTAATATATTTTAGCCTGTAGAAATATGATTATGAAAATAGAAATAGAGCTCATTTACTAAAATTGTTTATCCCTTATCTAACTAACATGTTCAGATTGTGAGGGATATGTTGTAGCAATGTATGCCTTACAATCTGTAGGGACAGTGAAGCAGCAGGGACAATGAGTTAAAATTCTTCTTAGCAAATCCAAGGGAACTATCTTCATATCACAAAGTGCAGTGATGATAGAGGAACGTGACTCTATCACTCAAGTGTTAACAGGTCGTCTTACTGTATTCTATAGTTTTCGGTATGCAAAGACAATATTAATGTTTTGAGTCATCATCCCCTTTGCTACTATGAATATAGCAATGTAAAATACATTTCAAAATTCATTTTTGTACTGAGAAATAGAAAAGAGAAAAATATATTTTACATGTGTCTGAAATTTGTAATATTGCAATCCTGCAGCTTTCTGAGAAGACAAATGGTAGTAATGAAAATAGAATCATTATACAGAATTATCAATCCTTCTTAGCAGATTTAAAAAGAAGGCTAAGGAAATCATTCTAGTCCTAGCAACTAAAAAGACAGACTAAAACTGCTTCTAGAAAATAAGACTCCTTGTCTTGAGTTTCAACCATTGGCGCTTCCTTCGGGATGTTTGTTAAAAAAAAAAACAAAACCAAAAAGCCTTAAAAACAGGGTTTGGCTATTAATGCAGCTAATTCTTGTGTAGATAATTTCTTTTGGGTCTGAATTATCAAATCCTGTGTAGAGTACCAAACAGTTAACTATATATTAAGCAAAATCAAACTTCACTCTGACAACCTTAATTCAAGAAGCTGTAGACAATGAGTTATTCTAGTAAAAGTTGCAGAATCAAAGGCACTCTGTATGTCAAGACTGATCAATAACCCTCCTTGACCTATTTCTTGTCTCTCACTACACTTTTTTTCATAAATTTAGCCATGCTTTATTTAACAAGGGGTAATTCTGAGAAATGCATCATTAGGCGATCTATTTGTTATGCAAACATCATAGAGTGAACTTACACAAACCTAAATGTTACAGCCTACCACACACCTACACTAAATGTTAGAGCCTATTGCTCCTAGGTTACAAACCTCTACAGCATGTTACTGAACTGAATACTTCAGGGAATGTAACATGGCGATATTTTTGTATCTAAACATAGAGAAAATACATTAAAAATATGATATTATAACCTTAAAGGGCCACCTTCGTATATGGAAGATGGACACATCACTGATGGAAACATTGTTATGCAGTGCATGACGGTCATCTCATTCATTACCTCTATAAATCATACCTGTGTCCTTATTCCATCCACGAGCTCAGCTTGAATACCGGCTCCTTATTCACAAGTGCCTATTATGTGCTTTTACTCCATATATATTATATGCTTGATTGTATTAGAGAACAGAAAGGAAGAAGCCAAGGCCCAAAGAACTTTACAGATGAGCAGCAAAAGTCAGTTACCATTACCATTACACAAACAAAACAAATAAAAACAACAAAAACCTCAGTACAGCTCCTTTAAACCTTCTAATTTTAATTATTACTTCTGCTACACAAAAAAGGATGAATTGCTATGAAATATGACAAAGTTAATCAACCTATTGGAAGATACTTTTATTTGATATTGTTCATTGATAGATAATTTCTTTTTAGAAAAGCCGAGTTTTTGCAACATATTTAGAAAAAAATACATAACATCATTCTAATTCCTCAAGAAAAATTAATTTCAAAATACAATTGACTGAAACCTGTGCTGAAAACTATCTTAGTCTATAATTAGTGAAGTGTTAAAATAAGAATTAATCTTAAAAGCTAACATGAATTTTCATTAGGTAGGTGTTTTTGTTTAGAAAAATATCTAGAGAGGCCACTAGAGGGCAACGATTAGCAGGAAACTATTGAAAGTAAAATGTGTCAGAACTCCATAGAAAAGAAGAGGATGAAAAACTGAGGCAAATTGAGAGAAGATAATTATCAACGTGTTGCAAGATTGGACCGTTTGTTGGCAGAAAGCACCAAGGGACAGTATTTAATATTTTATTTCAAATTATTCCTTTTGCAGCAATATCAACTTAGGTCATCTCTTCCAAACATCAGTAAAGTCAACTATGCCAGCAAAGGCCTTCTGTGAATAAGAGGTATGTGTGTGTGTGTGTGTGTGTGTGTGTGTGTGTGTGTGTGTGTTTTGAAAATAAAGTAAGCTCTAAGTTCAGTGTTTGAGTAAACACGGTTAGGAACAGTGCCAATATATTATTTGTACCAATTTGCAGGGTTTTGAAAATAAAGATGCATATGTCAATAATTATACTGAGTATTTCCAGAAATCTTGGGGAGGCCCTTAAATTGCTCAAAAGACATAGGCCCTTAAATTGTTCAAAAGACATAGATTTTGTACCAAAATCATAGACTTTGTACCAATCTTGCAATCTTTAAGTGGCAAGGAAAATTTACCGCAGATTTTAGATTAAATGCGTACACACTTTTCAGTTACTGAGAAAAAGATTAGCACAGGGATTTTAAGGGCGTGGTTGTTCACAATGGAAGATGAAACAATCTTAGTAGGCAAGTATCCTCCCTTAATTACTAGAAATTTAAATATTTTCCCCAAAATAAGTAACAATGAAAAATCCCAGAAGAAAGAAAAATGTAGTCCAAAACATTTACAGAACACACTGCTCCTAAAAGTGGGGACACCAATAAAAGTAGTCTAGACCCAGAGTTTGTAGATACCAGGAGCAAAAGAATGTGAAGAGGCAACTAACTGCCAGTGGGGTCTATTGGGTTATCTGCAGAAGAATCATCCAGGCCGGGTGCCCCCACCCTCCGGCCCATCCACTGTGAGCCCCTCCTGTGAGCAGCAGCTCCAGGCCCCCTACCTCCAGATGGGTCCCCAAGAAGTGTATCTCACAGACAAGAAGTGTATCTCAATGACTTTGCCAGGTATTCTTGTTTCTATTTCATTTCCATTTACATTTTTATGACAAAAAGTAAACCATACTATTAATGCATCAATGTTGGTACTAATTCTGGAGCTGTGGGCTGGACAGATGTATTTAATCAAAACAGTTTTATTTTACAGAATTTTTAATGTATCTAAAGAGTCGTTAAAAGAGTTACAAGACAGGGAAGTCAGTATATCATAAGGCACCTGGTGATACTTTGTGCCTTCCTTAGAGAACTGTTCCCTCAGAATTCTGGAGCATGTCTCTAGACTTTGGCCATCTCTCTGCCACCTTGAAACTCCCTTTTGGGTCCATTTAATTTCAGCATACTGTCTCACTTCATGGCTTCCTGGGAAGGAAATTCAAACTGTTTATTAATGGGCCTAGGAGGAAATTGAAAAGAGTAGTGTATGGTTTGGGAGAAATTGGCTTGTAAAGGTGAAAGTTGTTTGCATTGATAGAATGCTGGTCTCCTTCTCACAAGGGCACTGTCCTGTCCCTGATTGGTGACTGATCTAATGGCTAAGCCCAGTGGGTTAAGAGAAAAAAAAAAAAGGCCTAGGAATATTTTAGAGGAAAATTGGTTGTTCCCTCTGCTCATGTTTCTATTCCATGGACATCCCAAAAGTTGTTCCTCCTGGCCTCTTTTCCTAATTCTCTTAACAGAGGGGATGTGTCTCTTGTAGAGGGGATATGTCTACTGGATTAATGAAGCTTATTAGCCCACGTTTCCTAATTGTGTGGACTTGTTTATAAAAAGTTGGGAGTCCTAGGGATTCCACTTCCATCTTTGCCCTCACCTCCATCTGCCTCAAACTCATGTATTGCTACAATTCTGCAAGAGGGTGTCTGCTCCACAGACCCAAACTTTCTTCTGCTTGTCTGTGCCAAGATCTACACTTGATGAGAGGCAACGCTCACAAATCTTTCTACTTTTCCTTAGTTCTTTTAAAGGTCTACCTAGAACCTCTTCTAGCAGTTTTCTATTGTGTTTCATAACCAGAGTTTTTTGTTTGTCTTACCTTGTAATTTTAAGCTCATCCCTCATCTGGGGTCAAGGAATTGGAACTGGAATTTAGAATTGCAAATTCTGACTTTGCATTCCCATAATGTCCAGCCATGATAGCTAGTATGGACCATGAGAGGTGATGTAATGAAGTCAAATCACATTAAAATACTGCAACGATAAAATACACAAATGCTTCAGTAATAAAAAGCCAGTATAAGATTCCCCAACTTTAATATAATCCCTTAGGATGTTTCCAGGGAGAAATCGACTAACAAAGTTAATCCCCTTGCAACCTAAAAGAAGTTAATGGAAATTAAATTCCCACAGACTGAAATAAAATAATCTTACTTTTGTGAGTTAACAGTCCACAAACTCAATCGTGTCTATGTGCAGTTTTGAAAAAGAAATATGCATTGTAGAAGGTTTAGCAACATACAGATTCTAGCCTCTACCCATTAGATGCTAATAGCAGACTTCCACCCCGCCAATCCCCTGCATTGCGATAACAAAAAGTGTCTTCAGACATTACCATGTCCTCTGGGTGGAGAACCAAAACTTCATTTGGTGGAAAACCATTAAATTAGTACCATACCACCTTAATTTCAGTAACTTTACATTTTACTAACTAGCAAAAGTTCATTTTCATTAATCTTCTTTATCGATGTTTTTGTTGGCTAGGCTCATCCTTTTAGGTTTCTAAATGAATTATTTTTAAATATATTATTTGTAATTTAATTTGAATTTATATATAATAAAAGTATTTTGGACATCAAATACATTATCTTGTATGTTTTATCAGAAACATGACATGTCTCCCCTTTTTATTTAATTTTTACAGTCCTGAATATTTTATATTTTTATCATTATTTGCTAATATGTTTTTCAATTATATTTTTAAATTGGTTTTTATATTACAGAGGAAAAAATCTTGGTTTTTATATATTTATATTTTTTCCATCCACTTTATCATCTCACTCATTCTAATATATTTGTGATACAGTCTTGAGTTGTTTTAGTAGACTATCATACTGTTTGCAAATAATATCATTTGTATCCACCTTTCTTAAACATAATTAATGAGTCATGAGGACATCTTTTCTTATTTCTGACCGTATGTAAAGAATGTCTTGAACTTCAACATTAAACATAGACTTATTGTTGATTTCACAATAATAATCATTATAATAAAAGGAGTATGCTTTCTGTTGGAGACAAGGTTTTGCTATGTTGCCCAGGCAGGTCTTGAATTCCTGGGCATAAGTGATCCTCTTGCCTTAGTCTCCCAAAGTGCTGGGACTACAGGCATGGGCCACCACACCCAGTCATACTATGTTAACTTTTGAATTAGAAATTAACATTTTATGAAGTGCTTTTGTGTCTGCCAAATTATAATTTTTCAATCTTTTGCTATATCTATATGACCAGTTGCACTAATAATTATCATCTTATATTCCTGAAGTAAGCATTATTGAGGTTTTGTAAGTATTTGAGTTTTCATGACTTAGAATCTGTAAATGTCTTGCATGAGACAAATCTGTACCACACTTACTATAGGAAGCAGGAGTACAGGTAACTCAAAACATGTTGTACAGGTAACTCAATGACATTTTGTCAACAGGGGAAAATAGATCTTTGCAGGTAAGACACAGCTAAGAAAAATTCTACTAAAGTGCTCTGTCTGGCCATGTTTGTGTGACATGCCTTACCTCTTGAAAATTATTGTGTTATTGTGAGAAAGAATGTGTACAGGGCGTAGAAAATAGCTACTATGTGAATGTTTTATACAATTAATTGGGAAGGTTTACAACTTTTTTAATGCTATGAATTTGCACATATAAGTTTTCTAATATGTTTTTACATTTTTATTGGGGAAATAAATTTTTGAAAATTTTTTGTATCTTGTATTGTTATTGAGCTATTCTGGCATTCTCTTTCTTCAAGTTTTAGTGCTTTTAATTGATGTTTTTCTATTCTAGAAAATTTGTTAGAAATATTTTTCTTTCTTATGGAATTAATTATTGATGCAAATAGAAATCACTTAAAATTAGAATAAATTACGTTATACTTGCCCGAATATATTTTATTCCTTTATATTTTTTGTGTCATATCTTTACAATATTAAAATTACTTTCAACTTGAAAGTTCATATGAAATTACTATACATTAACATAAAAGGCCAAAATCAATATAAAAATAAGTGGCATATATAAGACTATAAATGCTCAATTACTAAGGTCTGAATAAATTATGTAATTGTGTAACTAAATATCACTCAAACTCCAAGATTTTAACACTTATTGTGTTGGTGTTTTAAATCCAATATGGAAAAATAGAAATGTAAAATTTTCATATAAGGTTAATGTTTTATGCGAATTAAAATATTTTTTTCCTAAAAGGAGTTTCAGGTTTTAGTATTTTATTCTTTATTTGTATTTAAGAAAGTCACCTGGGAGAAGCCAGTTGGAAATATCTCTTACGACTGAAGCCAATTTAAACAGGCAAAAGTGGCTGCCAGCATCCTTAATACAGCAATTTAACTTAGCAGAGCAGAGATTTTTTGGCTGGCCATAGAGAGCCCACTTTTTTGGCATAATTTCAGAGATTTGTGGAAGGATCTTCAGTTGGAACTTTGTGGTTCAAGGAGTGAAATTATAATCTAGCTCTCAGGTAACAGGGAAGCACTTTCTTCAAATTCCTAAAGTGTCTCTTAAAGGAAAATCTAGAAATTTTTTATGTGCCTATTTTAAGCTCATTGTAATGATGACACTATTCTCCTATTTATTCATTCAACACATGATCCCTGATATAAATTCCCATATACAAGTAAAAAGGAAGAGCTACGAAGTGGTTAATATGTGGTTAGACAACCATTGACTATATTAACAATAATAAATATGCCTTAAGAACAAAAATATATAATTTTATACATGACAAAATAACACAGAAGTTAGGAATGGAAAAAATAATTTCTTAGTTTTCTTGTATTGTTTGAGAAGAAGATAAATGTATTGATTAACTTTTGACTTTGCTTAGTTAATTATCAAGTTGTAATTTCTAAAGTACGTACTAAGAAAATAGAAACTGAGTTTATAACTTCCAGCCAAGTAAAAGGAAGGGGGATGGTTGCCAAAAGAGGTCAAGTCAGTCTAAAAGAAAGCAAGAAAGGAAAAAAAAAAGAAGCATATAACAGACGGAAAAATATGAAAGGCACAAAATAAGAAGATATATTTAAACTCAAATACATTATTAATAACATGAAATATGGAAGTTCTAGATAAATTTTCATCCTGCATTTTTTAAAAGTCCAAGTATATGCTATATACAGTAAACCAACTAATGGAAAAGGATACTGAAATGTTGAAAGTACTAGAATGGAAAATCATATACTATAAAAACATAAACCAAATAAGTAAAAAAAAAACAACAAAAAACTTGTTGTACTGTTATCAGTATCAAGAAACAGACATTAAAAGCAAACATTATTACATTAGACAATGGGGGCACTCAAAAATAATATAATATTCAATTCGTAGTTTGCTATAAATTTAATGTTATAGGCACTTATCATATCCTCAAGGCATATAAGGCAAAAAATTGCCAAAGATACAAGGAGAAACAGATTTACAATTTTAGTGAGAGGTTTTACACTGCTTTATATATAATAGAAATAACAAGCAGAAACAAATCAATAAAGAATTTAGACTAATTGCCGGGTTAAGTCACAACTAAAGGACACGGTGACCATTGTAAAGGGGAAGGGCATGCCTCTTACCCTCGATAGGGTTAGGCAAAGATATAAAATGTAAACAAAATATTTGTACCCTCATAATACCCTGAAATAAAAAAATTAAAAAATAAATTAAAAAATAAAACATAGTAAATACTGAGCCAAAAAAAAGAATTTAGACTAATTGAACAATGTAATTATCAAATTTGACTATCTCTGTTTGTCTTTCTATATATCTATCTATCTACCATCACACAAATAAGAACACTGAACTGAGAGTTGAACTTATACTAGACCATAAAACAGGTTATGAAATCATGTATTTATGAGTGATCAGTAAAATATGAACCACAGTCCACCACAAGCCTGCTGCCTGTTTTTTTAAAATAAACATTTATTATAATAATACAGTCACACTCATTCCTTTACTGTCATCTGTGGTTGTTTTCACACAACAATGGCAGAGACCTCATGGCCCCCAGGATTTGGGGTTCTGCTCATTTAGTGATCTTGGTTCCCAAAGGAGTATTGCTTCCACCAGGGACTTAGTATAGTAATATGGTTCCATTTCACTGAAAGTTGAGCCCACACCTGGCCACCTGGAGCTCCCCATGTTAGTAAATCAGCAGGCAATGAAAGTGGTGAATGTGCTAGCTGGGCGATCAATTCTGATTATCTAGAGGAAATGGATTGCTACTACACAAAGGGCTTAAGTAGAAGTAAGTCTGAAAAGCAGGAATTCCCTGGAACAGCTCTTCTATTCACAAATCCTCAGTGATTTGCTTGTTATTTAATATTTCCAGTAGATGGTGCCCAAGTAACATGCATAGTTGACTTAGGGGCTCCTGCATGCTGATCCAAATGAAGATTTGTTGCTACTGCCAACCATCCTTCTTTGCCTTGGAAAGGTTAAGTCTGCATTCACAATTGCTAATGCTAGCTGGACAGCCTCTTGCCTACATATTGAGCTCAATGTTATTGCTTATTTTACTTTTGGTTTTGAAAGAATAAAGGTCAAACCATTATCTTACAGGTTTTATAGACCTTTACTGATACAGTTTTTATAGAATCATAAAATAAATATGTTCTTGAAATTAAGTCAGAAAGTAGTGTGAACATGAGGGCAATAATATATAATCATATACTTTTAATTGAAAAATCAAATTTGAAAGGTGTGCAGTATTTTTAATACTGTACGTACTCTGTTTAATGTAGTGCATACAATGTTTTGTTCTAGGGTTAGCTTTTAATCCTAAATAAGAAAACTTCTCAAGCCTTGTTTGATCCTTTATAGGGAATCCTTATTAGCTTAAATGAATAGTCAAGATGGTGTAAAGGATTTCAATTTAAATTTACAAAGTTATAGATAATAAAAAACACTTGCTAAGCAAAGTTGATGAAAGATTATGATATAAAAGAATTTTTTGGCAAAATGAGAACACAGACTCCAGAGACAACCAAGGTTCAAACACTTTCTCCATATGATTTGGAACAAAATTCTTAGATTTCTTTCTGAACCTTCATTTTCACAGCTGTAAAATAGAAATAGTAATAGTTTCTCCCTCATAGGTTTGCTAAGAGATAACATGAGTACAAATAAAGTACTTAGACCATGTCTAGCATATAGGAAGTGCTAAATAAATGCTGCGAATATTAATTACCATTATAATTATCTAACAAATATTAAACTGTGTGAACTCAAGTCTCAAATATTAAAATTATCCTGTATAATTGGGATCATTAATTTAGTGTAAACTTGTCCCTTTCTTCTTACTTAAATATTTATGTAAATCAACTTGTTTTACAGAATGCAACATTATCTACCATTTAAATAGTATGACAGTCAGGGTATATTTAATTAAATTTAAATGTATTTCAATTAAATGAGAATTTAATTCATTAATCACACAATGTACTCATTCTTTTCTACGATGACACATTCTGGTTCCATAGACAGATATTTATATTCTTGATAATTAAAATATAGTTGCAAATTTTATATTGAAATGTAATAAAAATAAATATTTTAGAACCAATACCCTATGTATTTCAAATAAGGTATCCAACTTAAAATAGTTCAGTTGATTCTGTAGCCACAATCTGACATGTGTTTTGTTCTAGTTAAAAAAGTTTGTTTAAGCGAACTCTAATGGGACCATTGAAAAGTAATCCTCTCTTCCCAACAGTCTCATTTATGGAGATTGCTGCACCTGTGCTACTTTGAGAACACATCTACAAAGCCTTAATAGTTTTACTCTGATTATATTGAAAAGATATCAGTACTCTTGAGATTAACATAATCCCGTGCTCTACACTATTTTGCAGCTCAACGAAATAATTGTAAAATTTTCTGGTAAAAATAAATCTGTAAAACTGTCAAATAAGAAAACACACAAAACCCATAAGTTTAGGAAGGAGAGTATAGTCTACCAAAGAATGAAACATAAATTGATGCAATAATCATTGAAGTATTATTAATTGTATTGGCATGAAAATACATCAATGAAAAAGAATAGAAAATTCAGAAATAGACATAATTTAGAATATAAGGAAGTACATGTAAACAGAATAATATTTAATATTTAATAATGTGATAAATGAGTGATGTAGAAAAGACTAGATGCACACAATTTAACATACTAAAATAAATTCCAGAAACATTAAAGGGTCACATATTTTTAAAAATGCAAGTGTTAAGGAAACCAATCCTCTCAAAAATCCTGCAACATTTTTAGTCCTATTTGCTTAGTATTATTGGGAAAGTTTATCTGAAAGAGGTTAAATAATATGCACAAGGTCACAGTGTTAATTAGTAGAAGAACAAGGAATCAAAACAAATTCATTTGAATATAAAACCTATAATTTTCCATTACAATTCTGTATAAATTGCTTGTAGTAGCAACCTGCATGTTTTGGACTAGATAGGTTTATTATCGTTGGTGGTGATGTCATCATCCATATCATTATCCATAGAGCAGAAGAATGGTTGTAGGATATTAGGTGAAAAAAAATCGATTTGTAAACAAATACCATTCTAAAGACAATGTAACTTAGCAGTATGCCTTTAGGTAATGTTGCCAAAAGTTAGAGTCATTAAAATGTTTAAACCTCCCGAACTATTAATTCTTTGTAATTCATTTCAAAGTAATAAAAAGAAAAGAGTAAAATCACTTTTGCACAAAGAGGTTTATGTGAGAGTAAAAATTTGGAAATAATAAAATGTCAAAGAATACACATTATTAATTAAATTATGGTACATGAGCACAATAGGTAGTTATTTTAAAATGGTAATTATAGAGATAATGCAACAAAAGAAAAACATTTATGAAATCTAAAGAAGAAATAAATGTACCATGGTAAAATTGTGATTAAATACAAACAGGGGGCTTACAGGAAAACTGGGACATAGAAAATCACACACAGAGTTGTCATGTGGTGGGGCTAGGGATGGAGTTGAGTTGATTTTTTTTCTTTTCTTTTTTTAAAACTCATTTTTATGTTTTTAAATCCATAAAATTTGGAAAATATATATGTAGTTAATTTGCTTAATCATGAACATTAACTATTATTTCTAAATATGAATATAAATACATTTGACTATTTAAATTCAAACTAATATGGGTTTTAATTAGATTGTTTTAGCTATTATAAAGAGAGAAGTTTAACATATTAAATAATGTGTTTCATATTCCTCTTCTTTTTCATCCAAATTTGGAAAGATCTTTTCCTCTTTAATCCTTACATTCATCCCCATTTAATAATAATTGGGGGAAGAAACCATGTTTTATTTATATATATTTTTATAGGAATCTACTATGATTAAGGCTAATCACTTTAGTAGACTTTGAAGAATCTAAAGGCTTTTCTGACTTCTCTCTGCTCATTAATGTGCCATTTTAAAAGCCAAATTAATGAAACTGTTCCTAGTGTAGCTCTTCCTTCTCGCATAAATTCATCTTAGTTAATGTTAATGGGAAGATAATGACTACATTCTTGTGTCATAACCACCATCCTTCTCTTAATAAATGAAGATTGATGGTGATTCTAAAGATAAGAATATTAGCCAAAGAGGGGGCTAAGAATGAAGTAGAAAATGTGCACCAACTTGTTATAACCTCTTTTAAAGCTTTAAAATAGAAATAATTTTATCATGTCTACTTCTAGGCACTTAAAAGATATTAGCCTTATTCTGAGATGATTTTTTAAGGAGAAAACTCCTTTGTAAATCTTTATCCTTGACTGAATTCCAGCATCTGCTGTTCCTAATACTATAATTCACTGGATCTAAGATGTCAATGATTGTAAGCCTTACCTTTATTTAATGGGCTACTAAGAACAAATATACTACAAATTAAACTATGAAAAAAAACTAGTTTTCTTACATACATGTTATTTTATACTTATTTAGAGTGCTTGTTCAGACTTTAGACAGAACAACACTTCTAAACAAGCACTGTTATCCTGGGTTTCTTCCAAATTGCTAACACCTGTTCTGCAAATTGTGATGCCAGGGTTTCCTCGAAAATTAGCAGATAACCACACTTCTTGCTCCCCTTCTCTCTTAGTTATTTGCTTAAAGGCCCTGAAGAAATTCAGATGATGCCACCTCAAAATATGCTGCTTTGGTATATTGATTATTTTGAGCAGAGGTCTCTTGATAAACAGCAAATGCAGGGAGAAGCTTTTGCTGAACTCCCCTTATCTGCCTAAAGACAAATACCGCATAAGAAACTCAATTATTGTCAATCCCTTCTGTGGGAGTTTCATCAACCAGAAAAGACTGACTCATCACAGAATAGAAGATTAGAAGTTGACACTACATCTAGATAAACTTTGTCATGAACTATCATATCTCCCACGTGTTCTTCTTCTGAGAGTCCATTCATCTTTCCTAAAAATCATTACTCTTCCCTAAGTTGCCTATGTCCAGCCTCCCCTTCCCTATATTCTCATCTATATTACACGCCCGTTATATGTGGTATATAAATTTCTAAGTCTCACTACTTTTTAAAAAGATATTCACATTTTTCCTGAAATGCCCCTGTATACATAATACTAAAAATTAATAAATTTGTATCGCTTTTCTCCTGTTAATCTGCCTGTTATCAGTTTATTTCATAAACCTAGCTGTTAAGCCTAAGAGAGTGCAGGGAAAGGTCTTTGCTCCCTACAACCCTTTTACAGTGAGTCCCTTCCTAACCACCATCTACAAATTGCAACATCACCCATATTCCTATCACTTTTCTCCTCATTAATTTTCTCCCTCGTACTTATTGCCATGTGACTTTAAAATATTTCATTATTTAAGTGTGTAGTTGCCTGTTCCCCAAAATACACTAGACAGTAAGTTTTATATGGAAAGGATTTTTCTTCCTGATTTTTTTCCTCAGCACTTCCCACAGTTCCTGCCCCATAATAGAAATGCAATATATACTTGATGAGCGAAGGATCCTAGATTCAAGGAAATATGATACTTTTCCCTTGCTTTTCCTCTATCTATATTGTTGGCGATCATTGAACTCTCTTGGTTGTATCTATTCCTCTGTGACATGGTAGATTTGAGATAAATCCTGAGAGCCCTACAGTCTTTTCTCCTATTGTTTTGATTTTTCATTTCTCTAGTGCAGACTTTAAACTTCTGCCATGCAGTCAAAAACAGTGCAACTGGAACTTGTTTTTAATAAATGGAGTTAGCACATGACTCTACTACTTCTGCTAACATTCTTCTAAATCCATTTTCCTATCAGCTCTCATCTTAGGAGGGATAGGGGGATAAAAAGTTGATGATTTTCCCAACACTGCCAGATCTTGAGGTCTGGACCTTACAGAGAGAAGCCTGTGCACATGAAATAGAAGGAAACCCAGAAGTTCTTACTTAAGAAACATGTTTGATTCTCCCTGTGGAAATCAATACCTGCCCTTTTGCTGCTAAATGCCATTATTATGCTGAATTTGGAAGTTCTGAAGAAATTCAGCTTATATTTACCACTGGGAAAAATTGGTAGCCATGTTCAATAGAGAATCAAACTGTCAACCCCAAATGACAGACCAGCATATGGTTTCCCATAGGACTTTTGTTATGACCAGTAAAAGAAAGCTGAGTTCGCCTTCACCATGCAGCATTCTGTTGGCGGAGACAACAGAATATTGCCAGGTCTGTCACTCTTAAGAGCATATTTGGAATTACGATCTGTTGACTGATTGTTTAAATGACACTCATAAAGGTTTATATTCCTTGAGATGATCAGTACTTTGACCTCTTGGTCTCCAGTTCCCTATCACTTTCTTAGCTTCAGCTTTATCTCTATCCAAATTAAATGAACTCATGAGCACTCTTGATTCTTGCAATGGTCCTTTTTGGACATTTTATAGATCCTCTATGTAGAGAAAATCCAATCATTCCTTTTGTTACTCCTGTTCCCATGTTTATAAGCAGACCTGGGATGACAGCCTCACAGTTATGCTCACTATCTGTGCTTTACATTTGTGGTTTCTAACCTCCACTGAAACTCAACCTTTAGACTTTTTAAGATATGGCTCTAAATGTAATAACAACTGCAGTATTTACTGATTATCTTTCTACAACATGGCAGGCTCCATGCTCTGCACTTTACATTCAATATCTAATTTAGTACTTTGGATGCCCCATGAAGTAAAAATGAGGCAGAGGAAACTGAGGATGAGATACAAGAGCTTAGGTACTTTGGTTTCACACAGACAGCAAATGCCAAATGAGATTCAGTCTCTGGTCTCGCTCTCACCCAAGCCCCTGCTTTCAACCAAGCCCTTGATCAGCAATTCTGAGAAGCTTGGCAAATTGTGGGGTGTAGAGGTGTTGGCAAAAGATTTTTAAAGCATGCGTTGAATGAAGAATTATGTATGTATTGAAAAACACAACAGCCTAATGCAGAAACCTCATTTCACATTTATTTTTGTCTGCTTTTGAATGTATGTTAGCTATAGAAAAATTTGAAATTATATAAATATAAAGAAGAAAATAAAAATTATTCATAATCTCACTACCCAATGGGGACCATAATTAACATCTGATTATTTGTAATGTTAAATAATTTAACATGTTTAACTTAATATGTTTAAACAAAAATAATTTAATTATCATCTCCATAATTAATGAAAAATGTAAAGGCTATATACTTTTAAACATTTTATCATTATACTATTAGCATTTTCAGAGGTCATTAACTTTTATCATAAATCAATTTTATGGTAACATAATATTCCATTCTACAGATGTGTATATAACTAACTTAAAGTTTTTTCTTTCATTATAATTCACTTTTTTGTTCCAATTATTAAAAATAATGATCCAACGATAGTGTTTATCAATAAAAAATGAGACTTTATTTCTGCTTATTTCCTTGGGGTAGATATTAGTGAATGGTTAATTGTTTCATTTAAAACTGAATTTTAAATTTACATGTAAATTTAATTTACACCCTCTTGAGAAGTTTCCTGGATTATGGCCTTATTACTCACACCTGATTTTCATATCTCACCTTTTTTTACTTGTTTTTCTCACTGTGTTGATATTTTCACTGACGGTGTACAAAAGTAATGATGTTTAAAACTACTGATTCCCTAGAACAAATAAATGCAGCAGCACCAGGTACTATTAATAGTAATTACTGTATTCTTCACTATTCAGCATTCACAGAAAATTAAAATGGCTGTGTGTACATGCATGAACAAGCTTACAAATATTAAGTCTTGGCCCCTAAGTCCGTCTTTTCAATGTTTTGTATTATGGGGAGCACACACAACGCCTTTCTGCTGCATAACAAAGTATGATAGTTGTGTTGAGGAAAAGCAATTATATGATTGAGTTGTGAGCCACATTTGCTGAAATTTCATGTAATACCATTGTTACATGAAACAATGACTGAAAACGAACTATGATTGTTCAGACTTGGGTATCTGGTAGACATTTGGTCAGAAGTAAGCAAGCAATTCTGTCACTTCAAGAAATACAACTGAGTCTTTGTTGTCAATGAAAAATTTTAGCTTTTAGAGAAAATTATAATTTTGGAATACTGGTGTTCATCACCATAAACTTGACAGCTTCCCAATATTGAAGGGCTTTTCTGTTAATATTGGTGGTGATATTAACAAACAATAATAAATATGAATGTTTGATATTACATAAGGATATAAACATTTAGATGTTTTTCATACTCAGGAAACCAATATTTTCCAAATAACCAATACATGATGTTACCAAATTATACATGAATAAAAGATCTATTCAAATGCAAGGTAGACAAATGGACTTTAATATAACAGAGCATGAAAGATTTACTGATACGGTTTCAGATTTCACAATGCAAATAACTTTTAAGAAACTACCAGAGTTTTAGTGTTATCTCAAAGAAAAGTATCCAGAATCACCTGAAAAATAAATTAATTCACCTCCTCAGACTGCATATATATGTAAAGCCAGATTTTCTTCATCTACTTCAATCAAAACAAAATATTTCAACTGAATACAGAAGCAGGTATAGGAGTACAGCTACCTTCTACTAAATCAGACATTAAAATGTAAAACAATGCTAGTCTTCTAAAACAATTTTGATTTTGGAAAATATAGCTAATTTTTCATATATAATCTGTCATTTATGCATACATGTAATTGGTTTATCATTATGTTTAAATAAGTTGACAAATAAATATTTTTAATTTAAATTTCTAATATGAATATTATAAATAGAGATAGTCCACATAAACTAAAGTTATTTGTGTCTTCAACAATATTGAAGAATGCAATGGGGTCTTGCATCCAAAACATTTGAGGACCCTTGATTTAAAAGAAATATACAAACACACACCAGTCCTTGAAGAGAGGTGTTTCTCACAGCTCTGACTTTAAAGTTAGCCTACATGCTGATTATGAGGTGACTAGATAAGTAATAATCACATTAATTTTGCAGTGTTTACCATGTGCCCTTGCTGTTCTAAGTACTTTCCTCATTACATGATTAAGTCATGCTATCCTTACAACAAATCTGTAAGGAAGGTGCTACTATTACTTTTATTTTATAGATGACAAAGTGAACCCTGAGTTAATGACTTGCTGGTAAATAGTGAAGCCCAAAACTTAAATCCACAATCTTACCTTAGAGTCTATGTGCTTAATCACTCTGCTAGGGAAAGCACCCTGAAGAAGTCAGGAACAATAGGTGAGGACTGTATAGTACAGCCTTGCGTAGGTAGATGTCTTACAAATAATGTTGAGTTAAAAAATATAAAAAAAGGGAGTTGATTTGCATGGTTGAAATAGGAGATCAAAGTAGGATTTCACGAATCACAAGTTTATTGCTATATGTTTGCCCTCTCCAAAGCTCAAGTTGAAACCTAATTTCCATAGTGACAGTATTAGGAGGTGGGGTCTTTAAGAGGTGATTAGGTTATGAGGGCTTGCTGCTCTGATGGATGGTCTTAATGTAGTTATAAAAACGCAAGCTCAGCCCCCTTTTGTCTCCTTGTCCTTCTACCTTCTACCATGTGAGGACACGGTGATCTTTCTCCCCTCCAGGGGACACAGGGTTCAAAGTACCATCTTGGAATCAGTGTTGCCAAACCTGCTAGTGTCTTGATATTGGTTTTCCTAGTCTCCAGAACTGTAAGCCCATAAATTTCTGTTTACAAATTACCCAGTTGGTGGGATTCTGTTATAACAGCACAAAATGGACTATGACACCATACAAGGAGAATTTATTTATTTATTTTTGCCCTTAGGTTAGGAAAGAGGGGGAGAAGAATGAGAATAAATCTCACAAGGAATTCACTTGATAGATGAGGTATATTAACAAATCAATTCCAAAATTATTAAAGTCTAGTTGCTCAATTAGGATGGAAGCAGGCCTCTGTAGAAAATAAAATCTAATCAAAGTTTGAAGTGTACTTGTATACAAATAGTCTCAGAAGAGACCATCGTGACTAGCACAGCAGAGATATGAGACTACAGGTAAGGTCTCTAGAGCAGAGTGCTGATGTTGGCAGGGTTTCAGAACAGCTTGAAGGCTAACAGGGTGTGTCCCTGTCAAGGCTGAGCTCTCAGTCTGTGGTGAAGCAGCTGACGGAGCAACTCTGTTGTAGCATATGAGGAAAAGTGGCTCACAAAGTATAGCCTACCACAGCCTACACTATCAGATTGTTTGTCAGACTCTTCAGTTTACACATATTTTGAAGTCCAGTAGTTGAAATCAGTAACTCACAGGTGGCGTCTGATAAGGTGTGATGTCACATTCCCAAAGGCAGAGGAAGTTCACTCCAAGTTCTCACATATGGGGTCTGATAAAAACGTCACATTTTCAAGGGGAGGAGGAAATATACTCCACATTCTTATCTCAGCAAAACATACAAACATAGCAAACTTACATAGCAAACTATGTGTTTGGAATAATTTCAAAGCTACATGGCAGGGGGAAATTGTATCGCAATGACTTTATAGCAAAATGCTATTTGTATAAATTTCACAAACACATAAAGCAACACTGTATATTTTTCAAGGGTAAATAAGTATCTGCATAAATGTATAGAAGTTGAATTGGAAAGATACTAGTTGCTCCAGATAAATGATTTATGGTGTAGGAAAATGTATTGGAAAATAAGTAGGTGGGGAAATATAAATAAAACAAAATAAAGTAAAAAAAAAAAAAGGCCCTACACAAAAATGATAGTATAGTATGCATTTAATACTATTGTTAACTTAAATTTTTACACCAAAGTAAACAAGATCAATGAAAATAACATCTACTCAATCTCCCACCCCCCATAAAAATATAACCTACAATTATCTTGAAGAAAGAAATTCTCCTCTCTCTGCCATGGTGGCAAATATATGCCCAACTAAATGTGGAAAATAGCTCTTCCTTTCAGCCTTACTTCTAATGAGTCTCAGAGATTCTGACCCTGTCCATGAGCCTCTCCTAGATAAGAAAGTATGACTTGCTATGCCTACAGAATTTGCAAAGCATCACAGACTCTCTGGGAGGATATCATGAATCTTCCAACAAGTTGAAACATTAACTATTGAGGCATAAAATATGCCCCACCCATTACTCAATCTATGTGCCCTTTTATTCCACCCCTCCCATGGCCCACGATTTTCCTTGTGCTGGAAAAGGAAAGTATTTACTTCACAGCCCAGCTTGCATGAGAAATCAGTGAGTCAGAGTGCTAACTTTGAGGTAAGGTTTTGTGTATGTCAGGTCCTTTTATTTTATACTTCCTATTCCCTGGGTGAATCTGAATATTTCACCCTGTTTTTCTTAAGTAAGCATTGTGAACTAAGTTTTCTTGTACAAACTTCATGCCTCCCTCCTTTTGCACAATCTTATTTTGCACCTGCTATAAAATGGAAAACTTGACATTAAAATGTAACTTTTATTATATTTTGTGGGGTTCCCAGAGATTTTTCCCCAATTCCTTTGGGTCGGATTCTATCACTCCAGGTCCCCAACATACTTAGCACCCTCTTCAACTTCTATGCAATTACCTTAGACTTTCCTTCCTCCGTCCACCAATCAAGGAGCCAGGTATCTCTATAGAGATGAGTGACTGCAGAAACATTTCTGCGGCCAATTCTAGAACCAGACTTTCCTGAGGGGATGGATTCTGAGAGATGGGAAGAAGATGAATGTTGAGTTTAGAGCCTGAGGTATTTTCAGGCTTTTTCTTCTCCCTGGCTTCCTCCTCTAAGGCACAGGTTCAAAGTTTCTTCTTTCCTTGAAACTGTATCTGAAAAAGCCAAGGCTACCACTCCAAGAAGACCTTGTCTTTTCTATTCTACATAGAGTGAACAATTTGAAAGTACAGACAGGGAGAAGGTACCTCAGGCTGAGGCTGCTGAGTGAGTGTGAGATGTTCCCAATTGGTACATGGGCTGGTAGAAAACTTTGGAAGGAAATTAGAGTTTCTAAGTCCTGAGCTATGCTCTTAACTCATCACAGACACAAGTTAATCCTTGCATAGGGCCAAATAAATACGGTCTAAAGAGACAAAGACAAATAAGTTGTGTTCTAAACATTCCCAAGGACTTCCATTCTATGAAGTATCATTTGGTCTAAATTCTTATGTAAAAATTGTCTGATTCCTCATAGTTTGACCCATTCTATGGCCAAACCCAAACTTAACCCCCAAACCTTCCCCTCTATCATCTCTGGGCCTCCTCTTGTTCTAAACCCTCATCTACCTGTGACATCAATCCCAAGAAGCAGACAGAATGTTCCTTGGTCCTGAAACATAATACTCATCCTTCTAAAATATGACCCTGCTTTATCTTTATTTCTACTATTAGAAAATCCTAAGATTTCTCCCTTTGTGTTGCTTCAGGTTCTAAGTGAAACAAAATGCTTCATCAGACTAATGACATGTATCATGTGTCAAGTATCTGCCTCAAAGTAATTTGTTGCATACCCCTGCACTTCTTTATCCAAGACTCATGGTTTCTTAATAGTTAGTAAAAATCGAAATGTCATCCTTAGCTTTCCATATCCCATTTTATGCATCGTGTCACATTAGTTCTTTGCTAATCCTAGTTACTATGAAAATTTTCATTTATTATCATGTTTTATAATTGATTTGAAGAGTAAAATTTAGATGCAATATACTGTTATGGTTTCCTAATACTAAGGGGAGTATTTCATTTCTTTTTTTTAACATTAAGGCCATTGCAATAAATTTGCTCCCCAAAATTTCACTGGCAGGTGTCTTCAACAACTTTCTGTAACATTGTGTTTGCAAATGTCTTCCCAGAAAGGAGTGAGCTCTGTGCTTCTGTCTTAAAAGGGACACAGGTTTTCTAATAGAGCACCCTGGGAAAGGGAACTATCAAGTCAATTGGGAACTCCCCCCTAACCCCGCCCCCGACTTCCTCCAGGCAGGGATCCTCTGACTCTACAGAAAGTCCCTCCTCCTCTCCCTCCCCACTTTCCTTCCACCCGGCTCCACCCTATTCCACCTCCACCCTGACCCAGGCACACCCTCCATTAAGGGCAGGCAGCCAACTAGGTAACAGCTGACTGGGCCAGCCCTGAGCGTAGATCCTCCCACCCACCTTCCCCATACTGAACTGTCAGATGCCAGCCAAGAGAGGTGACAGCTGCAGCACCTTCTTCTGCAGCCAGTCACAGGTCGTCCCGGACCATGTTTTCCAGCCTGCAGAGGTGGGACACCCGTGGCTCTTACAAGCAAGTCCCGGGGATGTTAGATGCACAGGTAAAGCTCCTTGGTCCTGGGGGAGAGAGGAGTGGCAAATCTTTGGGCCACTCTGGGTGGGGAGTAGAAGTGGGGAGAGCTGACTCTTTGGACTCTGAGCATGGGCTGATGTTATAGAGCCTCGCTTTACCAGTAATCACACCCAGAGATAGACAGACGGGCATGCACACTCAATCTTGAGAGCCCAGATAAGACCCCAGAATGGTGTGAAACCTGAGCCTCAGTCTGGTAGAGCTGGTGGAGACAACGAGGCATCTTTGTATAAACAGATAAATTAAATCCAGGGTACATAGATATGAGTATTTGAACTAATGAGTGGACCTGTCATCATGGCTGCAGGGATACAGGTTGGGGTGGAATTCTACAACTGGTGGGTGGTCCCATTAAAACTACAAGAGCAATTCAGGATAAAAATTACTCAGTGTGTAAACTGACCTGGGTTTTGGGACACTGAGGTCTGGGCCAAATCAGGAAACTGCAGACACTTAAGCGTGCTTTGCTCTGCCCGGTGATTACTCCTGCTTCTTCCACAATAGGAGTTATGTGCAAAGGCAGTTGTCAGAGAAATGAACCCTTCAGTTGTGTGTTAGGAGCAATTTCCCTAACAGAGGTTCCATTTGTTTCATTTATCATCACTATACAAGACAGGGGCTTAGAAATAGCCCTCAACACAAGTGATTCTGTAGTTCTAACAAAAGAAAAAAAAAGATTTCAGATTCAGGGGAACTTGTTCTAATACTGGTTTTCTCAGTAACTCCAAGTGTCAAATAAATATTACAGCTATTCTTCTGATCCCATATAAAGCACAGCTATAAATTTATTTAAGAGCAAAGTAAATTATATGTAAAACACTCTTTTAAAAGTCTTTTAAATAGAGGGGCTAAATAAGTCCCTTGAAAATATGAACAAGCTCCAACAGGACAATATGTCTTTTTTTACCGTAAAATAGAGATGACAAGCTCAATCAGGCAAACTGGTTTAATATCATCAGTGTAACAACAAAGGTGACCAAAGGCAGTAAATCAGACTGGTAGGTTGTAAAAATTATAAAACTCAATTTCGTCATCCAAAATTCTAGTCAGCTTTTCCTCTACTTTTCGAACAATGTTTATTCCTTTGATAGCCATCATAGATCAGGAATCCACTTAAGTTGAAAATATTCATTTTAATTGCATTCTCTGTTATAATGTCAAATTTTAAAAAAAATTAGCACTTCAAAGTGTATCAAAAACCTTGTATGATTACATTTTATAGTTGAGACTTCATAATTTTTGATATACTCAATTGCAGGTAAAATCCCTACCTAGCGTATAAGCTAAGAACATGCCTTTCTGATTAAGTTTCTAGGGCTGGGATGCTGACCTAAGAATAGATGTTTATAAATATTTTTTGGTAGTGATTTGCATCCACCCATCATTCATTCATTCATTTATTCATGTGAAACATTTATTATGAGCTAAGCCTTGGGCAGAAGTTGGAGATACAGAGATAAATCAAATATAGTTTCTGTCCTCTAGTTACATTAAGTTTAATAAGAGAGAAGCACCTGTCAGGAAATCATGAGATAGTTGGATAAGGTAAGTTGGATAAATTCAACATATGCACATTTGAAGGAGCACTTAAGTTACCCTGGAGGAGTTTGTTGAAATAGCAATGGTAATACAGAACCTGTATCAGACGGTGGAGGCTGAAGTGGGAAGAAAAAAATTACCAAAGGCAGTAAATCCTAAATAAGATTGAAGCACCAAAACCAAAAGTGAAGTATAAGAAAGTGGATAGGAGGAAAGGTCTCTCTAAGTAGTGGAAAACAGTATCGAACAGGTATTATTACAAAGTGGAGAGTGTTGGATTATGATTGGAAGATGGAATGAACTAACTGGATTAGATCCAGTGTCTTATACTTCTTAGTTGAAAGATCTTAGGTATTTCTTTAACTCAGGGCCTTAGTTTCCATATCTGTAAAATGGGAATGACAGAAATGGTCCCACCATAAAGGTATGTTATATTTGGTGAGATACTATACATGATGCAAAGTCTGGCACATTTTAAGTGATTAGAAGACAAAAGTTCCTTTTGATTTCTAGATGTTTTCTCTTCTCCATGAGCATGTGCTTTCACTTTCCCATAACTTTCTTCACTATTCCCAGACCCATCTTATAATATTCACAAAGGGAGCTTCCAAAATTAGGAGTTGTGAGACACTAAACATAGTAATTGGCCACACAAACCATATGCCCATGAGGCCACATCTTAAGTTTGGACCCAAGGAAAATTGAAAGCAACATACTCCTCTAAGCCGTGACCCAGCTATGTTGTGGTCTGGTGGTTTAAATATTTCTTGCTCCTCTGCCATAATCCAGAAATAACAGGACCTCCATACTAGTGAAAATTGCTCTTATGTCAACAATGTTAATGTATGATTACATAATGCATACTATAAGTTTGTGGTCACCAACCCCTGAACTGCAGACTAGCATTATTCTGTGCCCTGTTAGGAACAGGACCTCACAGCAGGAAGTGAGCAACGAGCAAGTGAAGCTTCATTTGTATTTGTAGCCTTTGCTCCCCAGCATTTGCACCACCACCTGATCTCTGCCTCCTGTCAGCTCAGTGGTGGCATTAGATTATCATAGGAGTGTGAACCCTACTATAGAACTCCCATGTGACGGATAGAGGTTGCACACTCTTTCTGAGAGTCTAGTGCCTGATTATCTGAGGTGGAGCTGAGATGGTGATGCTAGCACTGGGGAGTGGCAGCAAATCTAGATAATCATTAGCAGAGAGGTTTGACTGCACAGAGACCATAATAAATCAATTGCTTGCAGACTCAAATCAAAACCCTATCAGTAAGTGGCAAATAACAAACTGCATCTGGTGGCAGGCTTTATAGTAGCAAATGCGTGGTGTACTTCAATTGTACAGCTGCATCTGGTGACAGACTTTAAGTTAGAATCTGACACTTATTTTAGTCTGCACATGGCCTGCCCATTATTTTATTTACTACTTCTGTCTGCACATCTTTCCCACGCTGTGCACTTGTCTCAGTCACCTAGCAAAAATGAGTAAAAAACAAATGTCACTATAGAGCTTCTTTGATAAGGGGGGGAAATACCAAGAGTCCTACTTAAATTATAGGTTCATTGCAACAGATGATTCACATTCTTCAAGCCTGCTTTTTATAATATGTGACAATGAAGCCATGAAACCTTCAAAACGGCTTCGCCACATGGAGACCAAGCACCCTGTATTAAAAGACAAGCATTTGGAGTTTTTCAAAAGAAAAAATGATGGACACGAAGAACAGAAGCAATCATTGAAGGCCACCACTTCATCAAATGTGTCTACACTGATAGCACTGACCATCAGAGTAACTAACACATTGCTGAAGCTAAGAAGCCCTATACTATTGGTAAAGAGTTGATTCTGTCTGCTGCTAAAGATATTTGCCATGAACTTTTAGGAGAGGCTATAGTTTAAAAGGTGGTATGTGTTCCTCTTTCAGCTAGCACCATAACTAGACTAACTGATGAAATAGCAGAGGATATTGAAGCACAATTGTTAGGATAAATGAGTCATCATGGTAGCAATCCAGGTTGACAAGTCTACCAATGTTGACAACAATGCTTGTTATTGTGCAATATATTTTTCAGGAGAATGTGCATGAGGATATGTTATGTGCCCTTTTGTTGACAACCAACACCATAGCTGCAGAACTATTCAAGTCTTTGAATGATTACACATCAGGAAAACTGAATTGGTCATTTTGTGTCAGTATATGCACGGATGGAGTGGCTGCCATGACTGGACAGCTTTCTGATTTCACTACCTGAGTCAAGGAGGTTGTTTCTGAATGTGAGTCTACGCACTGTGTCATCCATAGAGAAAGGCTGGCTAGCTGAAAAATGTCACCTGAACTAAACAACATTTTGCAGGATGGGATTAAAATTATCAACCATATTCAAATACATGTCCTTCACTCCAATCTGTGCAATTCTGTGAGGAGATGGAGGCAGAGCACACACATCTTCTCTTATGCACAGAACTGAGATGGCTTTCTAAAGGTAGATCACTGGCCTGGGTCTTTGAGTTACAAGAGCTGCTCAGAGATTTCTTTCAGAAAAACAGACACCACTGGCGGCACATTTCAGGGACACTGAATGGGTCAGAAAACTTGTTTACTTTTATGACATATTCAACCTGCTCAACGAACTCAATCTGTCCCACTTCAGGGGAGAACAACAATTGTGTTCAATTCAGTAGATAAAGTGGCTGCATTCAAAAGCCAAACTGTAATTATGGAGGCCACGAGTGAACATTGGGATTTTTGAAGTGTTTCAAACATTAGCACACATTTTGAAAGAAACTGAGCTAGGGCCTTCTTTCTCCCAGCTGGTGCATGATCACTTATCTCAGCTTTCAAAAGAGTTTGAGCATTACTTCCCAATCATAAGAAACCCTCAAACTGGGAAGGAATGGATCCTCAGTCCATTTGTGAATGAGTGAGCCAGGTGAATTGACTTTGTCTGTGTTAGAAGAGGATCCACTGCTTGAAAAGGCAAATGACAGTGGCCTTAAAAGTATGTTTGAGACAACTTCAAATCTCCATACTTTCTGGATTAAAGTCAAGGCAGAATGTCCTGAGATTGCCACAAAAACACTGAAAAGCCTGCTTGCATTTCCAACATCTTATCTTTGTGAAGCAGGGTTTTCTGCAGTGACAGCAACCGAAATGAGATTACAGAGTACACTAGATGTAAGCAACACACTGTGAGTGTCACTGTCTCCCATCATCCCCAGATGGGACTGTCTAGTTGCAGGAAAACAGGCTCAGGGCTCCCACTGATTCTGCATTATGGTGAGTTGTAGAATTACTTCATGATATATTCCAATGTAATGATAATAGAAATGAACTTCACAATAAATGTAATGTGCTTGAATCATCCCGAAACCATCCCCCAATTACCCCCGGAATAATTGTCTTCCGTGAAACCGGTCCCTGGTGCCAAAAAGATTGGGGACTGCTCTAAGCCCAATGGTAGAAAAGTTCAATAGATACTAAAATAGTTTGGAAAACAAGGGCTGTGGTAGATATGGGGAGACAGGGAAATGAGAGACTTATTTGGGGTCAATTAGGTCTGCAGACTAGAAGTGTTGTCAGAGTGAGAATAGGTGAGTTAGAAGGATGAAAAATATTTAATGGAGAAGATGGGAATAAATTAGAACATTGAAAGATACTGTCAGAATTGTCATGTTCTATTTTTCTATGCAGAAATTCCCATGCAGTAACATATAAATAATAATCTCAGTGAAATCCACAATATGAATTCAGTAATTATCTATTCATTGAGAAGTCATTTGTACATTCCTGGCGCTTGGCAAGGATTAATTACCTTCACCAGATTTTATTTTTTTTAACCTGGCTGCTATTCCTTCTGGGAGGGAAAATATGTTTTAACTTTATTGTAATATATTCATTATAAAATGTCTGGCCCACATCTATGGAGACTATTTCCCAGAGGATGCACAGGGCTTCATATAAGATGTTTTCAGATGGAAAATAGTCCTAGAAGGAATGTTAAATCAAATATGGAGTTCTTAGTCTGCTAAATTAGCCATCTGTAATAGCTTTGCAAGAGTTAAGTGCTTAAAACAACAACCATTTTATTTAATTTATGATTCTCTGGATAAGTTGGATTGTGTCCTGGTTTGGGTCAGCTTGGCTGATACCTGCTGAGTTCTTTGATGCATCTACAATCAGCTGGCAGGTGGGCTGGTAGCTGGATGGTCTAGAACCACCTTACAGAGGTGTCTAGCAGTTTTCCGGATGTTGGCCAAGGTGAAAGACTGTCAGATAAGTGTCTCAGCTCTCCTGCACGGGATCTCTCTAGCAGGCTAGTTTGGGGGATCAGTCACATGGTGCACTCAAGGTTCCAAGCGCAGCAAGAAGGGAAGAGATAAGGTTTTTGAGGCTTAGAATTGGAGTTCTTTCAATGTCACTCCTGTTGCAGTTCCATGATCAAAACAAGACACAATTCCAGCCCAGTTTCCAGAAGGGAGAAATAGTCTACCTCTCGATGGGAGAAGCTGCAAAGAATTTGTAGCCATTTGCAATCTTCCACAGAAAAGCATGTGTTTTGGATATGAATAAGATCCTTTCATTGATGATGAATTACCAAACTGGCAACTCCCTGTAAAATTTGAACCTATGTAGTAAAATATACCCTTCATGTTAATTATAGGATTTTATAATATTTTCCCAAATAATTTGTGTACTTATTTTTCAAATAATATGTTTGGTAACAATGGTGATGATGACGTTATTTTTCACGTATTTGAGTTGTGGTTTTGGGCTAATGGATTGATAAATTTTTTTTTTAATTATTTTCATTTCAAAATATTACAGGGGCACAAATGTTTGTGATTACATGTATTGATTTTGTTATGCTTGAGTGAAGATTATAAGTGTGCTCATCACCCAGATAGTACTCATTGTACCCGTTAAGTAGGTTTTTGTCTATGCTCTCCTCTCCCCTAGCCCCTGCTTGATTTCCACTGAGTTTTACTTCTCTCTGTGCACATATGTGCCCATTGGTTAGTCAGTTCCAGTTTCATAGCAAGGACATTTGGTGATTGTTTTTCTGTTCTTTAGATACTTCACTTAGGAGAATGGTCTCAAATTCCCTCCGAATTGTTGCAAAAGGCATTAATTCATCCTTCTTCATGGCCAAGTAGTATTCCATAGTGTGTGTGTGTGTGTGTGTGTGTGTGTGTGTGTGTGTGTGTATGCATTCATGAATTGTTGGGCACTTGGATTGATTCCACATCTTTGCAGTTGTGAATTGTGCTGCAATAAACATTTGAGTGCAGGTGTCATTCGTCATTGTGTTCTTGCAACAATCCTATAAGGATAGATTCATTTTAGTAACTTATATACATCTTAAATGATTTATATTATATCATTTGCTATGGCACGGAGGACAGATTTGGAGTCAAGTATCTTATTTTCTCTTCTATACTTAGGACATTTTGCTGCATAGGATGGAATTTCATTTCACTCATTCCTTCTAGGTTCAGAAATTTTAAAATATGGTAAATACTTTTTATGTTTGAGTATGGACTCAGAACTGGGTTAGAGAAGACAAATGCAAAAGCTGTTAAATGTGGGACGATTTCCAAATACCAAATTTAATTTGGTCAGTTTTACTCTTCAAAATACAAAGAGAGTGATGCTGACTCTAAAAATGTAAAATGATTATATTTCAGGCCTTCCCTTTTAAAACTCTTCTTCTCTTGGTTGAACCCACCAAGTCAATAGGAAAATTTTATGGAGATGTTATAACCTCCTCCAGGATAATATGTAATTATGATAAATACATAATTGTGAAACTACATAAACACATAGAAGTACACAAAATACCTCTAATAGTCTCTTCGCTATTTTTCAGAAAAAAAGACGAAATTATCTATAATTTAGCAATTCAAATATTTTAAATTTATCTTATACATATAAATATGTACATTTATATGTATATTAAATGTGTATATTTATATGTGTAAGATAAATTGTATGTGTGTGTATATATATATATATATATACATACACAGAGGAAGAAAAGGAAATAGGGATCTTAGAAATGATTTTCCTTCTCAACATGATTTATTACTATGTGCACAGTCATAATGTTGAGAGAAATCTTAAAATTCCTCTAGTTCACCATCAAAGATATCCACTTAACTATATTTCGTAAGGATCACGATATCAACTTATCTGTAACTATTAGTAGAATAAATTATTTCATGTTTACTTTTCCACCTATTGACAAATATTTCAAATGTAAATTAAAGACACTAACTTCATATGCTACTTGCTATATGTTTTCTTTTCCAGAAATGCGGTTCAGAAAAAAGTGCTTCATTCTTCAGTAAGGTGACATATTCCTGGTTTAGCAGGTAGGAATTTTACTAATGTGTTTGTAGCATACCATGCTAAGGAAGATTTCAAGGGAAATAATTCCTGAACGATACACTTTTACTCTCACTATAAATAGTTTTATAAAGTGACATTGTAAAGATTTTTTTCATATTATTTATTACGTAGAAGTCAAGGTAATAACATACTAAATAGTTCCACAGTAGCAGTACTAATGTTTCTCCAATATGTCTGCCGCTTTATAGGATTTGTGTCTCATTAGCACTATTGGAGGGACTGAAAAATGAGCTTCTTTTTTAGCATCAATTATATGCTACTCACTTTGCATCTATTATTTCACTTAATTCTTCCCCAAGCACTACGAGATACACATTTACATATGAGGAAATTGAGGTTCAGGGAGAAAAGAACTTGTCCATTGATACCCATACCCAGGTAGAAACAAGTATGTGTTATAAATCAGTTTCTGAGGAGTCCACACTTCATTACTTTTTTTTTTTTTTTTTTGCTATTTCATTCTACTCTTTACTAGGAGTGCTCTCATATGTATTTATGTATGCTAGTATTAAAATATATACACACACACAACTAATCATTTTTATAAAATATATATTATGGCTTATCTCATAGAATCATCTATAATGTACAATGAAAGCTCAGATGTTCTTTAGGACTGCAGTCCCCAAGCCCTGGGCTATAGCCCCTTAGGAATCAGGGCCACACAGCAGGAGGTGAGGGGCAGGCTACTGAACAAAGCTTCATCTGTATTTACAGCCACTCTCCATCGCTAGCCATGCCCCCCCTTCCCCTGGTCTGTGGAAAAATTGTATTCCATGAAACCAGTCCCTGGTTCCAAAAAAGTTGGGGATCTCTGCTTAGGAGATACCAGTGTGAACTCTGACTTTAAAATAGGAATTAAATTATATTAAATAAGAATAATATTTAATAAGATATTATTAATTAATAAGATATTAATAATATATTATTACTATTAATTAATAAGATATTATTAATATTAAATAAGAGTTGACTTTTTCTCATTTTATAAATTCAGAAGCATTCTTTAGAAATGTATTTCTTCTCTCCCATAACAGAAAGTTGGTGATAATATGAAATTAAATTTGTCTTCCTACATTTATACTCTTTGCTTTATAGTTGGCAGGAACAAAATTGCCCAATTTCATCTACAGGTATGTTCTTAAGAGTACATGAATCCTTTAAAAAAAAATGAATAGTAGATGCTCTGAACTGTAATAACATTTAAAAATGCAAAGATAAATGACTTCCTTTCTGCTATCTAGGAATTTATAGTAAAATTACAAAGATTAAAAAGTAGACCATCAATTATCAAAAAAGGCGAAAGACAACATAAGCACGATTGACAATCACAAATTTTCAGGAGTGTCACCTCACAAATTTTGCATGATTAGAGAAGATTTAACAGATACAAATGCTTTCACCCAACATTCAAAGATGTATAGGAGTGAGTCACGTGATATTTCGAGTTGGGCAAATATCATGTGTGAACCACAGAGTGAGAAGTAAGTGGGTGAAATGGCAGATTAAGCCAGAGGAAGAGATCATAAAGAGTTCTCTAGGACATCCTGAAGGCAATAAGAAGCCACTGAAGAATAGAGTGACATGATCATATTTGCATTTCAGAAAATCACCTTTGCAATTGTGTAGCTATGGTAATGGAGACAGGGAGAGTCATTAGAGGCTCTTAAAATATCCTGGGAGATTTATGGTCACAGTCCAAACTATGATAACAATAAAGATGATGAAGAGGAAGGATGTAGAAAAGCTACTTAGGAGAGAGTTGATTGAATGAGAAATTGAGGAACTAGGAAAAGTATAGTGTAAATATCAGTTTCTGCCTCAGACAACTGTGAAGTTCAGGTGTGATGCAAAATTGTGAGTTCACTTTTGGAAAGCTTTAGTAGGAGATGCCTGTGAAGCATCACATGAACAAGTGTTTGAATATGTGGTCCTCGGGCTTAGGATAAATCTTCAACCTATGGATTTGGGAATCATTGACTGTAAGTCAGTAGTCGAAGCTATGAGTATGAATGAAATTACTCAGAAGAAGAGGCCATTGAATAGGCTGAACAAATGGGCCATTCATTGTTCAACCAGTATTTAAATGGCAAAAGAAGGACTCTAAAAAGGAAGCTACATAAAGGTGTTCAGAATTTAAGAGAAGTATCCAAGGACAGTGTAATTGATGGCTAAGAAAAGAGAAACTGTCAAGAAAGGAGAACAATAAAGTGGTTAATAGGGCCAAATACTGAAAAGGGGTAAATTAAGATAAGAACTAAATATTCTTTATGAAACTTGGCAACATGAAGATCATTAGTAGGTTTTATGAAAGCAATTCAAGTATAAAATTTACATACTTGTGAGCAAATACTTGGGCAGAGAGGTTGAGTTATGATAAGATTTCCAAGTTATACAAATCTAGTAATCACCTAAGGAGGGAGACAAATATTTTATACAACTATGTAATATTAAGTTGCACACTATAAAAAGGAAAGTTTAGACATAAATTATATAAATTTGGGCTGTTTACAGTTAATTATTTTTATTTTTCAAACTTGTATATGTATAAAAATGTTTGCCAAACCTGAATTTTGTTTCATCCATGAGTTGAAAAAAAGAGTGATGTCTGCTCTGGCTTTAAAAATTTCAGTGTCATTTTAAAGTCACAGGTATCATAGAATTTAAGTGATTCAAATGAAATTAATTTCAAATAAATGTAATTTTAAAGCTTTGATTATCAAACTATAAAAACAATATACATGTATATTAAATATTGCGAACATCAAACTATTAGGTATCCTAAAGTAAGACACTGAAATTAAATTTAATAGGCAAGTTAAGGCATAGCAAATTTAAAAATATGACAACCTAGTTTCTTGTAATCTGTATTTTAAGTCAATCAAACAAATCATCAAACTATAATTGTTGAATATCACGTTTATTTTCTGTTTAACTTTAATATCTCAGAACTAGATAAAAAGTATTTTCACAGCATGCTGTTATCTGGCACTGTCATTGGCATGAATCTAATTTGATTTCTTATGTGGTGATTAAACAATTGCAGTTGAAACATAACTATTGTTTAAGAGAACGTCCTATTCTCAGATCTATTTCTGGAGTTACAGAATAAAGTCAGATATTATTTCCTAGACCAAATTCAAGCGCCCATAATTATATGAATAATTTAATTAAATGTGCTCAGATGATAGAATAATTAGAAAATTATATGCTTATGAGACTTAATTCCTAAGGTAGCACCTATCTAGATCATTTTGATGATCCGATAATTACCAAGACTTTATTGACTTTATTAGCAAATATGATCTGTCATCAGTGTGTAATAATCATGGTCATAGAATGATCCCCTTGATATACATGGAAAAATCTAGTTAATGTTTTTATAAGTCACAGTTGAATCATTATTTTAACCAGGGATATGCTGCTCAATATGTCCTAACTTTTCCTTGCACATTAATAAAATTTATCCATTAACTAACTTTGTCCCAAACTACAGTTTTTGGAGACTGATTTCTTCTTTCTACTCTCTTCACATCAGTTGGATGAGATATTTATGCACCCTTCTTAGTACTAAATATATTCAAAATTGTCTCTAAGATAATAAAATTAAGAACAGAGTGGAAGTATTCCATTTGAAGGCACTATCTGATTTTTGTTAAGTTTGCACGGGTTTATGTCATAAATTTTTAAAAAGTGACTGGTCTCTGAAGTTCTTGGTGTTTAACTGCCTGTAAAAATGAGAAAGTAATACTGCTCTGCCTGCTTTAGGGAGTTATGAGGATCAAATTAATGGAAGTGAATGTCCTTTGAAAAGAAATATCCTTCTAAAAAAATATGAGATGCATGTATTATTGCTTTAGGAATAGTCTATAAGTTTATGGGACCCGGTGCATGCTACACATTTCACTTATTGGAAGGGTCAACTGTTGGTCTTAGTTGTTTTCCAAAAATCTGCCTCAACTTTTGATTCCTTGCTTCCTCCTTTTTAAAAGCTTTTACCTGAGAAGGTAAGACCACCACATGTGATCAGAGTCTACCAGGAGAGAGCAAAAAGTGGGAGAGAAGTACACACCTGAAAAAGGGAAGTCAAGGGAGTTAAACAACCAAACCATGAGAATCACAATCAATTCAGCTTAAGTGTCATTTTTAGATGCTGCTTTATTTGGAGACTCAGCATGAAAGCCAGGGGTCACTTATCCCTGAACCCAAACCGCTGAGTTTTGCACAGTTCTAACTCAAAATGCTGAGGCAGTAAATGCTATTAAAAATGCTTTTGTGAAAATCAATGCAGTCTTATTTCGAAAATGAATATTTATTTTATGGAATGAAATGGATGGACTTAATATGACATGAAAGTAGTTTATTGCTTAATATGTTTTTAAAAGTGCACTGCAGAAAAATACCCAGCTTATCTGAGCCAACAGAAACATGATTACTAAAGGTCATTTCTTATTACGTTTAAGAATTTTTGTTAAATCTGAATTATATAGGATATTATTTATTATAATAAAATTAAAATTGAATCCAGTGAAGACTGTGGTTACCACAGGGTTTAAAATCCATCCCAGGGTCAATCAATTGAGATTATTCAGTAACAATGACAATGAAAGTGGTCCCATTTTGGAGTAGTATAATGCTCTATTATTGTCTCTTAGGCTAATACACTTTATAATGGAAAGAACTGAGGCTATAGAGCCAGAAGACATGAGTTTAAATATGGGTTTAATATCTTACTGAACAAGTCATGGCACAGAGTATATCCAAACTCTATCACTTAGGAGTGTATTTGGCTTCAAGTAACAAAATAGCCAAATAATAATAGCTTAAAAAATAGGTTTTTATTTTCTTATGTTATTGGGAAGAGGGTTGGGAATAGGATGGTGAGCTATCAGAAATGTTATAAAGGGCCCAAACTTTTTTGTTTTTCTACTTCTCATACTGATTTAAAGATGGCTTTTATATCTCAGAGCATCATGAGAGCATATCATCAGAGCACCATGTCAAGTGCATGCAGGAAGGAGGAATGGAAAAAAGATGGAGAACTAATGTTTTCACCTTTTGAAGTTTGTGATTTCATTTGAAAAAGAAATTTCTTCTTGACAGACTTTTGTTTATGCATAATGAGCTATAAATGAGTTATGTGGTTAATCCCATGCATCGAGTAATGAGATTATCAGGACTAGTTCAGACCAATTATAGTTCATAACTTTGTGCCTGACATAAGGGCTTACCCTAAGTCCAAGAGATTTTCTACTGAATAAATATCAGATTCCTGTTGGAAGATGGTAGGGCAGAGTGGTAGCTGTGGGTAAATACACTTCATTGTCTCCCACAGTAACTTTTGTGGCATACCTAGACCAGGCATCTTAGTTTGCATCTCTGTTTAGACCCATTGTTCATGCATAATTATTTACAGTGTTCCCTGGGTCAAGCTCTTTAAGGAAGAAGGGTGGAAACACTAAGAGACTGGCAGAAACTTGCTGCACTTAAGAAATCAACTCAGACATGGCACTCTCATGTTGGCTCATATTCTCTTGGTCAAATAAATCATCTGGCCAAAACCAAAGTTTGTGGAGTAAAGACAGCTACTCCACATCTAGTTGGACTGTCCCTAAAGTCAAGTGGCAAAGGGGTATATAAAGTCCTAGTGGAACAGAAGACAGTTGCAAATGCAGAATTTGGATCTATTTCTCCCCTGATACAAGCCTAACAGCAAATGTGGGTTCTTGGGTGATTGGCTGAATACATTACTGTGAAATTTTGCTATTTAAATTTCAGTAAATGAGGTGAGATAGGGAGTGGTATATTCTTCAAATATGAGATGAGTAAATGAAGTTAGCGTTTCACTGAATAATTGGATGTCTAAACAGCCTTTCTAAAAATTACAAATGACTATTGCACATTATTGAGCTCCAGATAAAGTTGTATAATTTTTTGAATGGAAAATCTAGTCATTGTATCTTGATCAATAAAATACTTTATAAATTAAGGAGTGAAATAGATGCATGAAAAATTATTTTTAATGTGATTATTTGTTTTACTGTATTGTTTACCTTATTCTCTCATTTTTAGTCTAATTACTTTAGGCTATAAGAAACCTTTGGAAAGAGAAGATCTTTTTGAAATAAATGACAGTGATTCCTCCTACGTTGTGTATCCCATCTTTGAAAAACAATGGAGGAAGGAAGTTTTAAGGAATCAAGAAAGGCAAAAAGTAAAGGTAATTAATTTTTAAATTCTAAAGTAGTTAATTACTACCTGAAACTAGATAAAACTTTTTCTAACTATAAGCTATTATTTTTATTAATATAGAAAATCCCTAAAATATGTGAAATGGCAAGCCATTTCCCCAAGTAAAATTGGTTGCTATTATAGATCTTTCTGTCCTCAAACTATTCAGCATCACTTCCTTTTAATGTTTAGAAGCAAATAATGTCAAAATGTATATGTACCTTTGGCTTTTCACTAAGTGGTGACAAAGACAATTTCTGTTTCTCAAAGCATCACATCTATTGTCCAAGTAAATTTTATGGTAGCCAAGGCTAAAGTTTATGGGAACAGGGGTAGATACTCCACATCCATCATCACATATATATTTTTTACAGACTTCCCTAAAAGAAAATATAATTTGGAGATAAAAACTGCATATTAATGAAATAGTTCCAAAACTCACAAAAGGGATAAAATACAATCATTGCTCTTACCATTTTGCTATGTGGTATAAATATCAGGAACTAGTCTGAATACATATCATACCAATGATATGGGTCATAATTCCAAGTTTAACTGAATTTATTCTTTTCTTGTTACCTTATTGTCTTTGGAGTACATTAGTTTTATGGTTGTTTTATTTATATATTTGTATATGTAGATATATTTCATGTGTACTAATATTCTGTCCAATTTTCTCATTGTTTCTATTTTCTTTAATTATGTAGGCATCTTTTTGTAAAGAAGCATGTACCAGAAAACCATCTCTACTTTATGCATTGTGGAACACTTTTAAGTCTGCCCTGATTCAAGTTGCTTTATTCAGAGTATTTGCTGATATTTTGTTTTTCACTAGCCCACTCATAATGAAGTAAGTTGAAATCTTGTGTGTCTGTTTTCCTTCCTACAGGTAAATGAGAAGCAAGTGTTCTACTATAAAAGTTCTACTAAAAAAGATTGAAGAATGCTCTTATTGTGAATTTTACTTAGCGTATGGGTATTCTATTAGGATTGTCTATGATACAAATGGGGATTGCGGTAATGTGATCAATATTTCATGAAGCCAACTCTGCATTAAGCACTGTTCTAAAATCTTATATTAATTGTATTAAGTCATGGTTCCCTAGAGAAACAAAACCAATAGGGTATATATAGATATACAAATGGGGATTATTATGAGCATTGGCTCATGCAATTGGCTCATGCCTTGTAGACAACATTTCACATGTGTTGCTACAACTAGTTGCTGGGGGAATTAACCATGCTCTGTGCAACTTCATAGGAAGAGGATTTGTGGACGTTTGTGCTTGTTTTCCCCCAGACTTTACCTTATCCACCTTTTCTCTTTACTGATTTGTTTTGTATCTTTTCACCATAATAAATCATAGTGATGAATATGACAATATACTGAGTTCTGTAAGTTCTTTTAATGAATCTTTGAGCTGGGAGTGGTCTTGGGGGATCTCCAACACAGCCATCTAGATAAAAAGGTTGAGTAAGCAATTGCCTATATAAGTCTGGAATTAGAAAAGATACAGGCTGAAGTGGTGAACTGGAATTATTCTAAATTGGATTGGTATGTTGTTCTGGATGAGACCACATAAGCATAAGTGAAGCATAAGTGAAGAAGCATAAGTAAATACATTCACAAACAAAACCAACAACTATTCCAATATGTAGAGTTATTGAGAACGGGGAAATCTGTTACACGATATTGAAGAGTAGCTAGTGCAGAAAGAAAAGAACTAAGAGAGAATGGTGTTAGAAAATCCAAGGCAAGAAGGTGTTTATTGCTGTCAGAAAACTATTCCTGCCTGCTTGCTTGCTTGCTTGCTTGCTTGCTTTCTTTCTCTCTCTCTCTCTCTCTCTCTCTCTCTCTCTCTCTCTCTCTCTCTCTCTCTCTCTTTCTTTCTTTCTTATTTCTGACCCTGCCATTTTTCATCCCAAATTCTCTGGCTCCCATGTCTTTTAGAATTATAAGCCAAATGCCGCTTGGATTTACCCTCCCCCCAGATGAAATGTCAGATCTCTCCTTCCCCTTCCCTCTGCCCCGCCTACCTCAGTATATCCCAAGATTCACCATAGGGTTATATAATGTGTGACCAGAAATCTGTTTATCAGAGGCATTGACCAGCATCTTCTTCCTTCTTCTCCTGCCCTAGTATAGTTGTCTAATACTACAAAGTTAACCATGTCAAAATTTAGTGGCACAAAACAATTCTATTATGTTCACAATTTCAGGAGTCAGGATTTCAGACAAAGATTGTTTTTCTCTGCTCCACAATGATTAGGACCTTAGCTGAGCATCTTGAACAGCTGGAGACAGCTGCAGCTGTAGCTATCTCATATGGTTGGTCTGAGACATATGGCTGGCGCTCTGCTTCTGGTTGTGAACTGGGTCACCTTGGTTCTTCTCCTTGTGTGCTGCTGCTGGATTGTCCAACATGGGTTTTTAATTTACATGCTTGATGCCTGGGCTAAGATGGCTAAAATTGGCCATTTCTCTCTCTCTAAGTCTCTTTCTGTCTTTCCCCATACCCTCTCTGAATGGTTAGCTTGAGCATAGAGGTCTCAGAATAGTTGGACTTCTTATATGGCAGCTGTATTTCCTCAGAGTGAATATTCCAAGAGGCTCAGACAAGTTGTTTTATGACCTAGGCTTGGAAATCTCAGAATGTCACTTCTGCCACATTATCTTAGCCAAGCAAGTCTCTAAGTCAGCCAAAATACAAAGAGAGGGGGGTTAGGGGAAGGAGATTCAACTTCTCAATGGGAAGAGCAGCAAGGAATTCCCAGACATTTTCAGTCATACTCTGATTCCCATTTGCGAATGATTTCTGCTCAAGAAATTCATTAGAGAATCTCACTGTGGCCACTATCATTCCTAAAACTGCATCGATAATAGCACTTGAATGTCTCTTTCTTCTCTATGTTCTCCAAAAATTTGTAGCATCTAGGCTACCAAAGAATGTCTGTGGAGTAGAGAACAGTCTTCCCAATTTTGTGATACATTTTGTAACACTTGGTCAAAAACCGGTTCGATCATACCTGCAAAACAGGAACTTCAATCTTTCATTGAAATAAGTCAGTTGACATGTCTTTCTTCCTGCCTAGTTGACGAGCTTCTCCAGGTAAAGAATCCTGTGTTATTCAATTCTTGTGCCCTTAACTCTTAACACAAAGCCTGGAACATATAACTCAAATAAATTTCCTGAATAGAATACTACATAAGTGGGTTTAGCCAAAGTTATACTTTTCGTTCTAGAGTAGCTGAATAACCTTAAAATTTCCACACTGAGTAACAAATGAGTGACCAGAAAGAATTGTATGAGTTTGTATGATCATAATTTGGGCCTTGGAGGAGCTCATTTTATCAGATAATTTTGAGACATATATATTTTGTTTTGATAAGGAAAAGTCAGTCACTGTAGAGGACTATCTTTAAGGGTGAATGCACATTGTCATATTATTATGACCCATATAGGTAACAAAGCATATAAAAATAATACTTTTCTTAATTTACTAGTAGAATAATACTTTCAATATTTACTAGATTGGTTTTTATTGATTTTTTTTATCTTTGCCTCCCTTTATGGATTTTATTCTAATATGAAGCAAAAAATGAGTGTTCATATTTGATACTATGAATATTATTTTATGGTCTTTCCATGCCTTGAGTACAGATTATTTTTAATAATTCTGGATTAATATGTGTAGAACCCCTATAGCTCCTAGCGATAATCACTTAGTTGTTTGATTTTATGAAAAAAGAAAAGGTCTAATTGATAGATATATTCACAAAGAGAATAATTCTCCTCTTTCAGAAAATTTAATTCCAAGACCAAGAAGGCATTTAGTAAGTTGCTTTTGTAAAAAATAATTTGGTGTCCCAATAGGTAAAATCTGATAGAGATCAACTAAGAAATGCAGAACCTCCCATTGTTATTATATATATATATGTGGGGTATTCAAAAAATTTAATGTCATTGAGAATATACAATGTTCTAAATAATTGTCAGTAACTAGAGGTTTTACTATTAGAGACACTGGTATATATTTGATTCTAAAGTCTGATTTTAATAAAGTTAATATTTTGAAGTATTTGTTTGATAGAGCAGTTTGGGCAACACAAATTGCTTTTAATTGTTCACATATTAGCTATCTAAGTCATCAATAAAATAGATCAAACCCTAGAAATTTTATTTTCCACTTAAAAATTTAAACTTATATAATGAATGAGTTTTTGAATGCAGCATCCTTTTGGAAAAAATTTACATATAGTCACACCTAATTGCATAGGATTTCCTTCTTGTTCTAATAACCCATGGATTGACTCATAATGGCCATTTACAATGACAAAGAACATTTTTACATCTTCAGAATTCACAGTGAAAAAGGTCTATTCACAAAACCTCTAATACCAAACTAAACTTTCACTGATAAAATAGAAAGGACTATTTAAAGAAACCAAGAACTGTATGCCTGCAAAATAAATGACATATAAATTTATAGTATCTCAGAGTATCTGCCCAATTTTTTCATCATTATTCATAGTCTATGTAGTCTTTTAAAATTATTATTATTTTCAGTCACATAGATGCAGTTTATAAAAGGGTGAGATCACATAAAAAAATGTTATTAACAATGGGCATCAGGCACTCTGAGTTTTAATAGTCGAGAGACAATAAGCAACCAAGATAGTTATTTTTAGAACCATCTCCACCGTTTTTCTCTACCCCAGCAGTGACCCTAATGATCATAACCATGCTGACACCCAACCTAAGAGGAAATAAGAAAAGGTAGAGAAGAGGGAAATAGTTTATGCATAAAAGTAGCAGTAAAAGATGAGATGTAAATCAAGCCTTTAACAATTGCATCAATGTGTCATTCTAAGAGATCCCCTACTTAAGTTCTGATTGTTATATTTCCCAATATTTGACAAAATGCATGATTTTGAGGGAAAAAAGTAAGCATTTTTTTTTTTTTTTGAGATGTGGTCTCACTATGTTGCCCAGGCTGGAGTGCAGTGGCTATTCACAGGTATAATCAATCATGTCACATTGGAACCTCCAGCTCCTTAGCTCAAACAATCCTCCTGCCTCAGCCTCCCAAGTAGCTGAGACATTGTGCCCAGCAAAAAGTTTTACATGTCCCCATGCCTCAAGTTTTCTAATGAAGTTAGACAAAAACAGTTAATTGTTTGATGAGATTACCATATAAAAACCAGAAAATAACTTCTTATTCACAAGCCTGTGAAAATAATTGCCTGTTTTATTTATTTTATCATCTAATGCTTAAGTTAAAAAGGGGTGGTGGTGGTAAGGATACCAAATTGATCAAGCAGAGAAAAAGAAGAGGTAGGGGTATATATGTGTGAGTGTGTGTGTGTGTGTAACATTTTGGCAATACTCAACTCTCATAAGCATTTAACTACTTCAGATGTTTAACATTTCTTTTCCTTTCTCAATTTTTATGACATTCAGGCAAATGATCATTTTCTGTGAACACAGCTCAGATTTTGGCTGGATTGGCTATGGTTATGCAGTGGCACTTTTTGTTGTAGTCTTTTTGCAAACCCTGATCCTTCAGCAATATCAACGTTTTAACACACTCACCTCAGCAAAAATTAAAACAGCTGTAATTGGACTGATCTACAAAAAGGTAAAAAAAATTCAAGGAATTCCCAATTTCTAAATGGACTGCCCCCTTACGCACTTCAAAATAAGGGGACTAGAAAAATAGGAGAGTATATTTAAAAGTTCTTAAGGTGTCCTTCATGTATGCATTTGTTTTACATTAAAAGAACTTTGACTCAATGTTGATTGCATTCTTTTCTCTATAGGGTTATTTCTCCCTATAGTCCCCACAACTTGTAGTCAGCCCTAATCCATGAAATGATTATCCTTGTCTCCTGTTATGTCACTTGCTTCACCTCCAGAAAGTGAATGGAATTGAATGTTTTACTGGTTGTCTATATTTATGCATTGATAAAATTTCCTCTTTGCACAATCATTTTCCTTCTATATACTACCTTTTTCTTCTTCCTCTGCCCAATCTACCTTATTTTTTCATACAACAAAGCCATCCTTTTCTATTCAATAATTGTTTGCTTTTCTTTTGTTCTAAGCCCTATCCCCCAAACTTGGCTGATTCTAATTCCTGGCATAACCGTAACATTTGCTTTGTCCTTTTTTTGAAAATACAATTTTAAACACCACCTCTTTACCATCCAGAGCTTTTTATTTACGTCATAATTATTAACAATGAAAGATTTTACTTTCTCTCCTAATTATCAACCAATTATTCAATTAACAGGTGTGCTCCCCTGTAAGTTGTGGATTCTTTAAGTTCTGGAATAGGAACTGATTTACCTATTATATCCTTATTGTATAAGACAGTGGCTTTTATAAATTTTTATAAAAGTTGGATGAATGAATGAATGAATGAATGAATGAGTCCTTGTCTTCAAGAAATTGGAGGAAAGTGTCAGCATATGTAATAAATATGTGGAACTAAATGTAGATTTTATAAAAGATCAGATGTGCAGGAAATCTACAAAGATTGTAGTTAAGAAAGTTAAGAACATTTTCATATAGAAAAGAAGTCTTGAAATGGAGTGAGCTATAGAATGGGTATAAGTGAAAGGAAGTGTGACAATTTAGGCTGATCTGACAGGAAACATTTTAGGCCATTTCACCCTACTGGGCCAAAATGGGGGCATGGAGTGGTTTTAGAGATCCTAGAATGACCTGAGACCAACTGAGTCAGTAAATGGTAATTGAACTTGCAGCAGAGTAATTTATTAATAGCTCTGTAGAGCACAACCCAATACAAGGACAGGGTGGCTGACCCAGTCCTAATTCTAGAGGTAGTATATGAGAAATCCAAATAGGGAGGAAAGATAAGAGAAGATCTATGATTCAGTTTAAATACTAACACTAGTTTTTGATATACAGTCAATATGAAGCAGGATTTCATTCAGTGATAAAAGCATTGGAGTTTGGGTGTGAGATGTGGGTAGATTTACAAGCATAAAAGAGTAAACTTCCATATAAGTGTAAATGCACAAGAATGTGAACTTACAAGCATAAAAGGTGGAGCACAGGGGATTTTTAGGGTGATGAAACTACTGTGTATGATACTGTAATAGTGAATACATGTCATTCATTATACACTAATCCAAAACCACAAATACAACACCAAGAGTGGACCTGAATGTAAGCTATGGATTTGGATGATAATGGTGTGTCAGTGTAGGTTCATCAGTTGCAGCAAATGGATCACTGTATGGGAGATGTTGATAATGAGGAAGCTATGCACATACAGTGCAGGGAATATATGGGAGCTCTCTGTACCTTTCTTTCAGTTTTGCTGTGAACATCAAACTGCTCTAAACATACAGTCTTGTGTGGGAGCAGGAAGGTGTAATACCTTTCCTTGTCTATCATAAGGGTCACTCCTATAACAAAAGACAAGTTAACAAAAGAAGAGTATAACAAATTTATTTAATCAAAGTTTCACATGATATGGGAGCCTTCAGAAAGAAAGACCCAAAGACCCTGGCAAACTGTCCATTTTTATGCTTAGGTTTGATGAAAAATGGACAGCCTTGTAGAAATGCGAGCGCTGACACACTTCTTGGTACACAAAGGAACTGAAGAATGCATTCTTATAAATGTTATGTGACCCCACCTTCAGGCCCACCATGTCTTGTGCTTCTGGTTGAAAATCATTGGGATAGGATTTTTAGGGTATTTCCAGCTCTACATTAAATGATATATATGACTTCCAGCTGGATGGTCAGAAAAGTTTCATGGTTAATATTGCATAATGTGGGTCTGAAGGATGAATTGCATGAGGTAAAGGTTCTGCTGTTGGAATACTATGGAAGAAAAAAGTACAGAAATTAGTACAAAGCTTACTCAGATAATGGGGAGTAGATTAATTTGACTAGAAGCAATGTTTCATGTGTGGGATAGTGGGGAGAGATAGTAAAGGCAGAAGAGATTGCTTTTTAAAATCTTTAGTAGAAGAACCTTTAAAGGTATATTGTAAAAATGTACTTTAATTTTATAGGAAATTGGGATCCGGTTAAGCCATAAAGTGGATGATGGGGACAAAAAGATTGAAAACAATTGGAGCTGGAAAGAAGGAGAGCCTTACAGCTGTGGCAGTAGCTCAGGAAACAAAGATATGAACTAGCGTCATGGCAGTGAGTCTAGAAACAAACACATAGATGTGAGGGAGAATGTGAAATTGCAAGATGAATTTTATCATCAGACGATAAAATGAAATAATAGTGTATTGAACTCAGTGATAATCAAGATATTTCCAGTAAATAGGAGGAGTTTGTAGGGCTTGGAACTATATCTGGTTCATCTGGATCTTCTTAGAGCATAATTGAATAAGTGAAACGAATTAAGTTTCGAAAATACATGAGTCACACAGTGATCCTTGTGTGAGTGTGTGTGCAAGCTAAAACTTATAGGATATGAAAATACCATAGAAAAGGAATCTAAAACTTGGATAGAAACTTTGAGTTTCTTAGAAAAAATGATTGTGATAATGATGTACCTTGGCTGATTTTTATTTTGATTGAAGAATATGTAGAAACTCCCAAACTTCTTCCATTGTTTGAGATTTTAGAGATGGGCCTTTTCTTTTTATCTGAGTCACATTTTCTCTCTTTTATCAGATTTAAATACTTTCTATCAGACAATTCCAGAAATGTTGCACCATCCACTGTAATTGTGGTGCCTATTGCAATATTCTTTCAAATTGTTTCGTATAACAAAAGGCAGTTTAGATTGTATAATTTAGCAATAAATGGTAACTGTGTTGCCCTTCATAGCTTGTGAATTTTGTCTTTTATGAAAATGTAAAAGTTTATTTGGCAGAAAAAAATATTGAAAGAAAAATTGGTTCTCCTAATGTTAGAAATGGCATATACACAACATTCAATTATAGGATGACTTTTACCCTTCTATAATATTCTGAAAGTAACATTTTTTCTTTTAGTATTGTCAGAACACTTAACATGAGATCTATCATATTAACACATTATAAGAATAAAATACATTATTGTTTTCTATAATAAAATATACAGCAGATCTCTACACCTTATTCATCTTATGTGGTTAATTGAAACTTTGTACCGGTTGACTAATAACTCCTCAATCTTTTCTCCCCCTCAGCCCCTGGTAACCAGCATTCCACTCATCGATTTTATAAATTTGACCATTTCAGATACATCATTTAAAATACATCATTCCAAATACTCATGCAATATTTGTCTTTCTGTGTCTGGCTTATTTAACATAGCATGATGCCCTTAAGGTTTATCCATGCTGTCACATATTGCAGAATTTCCTTCTTTCTTAAGGCTGAGTAGTCATTTCTTCAAAGAAGACATAACAGGGCCAACAAGTATATGAGACAATGCTCATCATCACTAATCATCATGCAAATGTAAATCAAAACCATGAGATATAATCTCACACCTGCTGGGTTGGCATTATCAAACAAACAAAGGACAAGTCTTGGCAATAATGTGGAGAAACCAGAACCCTTGCACACTCTTTGTAGGAATGCAAAATGGTCAGACACTGTCGAAAACAATATTGAGGCTCCTCAAAAAATTAAACATAGAACTACTATGTCATCCAGCAATTCCACTTCTGGGTATATATACAAAAGAATTAAAATCAGGATCTGGAAGAGATATCTGCATTTCATGCTCATTGCATTCCTATTCATAAAATCCAAGATTTAAAAACAATGTAATCAATCAATAGATGAATGATAAAGAAAAGGTGATATATACATACAGTGGAATATTAATTAGAAATTAATTTTTAAAGATTATTTTCTCATGTACATTGAAGAAAATGTGTATAATGCATAAATTTTGAAAGAGAAAATAACAACCGTCCATAATTCTAGAATCTAGAGATAAGCATTGATATATTTTCTTTCAATATTTTTTCCATACATACACACATATTTGGTACATACTGTTGTGTAATCTATTATTTACTTAGTAATATTTCATGAGAAATATATTGAGAAAGTACCTTTTGAATATAATATTTTGTGATTTGTTTTTATATTTAATCTTCTATTTTTAAATATATTTATTCTTACATATATCCATATGTTTAAATAAATCCACAGACAGACTTCATATATGCTATACTTTATTATTGTCATATTTTTCTCTTTTTTTCTTGCCCTCTTTCTCATTGCTTATCATCTTCACTCATAGCATATATATATATTTTTTATTTTGGGGGATTTTCATTGTTTTCTAAGGTTTGGATGACATTGTAAACACCTTTTTTTGAAATTTTCATTTTCCCTTGTGTGTTCAAAAATTGGACATCTCACCAATATATAACTCTAATTATACTTTTTAATGGTTACAAAATATTCTATCTGTGTCTGTAACCTTAATTTATTAAAATACTATGAGCAATATTTCAAAAAAAATCCTTCCCATGCAAGGATATCTGTGTTTTTGTCCTAAGAGTGGGATTTCCAAGGCTAAAGAGAGAGGGAAACAATTTTAATTTTAATGGGTTTTCCAAGTATTTTTCAAAAGGTCTTGAACAACTTATATTTCCAATGGACAGATATCAAAGTATGTTCTTCATACACTCTCATTAACCATTGCAACATTGTCATCTGACGCTAGGTATGACAAAGAGAACTGCTGCCAATCCTTCACCTCCATCCCTACCATTTTAGGATTATCTGTTTTGTTTTGATTTTTTCCCTGTCTGGTTGCTTATAAGGATTTCTTTTTAATTTCACCAAGATGATAGGAGGTGAAATTTTAACAAATTTGGTTAGTACTTCCTGGCTTTTTGGTTTAAAATATTCCATTCAGAGAAACTGTTTTCTATATTTTCTTTAATGATTTCTTCTCATTCTTTTCTTGGAAAATAACAGTATGTATATACATGTATATGTGTTTATATATTGTATATATGTATGTGTGTTTATATACATAGTGTGTGTGTGGTTTAAGCGCTATTATGTGCATAGATACACATTCAGTTGTACAGATAGATGTAGATATAATGGTCTTATATATGATAGAAACTTAAACTCAGAGCAATTAGGTAACTCAACCAAAGCCATAAAGTTATTAAAGTGGAGGGCTAGTCTTGGAACTCATGCATTCTGCTCTAGAGACTGTGTTCTTTATTACTGTAAATAGTAAAGAAGTATAAATATAAATATATACCTTTATGTATACATTTATATTTTGTGTGTGTGTGTGTGTGTGTGTGTGTGTGATTTCCCAAACCTCTTCTCCATTCCTTAAATCTTTCCTTTCATTATTTCATTCTTTGAAATGTTTTCTCTAATTCCTGGAAAACATTTTTTAACTTATTTACCAGTTTACAAATTTCGTTTTATTGTAGCATCCATTTGGACTTTTGATAGATGCATTGTGTTTTTCAAAAATTTGACAGTTGTGCTTTCAGCTTGAAAACAAATTCTATTCATTTAGAGTAATACAATTCATTTTTGATGAATATCATATTTTTTATCTGTAAAGATGCAAGGACATATTCAGTTATTTTCTCATGTTTCTTGTAATACCTCTTTCCAAGAGGAGGGTATTTATTTGATTCCTTGGATAATTCAGTTAATTTGAAATACTCATTTTTTTAACATTCCCATAAAAACTAAATAGATATTTTTTAAAGAATAGGAGAAAAGAAGTTATATTTGTTTATAAGTTGGGAGTGGATTCTATTAGATCAATGGATTGCTCGTAAAAATTATTATAGCCTTACTAAAATGAAAAGTATAGCTCTTGGATTTCCATTGTTTTAATTCTTCTCATTAGTTGAATAGTAGCTTACTAGGGCGTAATTCAAAACCTACATTTGGAGGACATATGACATACAAATATAAGCTTAACTGTTATAGTGACTAAATATTTTTTCCTTTTTTTTTCCCTCTTATGGCAGTAGTCATTCTGTTTTATCATCAGTTTAACTGTTCTCCTTACTAGTCAGTAGCAGAAATGTCTCTAATTTCTGGGCTGAAATGTAAACAATGTAGCCCTAGAGACTTGTGCTTACAGGGATGCTGATGTCTTATGAACTTACCAAGACGGGTATAGTCCCTCCACTGGACCCTATACCTCACCCCCACCTTGCATTAAATAGCCCTTCAGCCTGAAATTAGGCAATGTTACAGGTGTTCCACTGTGGGTCCTGCCTACTATATTCCAGATGAGCTTTTCCTTTGAATTATTAATTTATCAAATAATAGATTTCGAGTACCTCCTGTATCTGACTATCTTGTCTCTCTTTAAATCAATGTAGTAGAAATTCCATAAAGTTTTTGGTATGTGAATGCATATTTGCCTGGTTTCCAATAGAAATACAAATCCCCCAGAACTTTAACAGTTGTTTATATATTTCACTGGAAATTTTAAATGGGTGGATGATTAAACAAATGGATTTCTATCACCATCATTAGTAAGAAGTTACAGATACACATATTGGGATGTTGGATTCAATATGTAAATATTAAATAGCATGCACAGGTGGAAAGTACGAATTGGGCCTTTGAACAAAAGAAATATTTCCATCTGTTCCATGAAGCCTTTCCAATACTCTTATCCAAGTTCCCATGACCCTTATTAGCTGCTTCTACAGTTAGAATGGGCCTGTGTTTGTGTGTATGTAGCTCCACAGGTAGACTGTAATTACCTGGAAAATTGGAGCCATGTCTATTTTTAATTTTCCACAAATTTTAACTTAATACTATTCATCAGTATGCATTTGATATTCATTGATTCATTCATGTACTTTGTACTGGTAACATTGAGATGGTTTGGCATCCTGGAGATACAAATGGAGGGGAGCCTCAATCTATACAGAATAGATTTATTTTTGCAATTTTGTAATTAACAAGTTATAAAGAGTTATTTGCTTGGAAACCAAAATGTTACTCTCTACCAATATTCAAGGAATTCCAAAACTATGTAATTTGATCAATCATTATGTTTCTCACCTAAAAATTATCTTTTTATTTTTATGACCCCAAAACATAAATAACCTTGTATATTTTCATAAATGTATTAAAAGTAGACATTAAAACTTACCATTGTTTCATTAAAAGATGCCTCATAATCTATAGAACTCTAAAATATTTTGCTTCTTTTTTGGCAGTCCCTACTTTTGTCAAATGTTTCTCGAAAAAAGTTTTCTACTGGCCAAATTATTAACTTGATGTCAGCAGATGCCCAGCAGCTCATGGACTTCACAGCAAACCTCAATCTCCTATGGTCAGGCCCTTTTCAAATTCTGATGGCCATATATCTCCTTTGGCAAGAGCTGGGTTCAGCAGTATTAGCAGGGGTGGCTGTCCTTGTGTTCGTTATACCAATAAATGCATTAGCTGCAACTAGAGTAAAAAAGCTGAAGGTAAGAAAATGACTGTCTCATGTTACATGTTTCAAACAGAAACTGAGTTTTCTGACTTGAGTCAACAGTGACATCAAGCTAATTCTGTATATATGGAAAATAGAGGTTATAAATGGAAGCCACCCAAATTTGCCATTCACACATTCATTTAACCAGAAATGATTGGGCAGCCAGCCTGTGCCAGGAACTGTTCTGGGCAGAGGAATACATCAGCAAGAACTGACAGGTTCCAGCTCTCATGGGACTAGTGGGGAACACAGGCAACAAGCAATTAAATATATATATAACATAATACCCTTTGGCAATCTGTATATGAAGAAAAATAAGTAAGGATAAGATGATAGATGATCAAAGAGTGCCATTTTACGTACAGGGGAAGGAGAGTCCTCAGGAAGGAAATGGCATATCAACAGGTTAAAGCAGTAATTCATGTGGATGTCTGAAGAAAAGATATATCAAGCAGAGGGAATGGTATGCATGCAGCCTGAAGGTAGGGGTATGCCTCAATCTCTGCAGAGTGGACTGCATGCAGCAAGTGCACAGTAAATGCTTCACTGATTTAATTTTAATATTTTTCCTTTACATTCAGTCAATCATTCATGTTACTATCAATATGTGCTTTGACCTCCCACCATGTATCAGACAGTGTGCACTATGATGTATTCGTAGGAATGGAGAAACAGCACAGCTTACTGTACTGCAGGAAATCACACTGAGATAAGACATATGATTTCACATGTTAACCTAACATACGCAGGCACAGATGTATTGTTTACGAAACCATATTTCATTATTTTAGATGCATCAAATATTAGCAATATATGTGTATTGATCTGGAAATGTCTTAATCATATATTAGAGGAAAAATCATATTAAAGAAATATATATGTGTATATTAATATATACATCTGTGTATGTATATCATGTACATATGTATTTATATAATTAATCCAATTTTTAAGATGTGACTATACCTCTGCACATGTGTATGATAAAGATAAATATTAATAAATGAAGATACATAGCTATAAATGTATTAGTATAAGCATAGAAGTAATCTAGAGAGAAAGCAGCAGTCTTTTATTAATAAAAATAAAAATATTAATAAAAATTGCTATGGAATGGAATTAGACAGAAGGAAGTTTTTTTATTTGATACATTTAAGTGATAAAAAACACTTTCTGTTATATTTTTCTGAAATTTTCAAAGATGATTGATATTTAAGATAAAAACTAGAAAATAGTATATAAATATGAAGGAGAAGTATTAAAGACACTAAGGTTTAGAATAACAGTTTTGCTTATAATTATAATGAATCCCTTTAATCTAGTTTTTTTAAAAAATTCTGGATTTTAAATAAGGCCACTTAAAGTCAAATTACTAGAAATGGAAATACATTTTTGAAACTTTAATCTAGAGTCTCAGAACCTTCATAGAGATTTCAATATTATGTGCAAATATATGAAATAGAAAATTCACGTTTAAATTATGCAAATAATGTTATCAGTGTTAATGTGTTCTTCATAAGACATATAAACACTTATTTTTACATATAACATTAAGTGGCAATGTTTGTGGAAGAAACCCTTAAGAAGCAATACCCAAACAATAAGTATAAATATTATGATAATTGTTAAATATTTGAATAAATATGCAACAATTAGATAGTATTTATAAAAAGAAAACAGCTGGTATTTGAAATATACATTTTAATTGTTCTAATTCCCAAAGAACTAATCTAATATATAGAGAGCCTTATTTTTATTCCTGTGACACTTCTGTTATAAATATATACATATATATATAAATAGCTGATAGAGTTTTTGGAAATTTATTCTATTTTAATAGAATAGGTGGATGTTATAAGTAGGTTATAGTTACCTAGTTATAACTATTTTCCAACATTATCAATAGATTAATATTGTGTATGTATTGTAAGATGTTTTTCTCAACTAAATCTTATATAAAATAGAGAAAATAGACTATATTTAGGAAGTAGCTATAGCCATACAAGTAAAAGTATTACCAATTTTGTCAAATATGCTTTTGTTTTCTTTCCATTAAATAGAAAAGCCAAAAAAAGAACAAAGATAAACAGATAAAACTACTCAAAGAAATCTTACATGGAATTAAGGTAATATATATAAAAGGGATATGCCTTTGAATTGACTAGAGTATAGCAATAAATTAGTCAATAACTATAGTTTGTACTATTCTCAATATTGCAAAATGACAATACATGTATAATTGTTGGGTGGGGGTTTCAGATTGCAGATATGTAGTAATCCTTATTGCTAAGATAGCATTTAAATGCAAAGCCAAATAAAATGCAGGCATCCTTTTTTTGTTTGCCACTGAACAACTAAATACAAATATCCTAAAAGACACAAAATGTTATTTATTTTAAGGAATAATGTGGGAAGAGATGGGATGAAGCAGGCAAGAAATGCAATAACCTTGCCATGATTATAAAGGCAGATTTATTTATATGGGGGAAGTGATGAGATGTCATTTGGCTTTTTTTATGTGGGAATACAAATGACCTTATAAATTCTATTCTACAAATTATATGTTGCTAATTATTTTTTCCTTGGTAAAGCTACCTCATCCATGCCACTAATATTTTCTCTGCAGTCAAATGAGTGAAACCTCATGAACTTTTATATACATAATTTCAAATTCTATTGCACCTAGATTATGCCGCATCACATTTTTCTAAGGGGCAAAATTTACAAAGCCCACATGACAACTCTTTTTGGCTTTGTCAATGGCATTGGTAATCCCCTCTATCTGGTGCATCTGTTATTATATACACAGTATGTACCCACCATATGTACACATTGATTCACCTTACAATCAATAAAGCTTCTTCTGTATTGTGCTATGCAGAACTTTCACAAAATTGTAACTTACTAAAGTGAAAGAGATTGTTATATTGAAGAAGCCTGGAAAAGATACTGATATCCACTTATTCATAGGAAATTCAGTAGCCTAAGTAGCTCTGAAATTTACCTTGAATTATTTAATAAGGTCATACACTCCAAACTAATATGATTCTAATGCAACTCTCAGTGGTTAATTGATAGACCTTGCATCCAAAAAATGTAAACCAATGTAATGCTTATAAGTTTTAAATATTGATATTCATAAAAGAAAATTTGTATTATTAATAGGACTAGTACATTGTAGTTGAAATAGCAGAATGTGTCCTTAAGATCTGAGCAAAGTCCAAGGCTTCACATAGTAGTCTCAGCAAAGAACATGCTAGAAAATTGTTAGAGGTGCAAATGGCAATGAGGGCAACTTAAAAGTGAGAGCAGTCAGTATCTGTGGGGTCTGATAACATGTGTTATAAAGCCTCTCTTGGATAATACTGAGAATTTCTACTATTTATGTGTGAAATGCTGTACTTACCACGTTATATCTATTTCTTCATATAATTCTTATAAACCCCAAGAAAAAATATTTCTCATTCCTATTTTACAAATTAGGTAACAAAGGCACTGAGCAGCTAAGCATCATGACTAAGTGTACAGAGACAGAGTATATTAAGGTTTGAGAGAGAGAGAGAGAGATTTATTTTAAGGAATTGATTCATCTGATTGTGGGGGCTGGTGAGTCTGAACTCTGTAGAACAGGCCTGCAGACTGGAAATTCTGCAAGAGTTTCTGCAAGAGTTTGATGCTGCAGTCTTCAGTCTGGAGGCAGAATTCTTTCTTCTTTAGGGGACCTCAGTCTTTTCTCTTAAGGCCTCCACTTGATTTGATGTGGCCCACCCATATGATAGCTTACAAATCTACATAGCTCAGAATTTACTGATTTAAATTTAATCACATCAAATAAATACCTTCACAGCAACATCTAGACTGACTGGTACTTGACCAAACAACTGGGCACCATAGCCCACTTAAGTAGACACATACAATTAAGCATCACAAAGAGATAGAGCTGGAATTTGAACATAGGTCTATCTCATTCTAAAATGTATGTCAGAGCCAGTATATGATCCTGCTTCCCCCTATTTTTTGTCTCAGAAAACTGTTCATGATCTCAAAATACCAATCATCTTTCAGAGGATAGTTTAAAGTCCCATGACATCTCTCTTGAAGAAATTGGGAAGCCCAGGACAAAGTTTAGCTATGAAGAAATGGGGAGTAGACAGAAATGAGGAGTTGGACCAGTAGGAAGAGTGACAGAATTGAGCTAGGCAGAAACTGCTATAGAGCTTGTGCCTGGAGCTGGAATGTTACCAGAGTCTGGCTCAGAAATAAGTTATGAGGGGTGCAAGGGGCATAAAGCTGGAGGATGATGATTTCTTCCTCCTGCCCAGCACCAAGCCTCCAAAAAATCATAACTCAAGGAAATATTTTGACTTAAGTAGAAACAATTTACTTTTATTTATGAGTGTACCATCATTTTTTACCTTCACGATCATGTATATGTGAGTGTGGTATGTATTTGTATGTGTGCATTTTTTTCTTCTGCGGTATCGATTACCAAATAATCACCATTCGACTCTTTTACAGATCCTCAAGCTTTATGCTTGGGAACCCTTCTATCAAAATAAGATTATTGAAATTCGAGATGAGGAATTGGAATTTCAAAAATCAGCTAGATATCTTACTGTATTTTCTAGGTTGGCGTTAACTTGCATTCCGTTTTTGGTGAGTGTATAATAATTTCCTGCTTTGATTTTCAAATTGGATTTACAGATTCACCTCCAAATTATTTAGAATTAATGTGTGGAAAGTGAATGTTCTATAGATGAATTAAAATTTTCAGGAAATACATTTATTAATTTATGTAGATTAGAGAACAAAAGATTTAAAGAAGGGGAAATATGTGTTTCATTGGTCTGTATTTTTTATATATAATAAGATTTTACTTTGTAGATTTCTCACAGATTGAAAATATCCTATATTTTGAAAAAATACTATCTACATTTCAGAGTTTCATTCCAGCTCCAAAGTTTAATTAATCCCTTTTAAGCAGAACCCCAGGCTGCTTTATATGGAGTTGGGAAGGGAAGTAACATTTATTGAATGTTTTTACTGCATACGAGGCAAGTTATCTACATAGCCTTATTTCATTCTCACAATAATAAGGTATTATTTTCCTCATTTCAAAAGAGTAAATGGGCCGGGCAAGGTGGCTCATGCCTGTAATCCTAGCACTCTGGGAGGCCGAGGCGGGCTGATTGCTTGAGGTCAGGAGTTCGAAACCAGCCTGAGCAAGAGCGAGACCCTGTCTTTACCATAAATAGAAAGAAATTAATTTGCCAACTAATACATATAGAAAAGATTAGCCGGGCATGGTGGTGCATGCCTGTAGTCCCAGCTACTCGGGAGGCTGAGGCAGTAGGATCACTTGAGCCCAAGAGTTTGAGGTTGCTGTGAGCTAGGCTGACACCACAGCACTCACTCTAGCAGCAACAAAGCAAGACTCTGTCTCAAAAAAAAAACAAACAAAAAAAAAAAAGGAGGTAATGGAAGTCCATAGTAGTTTGAAAATATCTTCAAAGTTAAAGAATATATATTTAGAGGTGAATTGATATGAAGTAAGCTTATTCTCTATTATACCATGTAAACATATCGAATCCCATGCAGTTTAGAGTATAAATTGCCTTAGGATATGAAGCAGTGGGCAAAAGCCAAAGGATAGGCAAGCCACATATAACTGAAGCATAATTTTTAAACAAAGTTACCAGTCCAGGAGATGATGAGGGTCAAGGAAAGTACTATATGTCTCCCTTGATAATTTAAAATATTATTTTGTTTCATTTAAGCATGTATTATTGAAGTGCAAGCAATATTTACATTTGGAATACTTTGGTAAAAATGTCCAAGAAGCATTTGCTGAAGCCAGTACTGTATACATGATAGTCAATATGCTCTCATGCGTGAGTGAACTTTTCTGCCTTTTGAAAATGAAACTCATAAGAGCAAATATAAGTCTTATCGGCCATGATTTATTCATATCTTTTTCAGTTAATTTAATGACACAAGGAAAACATGATTATTACATACAAGTCAGAATGTATGCACACACAACTGGAAAATAAGTTTACATAAAACTTCTGCTTTTAAAGAAAAAATGAACTGATACACAATTTAAATGGGAACAACTCTAGTAAAAATATGACACATCTTATAACAAAGAGCTGGACCACACAGTCTCAAGGATGTCATTGTCCAAGATACACAATTTTATGATCTGTACTAAATATACATTTTATGTTCTTCAGCAAGAGTACTGAATCTCAGTAAACAAAACAATAGTATTGAGATTGTTTTGTAATTTGGAGGACTGTAACTCATAATATTGTTATCTGTAAATATTTGAAGTAAATAACATATCTCTATTTTTTTAGGTGTCCCTGGTGACCTTTCGTGTCTATTTCTTACTGGATGAAGAAAACATTTTAACAGCTACTAAAGTGTTCACATCTATGTCTTTGTTTAATATTTTAAGAATTCCTCTGTTTGAATTACCACAGGTGATCTCAACAGTGGTCCAGGTACATTCAGAGTACCTTAAACTAAGAATCGTTCCTCTATGGAAATCTATCTATGCTTTAAGATGTTTTATTTCTTTGCCTTTTTCTTCATATTATTTCACCTTTTGTGGTTATTTAACACTGCATTCAAAATTAGTCTCCCTGAATCAATGGGTAATAAAGAGCATTATAGAAAGGGAGAAATCCTGTCTTCCCTGCTTGTGCTTTTTTCCCTACCAATGTGACTTTTAAATATTTCAATACATTCTATTGCTTTGCTTGCTAAGTGTTAGTTTCTTTCACTTACCTTTTTAAAAGCTGATGTTAGCCACTATGTCATCATAGCATTCATTTTCTGTTTTCCACTAAAAATTTATAATTAGGCAATTTGTATAAAACTGCATCAAATGTTTCCCCAGAATTTAGCAGCATTTCACCTCCACTGAATGAATAATCAGGGAGAAAAAAGCATTGATAGTATCAGACTGCCAGTAAGTCACTCTGTGACATGCCTTGCTCAGCCTGCTTTTAGTCCTAAGCTCCAATCCCTGGATGCTATTTAGCCACTGGATACATTGGTCGTTGCTAAACCACAGGGAATTCCTGGTCCTTTTGTCCTGAGATTTTCAGTTAAATGTTTTGCATGTCAGGTTTGTGTTATCTGGGCATCCTCCATTGAATTCTTTTCCTCAAGTCTGGATTCATAAACAAAGTGAATCTTTGTTTATTGGAATCAGCTCTAAGATCTAAGATCTAAGTTTGCCTTTATTTTTCATTATTATTTGAATAAAGAATAACATAATTGAATAGTAAAAGCCAAGTAAGCCATTTTTGTTACATCATACTCTGTTCATATTTTTTTTACTTATAATAACCAACAGAGGGCATAGAAGATCCATTGATATGATGCTTTTAACACTTGATTTCACAGAACACTCTCTAAAGAAAATGTCAGTTATTAGAGTAACAGTTTTGTTTTGCTTTTGAAATTCAAATCTAGATAAAGGGATGGTTTTTCAAAGTGTCATCCAACTCCTAGTGGTACACTGCTGCCTTTGCTTAATAAATAAGAAGACTAATTTTTCAAAATAAAAAAAAAACAGTGTATGTACTAATATGAATGACACTTTTGATTAAAAACTGCAATATAATATCAGTCAATGGAAGTCTCTCAGTTCAAAGTAAATTTAAATGTACTAGAAATTTCATGTAAGTTAATTTCAGGAAAAATGTGATTATTTATCCTAATAGTAGTTAAACATTTTATAGCTATTTTACTGTAAATGAATATTATTCTTGCCAAGTCATGGTTTTGTTTATCATTAGCAGCAGAATTAATTCATCAATCTTAAAATTGCTTTTAGAACCTAATCTTTCTAAACCACAATGAAATATCACTTTGTACCTATTAGGATGGCTATTATCAAGAAGTCAAAAGGTCACAAGTGTTGGCAAGGATGTGAAGAGAAGGGAATGTGGGAACTTTTATGTACTACTGGTTAAAATGTAAATTAGCACAGTTATTATGGAAAAAAGTATGGAGGTTCCTCAAAAAATTCAAAATAGAAGTACCGTGGGATTCAGCGATCTTACTTCTGGGTATATACATAATGGTAATAAAATCACTATCTTGAAAAGACATATGCACTCCCATGTTCATTACAGCATAATTCAGTAGCCAAGATATAAAATCAACCTGTGTCAATTGACAGATAAATGGATAAAAAAAAAGTGGTAAACACACACACACACACAACATTTCAGCCTTCATAAAGCATATCCTGCCATTTGTGACAACATAGCAGAATATTATACTAAGTGAAATAAGCCAGACACAGAAAGACAAATATATGTGGAATCTAAAAAAGTATAACTTATAGAAGCAGAAAAAGAATAGTAGTTACCAGGGATTGAGGGTGAGGTGGGAGAAATGGGGAGATGTTGATCAAAGACGTTGATCAAATTTCAGCTGCAAGATGAGTAAGTTCTGGAGACTTAAGTATATCACAGTGCCTATGGTTAGTAATAAGGTATTTTATACTTAAAAATACCTAAGAAGAGTAGATGCTAAGTATTCTCGCCACACACAAGGAAAAAAGGTAACTGTGAGGTTATGGGTATGTTAATTAGCTTGATTGTGGTCACCATTTCCAAATATATATCAAAACATGTTGTACACCTTAAGTATATGCAATTTTTGTCAATTTTACCTCACTAAATCTGGAAAACACTAATCTTTCTATAATTATTGATTAAGCAATTATAGTTTTTCTAGGATAACAAGGAAGAATTTTTGTTTCTTCTCATACTTTGCAGCATAGATGACATTAGTTTTGATCTTTGACACTTGAAACTACTCTTTCTCATTAGGGATAAACTTACTTACAACATTAAAACAATTTAAACTATGTCTGCTATATTTATATCAATATCTTCAATTTGCATTGAAAAATTTTGAGCAGTCTGTCAATCACAATAAACAGGTTAAGTTCTACTTGAACCTCAAATAAATTTCATTTATGTTTACTTTGATAGACAAGAATATCATTGGATCGTTTGGAAGACTTTCTCAATGATGAGGAGCTTCTTCCTCAAAATATTGAAACAAACTACATAGGAGGTCAGCACTTTCTCTTTGCATTCAATGTTTATTTCCCTTCGGAATTGAAGGTAATTAGTTCTAAAATGCATCATTGTTCTTGTTTTTCTTCCTAGATCATGCCATTGGTTTTACAAATGCTTCTTTCTCCTGGGATAAAACAGGGATTCCAGTACTAAAAGAGTAAGTTGTGATTTGGAGAAATTTTTTTTTTAGATTTTAATATTGGGTTCTATAATGCTCCATATTTTTATTTCTTTGAATTTTCTAATAAGATAACTATATTTAAATTAATAAGACTTTTTAAAACTTCTCACTGCACCTTACATTTTCATGGTGATTTTACTGTCCTATTTTCATTTCTTTTGTCTGCAGCACTAGATTGTTCATTTGTCTGCATTTTGGAAGGCTAGTTATTTATAGAAGAATGTGAAAAGCAACAATTTCAGGGATGACCCTCAGTGCTGTGTAAAAGTGACTTACCTAGGAATATACATTGAAAACAACTGTAACAAGTATCTCCTATATCATCTCTCTCCTTTTCTCGTCATGCAGCTTGAACATAAAGATTCCAGAAGGAGCTTTAGTGGCTGTGGTAGGGCCAGTTGGGTCTGGAAAATCATCTGTGCTTTCTGCCATTCTGGGAGAAATGGAGAAACTTACAGGAGTTGTCCAAAGAAAGGTAAAAACAACAATATGTTCTTTCAATATTTCCTGGTGTAAAAGGCTATAACTAACTCATCATTAGTGCCCAGAAGAATTTATTAAATTAAACTGAAGATGAAAGTATTTAATGGGCATTTCTAGTTTATAAGAAACATTTCAATTTCCATAGAAATCGATTAACTATGGATGGATTAGGAACAGAATTCTGTCTGCCAAATACTTCAGCAAATCATTTATGAATGCTTATGGTAATTGTTTGATGTTATTAACTGAATTGCAACCAATTATAGAGAAATGAATGTGATTTATATTGTAATTTTGTTGGGTTTCTAATTATCATTCAGCAAGGTTCCCTAAGTAATTACAGCCATTCCATTTCTAAGAAGTCTTATAGCTGCTCAGGGGTAGGATCTTTCACCTATAAGAAACCGCAGAAAAATAATAATATAAATAACTTACATCTAAGAATCAGCCTATAGTGGACTGTGGGGAGGCCTACTCTTGGCTAATTGTTTTATTCTTAAAAATCAATAAGAATAAAAAATTCAACAAAATCTTAATTAGTTGTTTCCTAGGCTACTCAATGAGTTTTTCCTTACAGTCCAATCCACCCTTTTCACCTGTGACAAGATGGAGATGCTCTATGTATCTGCGATCAGTTTCTCTTCACACAACTTGTTTTTTCCTCTCTGGGAAAAATCAACCCCCTAACTCCTTTTGTGTTTCCTCGGGATATATCTTTCCTCATATCCTTATATCTTTCCTGATTCTAGTCCTTTAGTGATTAATTTTCCATTATTCTTTTTGTCTCAGCATTACTGTTACCTGGTTTAGGATCAAATATATCATTCCTGTGACTTTTTCTGAGAAGATTGTACTTAATTAAAACCACTACTTTTTAATCTTAAGTATGCTATCTTCATAGCCCTAGGTTGTTCATAATGATAGCAATCAGCCATTTCTCTATGGTTCAAGATGACGTAACTTTCTCTAGGCCAGGGAGTGTCCTTTACAAATATAATGAACATCATATTAGTTTCTTTTAACTTTCACTTAGTTTTTTCAGCTATTTTCACCAAGCAATTATTGAGCACATACTATGTGCCCAGCCCTTAGTACCAGGAAAACAAACATGCATAAGGTATGTTCCTCTTCTTTCAAATTCTAGTGAGAAAAATATCAACATCAATTATGAGAAATGTTTAAATCAGATATGAAAAAATTAAAGCATAAAATAAAATTTTTACTTTGAATAGTTAGAAAAAGAATCAGAAAAGTGGTAGCCTTTCATTTGATCTTGAAAAATAATTAGGAATCAGTAAAGATAAAAATGATGTCAATTCTAGGTGTCACCTGATGCATTAATAATGGTAATGAGCTGAAGAGTCTGGGGTGAGGATTGAATAAGGTAATGTGCAAAGACCTAGCCTAGCTCCTGGCACAGAGTCAGCTAGCTCCCTATGAATATGTATGATTATCATTATCTCCATTATGATTGCTGAGGCTCTCATGGTAAGATTTAAGGATCATTTCTGATATCTTTGAATGTTTGTAATTAAGAAAGTGTTCATGTTGATGAAAGAAACCATAACAATGCCATTCCTAATGATAAAAAGCAGAGAGAACACCCTTTGTTTATATTAAATTATAGATGTCTAAGCCAGAAGATGTTATCTGTCTCTATAACTGGTCACTTTGACCTTCAGGAAGCTTTTGGTCTGGATCAATGACAGGATTTGAAGTATCACACTCTGATTTATTTCCCCAAATATTTTTTATTGGGAATTTGTGTCATCCTGATTATCTCTAGTTACATAAAATGATCATTATAATGGCATGACCAACTTAACATTTAGAGTTTTCAAAGTGCTTCTGTGTGCATCTTCCTGTTTTTCAATGTTTCAGATGATCACTTTTTTGAATTATATTTTATATCACAATGTTCACACCTTGAGACTGCTTATTCTCTCCAAGCTTTCTCTAAGGATCCCTTATTCTTCTCAGTAGGCTCACAAAGGCTTCTTTGTGAATCCCTTATTCTTCTCAGTAGGCTCACCAAAGGCTCACACCACGCACTGTTTAGGAAGACTTATTCAGTAATCAGTGTTCTTCTGTGACAGAACATCAGACATTTTGAGACCATTTTTGAACTAGCAAAACTTCTATTGTAGTTTCATTATTAAGAATGCAAGAAGAACATATTTCCATTTGTATGTGAGAGGCAAATAATAATTGTAATAATAATAAAAGGAAACTTTTCCATCTCTCTATAAATTAATCAGCTCTTTTTCCCATAATACCGATATAAGGCTCTAACTATCAATGGAGTATTTAGTTTGATTTTTATCATTTTTTCCCGTGTTCTTTTCCCTTTTCTCCTGTGTTCTTTATCTTCTATTCTGCTTAACTTGCTCAATATGTAGCAAGTATTCAAAATATCTATTATCTGTAGGCTGATTTAATATGCAATTCTAAGCACAGGTTAGATTAGTCACTTCACAAGGCAATTCAAGAGCAATTACTTTTGTGTTCAACATCAGGTCAGATCAGAATTGTATTGTTTTTGATCAAAAGCCATTCTGTGTCTTACATACTCAACAAAGAAGAATTAAAAGTTAATCTTTGATCTTTAAAGTAGTCAGTAGAAATCAAAGGGCTAATAATAGTTGCATACATGTCTACGTCAGAAAGTACTTTAAATGTCTGGTATTGTTACAGAGCATGCAGTAGGTAAAATACTCCTAAATCAATATTTGGATAGAGTCCATGGGGCAGATTGAAAGGTAGGTCTCTAGTTCAAATACTATAGGTTTTTTTCAGGAAAAGAAGAGTTAGTTAAGAGGATATTTTATGTAGCAGTGCATCAAATGTTTAGTAATCATTTCAAGCCATAAAATCATCAAATAATGAATTTGGGGAGCAGTGATTAATGTGGAAGACACAGAGATGCACCACTCAGATCCCCTTTCCAGGAAGGACTTGCCACCCAACCTTAGCAGTATAATCAGCCAGTCACCTTCAAGGTTGGCCTCAGTTGAAGATGGCAACTGGGGTCCCACTTTTGTTCAGCCTAACATAGGACAATTCTGATGGGCAACGTTCCTCCATGGCTTTCTGGAAGGTTGGTTAAAGCTTTGTTGGGTCTGCATCACAGTGTTACTTTTCCTTCTACCTAATCTTCTTTTCCCCTTTCCTTCCACAGTGTTGATCCCCGATAAACAGCTTGCACCCCCAACTCTGTCTCTAGTACTATACATTGAATTGTGCTCCCTCAAAATTTGTATATCAAGTTCTAAACCCTAGTACTTCAGAATGTGATTGCATTTGAAGATAAGATCTTTATAGAGTTAAGTTAAAATAAGTTCGTAGGGTGGGCCTCAATCCTATATGATTGATGTCCTTTAAGAAGAGGAAATTAGGACACACACATACACACACACACATATACACACACACACATGGAGGACTATGTGAAGCACAGGGAGATGACAGCCATCTACAAGCCAGGGACAGAGGCCTCAGAAGAAACCCATCCCGCTGACACCTTAATTTCAGACTTCTAGCTTACAGAATTGTAAGAAAATAAATTTCTGTTGTTTTAACTACCCACTCAAAGTTTATTGCAGCCCTAGAAAACTGATACACTCAGCATCTGCTTCCAGAGAATGCTACCGGAGGCAGATAATTTTGATAGACATTATGAGAGCAAATAAGAAGCACAACTTAACTCATTTGAAGGAAGCTCTAATAAACATATATGAAATAAAAATAGGATACCACGATCTATATATTTTTTTGCAAAACTAAAAATTCTATTTAAAGCCAAAGAAGGCAAGACTACACACTAAATATATTTCTTTAATATGGTATATGCAACTTCTCCTTTTCCCTTGTTAAGAATTTTTTTTTTTACTTCTTTCTCTTTTAGGGCTCTGTGGCTTATGTTTCTCAGCAGGCCTGGATTCAGAATTGCGTTTTGCAAGAAAACATTCTTTTTGGCTCTGTCATGCAGAAGCAGTTTTATGAGCGAGTGTTGGAAGCCTGTGCTCTCCTTCCCGATTTGGAGCAGTTACCAAATGGAGATCAAACTGAGATTGGAGAAAGAGTAAGGAAAATATAATTTATCATGTGCAGGAATAAAATTCCATTCAGCTGTGCTAATAAAATGTTTCAAGTCTTTTTACTGAGGTCTTAAAGATCTATACAATTTTGTTACACTATTCCTATCAAAGAGATAGCATTATTAAAGACAAATAATTTTATGTCATTGACTATTTGGAAACCATATTAAAAATCAGTAGGAAATTCTGTTGTCAGTATCCACCTGGGAGAATAAAAGCCCATCAATTAGATCATCAACATTTTTGTTTTGCTTATTGGCACAATGCTGTTTGCTTTCTCATCTGCAAATAATATAATAGTTTTGTTTGTTCCTGTATCTCTTGCACACAAAGTCAAGGCTAGAACATTAGCAAAATAGCACAAGTCTTTAGCGTTGGCACCCAAGTCCAGGTTCTAAGGAAGCTCTGAGACAATACAGCTATTAATGTGCCTACTTCACATTTGCTCATTCCTGCTTAAGAGGAGCTTGCTTCCCAATCATCTTACTCTTTGTTCCATTTTATTTTCATTGTGTTAATGAGTAGTCATTGCTCTGCTCAGTATTTTGGATTTAAAACAAATAAGAGGATATCATGAGCTAAAGTATGAGCCCCAAGAGATTATCCCAACCTGTGACTAAAATCTCCATTAATTAAACATGAATGCAAAAGTAGCCTCTGCTTACGATTCATGTGTGTTGAAAAGATGAATAAATAATCCTTACTAAGTGCTTTGAATTTCTGAAAAGAGAGTGAGTATAACCTTGTTAGGCATTTTTACCCCTGGCTTTATGTTATCTCATAGTCTCATTATATAAATTGACAAATAAAATATATTATATAACAAAATATATTATATAAAAAAAGTATAGAAAGTAAAAATGTATAGAATCTAGGATGAGCCAAAATTTACTTTGTATCTAAACTTACTTCATGTATAGTCTATTACTTTGCAGAGGTATTTTCTCCATATTGCTATATAGATTTTTTTCCAACCCCTGGATTTTTTCTAGCATCTTCACTCTCCCTAAGCAAAATGGTGCCATAAATAAGTTGCAGAAATATGACTTCCTCAAACTTGCTAATACATACTGACCAAAATGCTGATAAATACAATCTCTAAAAATATGGATTATATGATATTACTTAACTATAAAAAATTTTAAAAGGAATAAAATCTAAACTAAGAAGTAGAGATTTAATATAGGCATTAAATGTTATTGCTATTAACAAATTCTTTATTTTATAATTAAATTTATCACAATTTGATCTTGAACTTTAAACATGTAATTGAATGTTTCAAAAGGAGATCTGTTTACAGCTGTTTATGAGACAACAAAGACAATGAAGGTAGAGATTTTCCTCATTTGTACTCATCTTTTCCTTTGGCCTTCCTCAACTGACCACAAACATTTATTAATTTCATATATGCCCTTATTCTGCTATGGGGTACACAATGGTGAGTAAGAGAACTATTATCCTGCCTTCAAAAAACTTGTAGTCTAGTGGACCTCTGCCAATGATATTAATCAATTAATCTCTTTACCAATATTTATCAATCACCTAGTTTCAGACACTAGGTGTGGGGAATACAAGGATGACCTAGGAAAGAGCTCATAGCTAGTGAGAGAGACTGACATGGAAACTGCCAATTCCAGCTATGGGATGAATAAACAAAGCACCACAAGACAGGACGGGAGGAAATGAATCACTTCACTTGGGACGTCGAGAAGGTTGCTCTCAAAGAGAAATTTTAGTGTGAATAGCCCTTAAGTTAAAAAGGGAGCATGTGGTCAAAGTGAACAGCTGCTGCCCAGTATGAAAGGGCAGCATGAAAGGTTATTCTGGGTGGCAAACCACTGTCCCCTGAGAGCAGCATTAGGAGAGTGGTTGAAGAGGTGAGTTAATGTTAAAATATAAACATCTTAGATTTCTACTAAGAAATTTGCTGTTACTCATGAGTGATGAAAAGAAGGAGATGTGGGTAGCCAAGTTTTTTAAGCAAGATAATGACACAATTACAGGAAAAATGATGAGAAGACAGAGGATGGATTGGAGAGAGGAGTGACCGTGTGATAACAGCTAATATTAATTGTGCCCATACTTGGTGTTGGATTTTTCCTAAATATTTTTACCTTTGTCTTGTCAAATGCTCTTAATAAACACATGAGTTGGATGATATTATTTATATAATCACACACAAACACACACACATCACATTGCTTTATACATACACACATGCACACACATGTATGTGCCTCTGCCTTGCTAAACTATAAACTGTGACCTCTTCATGATATAGGCTCTGTTTCACTTGTCTTTGAATCCCAAGTGCTAGCGTAGCACCCAAAATATAGTCTTACTCAGCAGATGTTTGTTGAGTAGGAAGAGGATGAAAAATGCAAAGAAGCAATGGTATTTTACAATTATAGGTCATTGGCTAAGTTCTGTGCTGCACTGTGAGCTTTTAAAGCAGATCTGTAAACACTAAATAGAAAATAAATCAAGTAAATTGGGCCTGACCCCATAATTCTCCATACATGGCTGTATATGTCAACTTTAATTCTCACATGGGGTGATGAATATTCCCTATTCTCGCTGCTTAGCGCTGTACTTTTGCCAACAAAACTTGTACTAATCTTTCTACAGGAGAAATAGGATATGTTGATTACTGCTTTGCTAATTTAGCTATTATTCTCAATTTCCTACGTGTCAATTTAAAAATAATCACTAGTGTCAGTATATGCTTGGCAGCCAAAAGTCTTGTTTAATATTCCACAGGCATGACTTTTCCGAGTTTGGGATTTGAAAATTCTTTTCTCCTTAATTGTTAGCATCTTGTTTTGATAGTAAGCAGTTAAGACAAAGTAGATATATCTGCTAATTAGCACAAGTTAGTAGTGCTAGGAAGTGGAATCAGGACAGGCCTAGGAAATTATGGATACAGAAAAGTTCCAGCATTCATTTCGGGGTGTTATCTATCCATGCTATGAAACATTATTTGGATGTAACCGTATATGCTTTGAGATTTACACACTTCTCCTCTGGTCTTGTTTTTCTCCTGGTCTATTTTCAGGGTGTGAATATAAGTGGGGGCCAGAAGCATCGAGTCAGTCTGGCTAGAGCTGTCTATAGTGGGGCTGACATCTACCTCCTGGATGATCCCTTGTCTGCCGTTGATGTTCATGTTGGAAAGCAGCTTTTTGAAAAAGTGATAGGGTCCCTGGGCCTTTTGAAAGACAAGGTAGCCAAAGTATCATTTACTGCCTTTTTAGGGGGTAGGGGAAGGATAATCCGCCTAGCGCTGTGCCTAAAAGTCCATTTTTTTTTTTGTTTAAGCAAAGTAGTCAAATTTCACCTAAAAACTATGATGTATAGATTGCTTATTTACAAAAAATTTCAATGAATATTTTTTCAAGTTTTATTTATATGTTTACTCTGGTGACAATTTGTGTGATTGTTACCTCATCAATTGATACCATATCCCCAGGTGATTTCTGTATCATAATGAGTTGATTTAATTTAGTTGATTTTTTTTTGAAAAATGATATTTTGCTGCATATTACTATTTAAAAAATAGAATATTTTTATTGGTTACTTATAACTTAAAATTTGGCATTGTTAACATAGCAATAATAATGGTTCAATTGTTTTGTGAAGGGGCCAAGAAGATGGAAATTAATATTTACCAAGCTCATGTCATAGTTGACACCTTAAATTAGATCATTTAGTTCCTATAGCAAATCTCTGAGGTAAGCATCATCATTATTCAAGGACTTCAAGGCACAAATGAATTGATATATGTTTCTCAACTTAAGAATAGCAGAGATTTTTAATAGTCTAATTAAGAAGCCTTTATGTTTATGGATTTACTAATATAGAGCACTTTGGAAAAAATTAATGTCTAAAATTGCAAAATATATGCCTCAGTAAATAATATACACATTTCTTAATTTATTGTGATGAATCCAAGATAAAAAGGTCTCATTCAATTATATGTACAAAATAATATGAAAGAGTTAAAAATAAAGAGTCTGAATTATAACTTAGATCAAACACTTTTATAATGGGACCATACATTTTTAAAATGTAAGCAAGAATCACATATTATGGAACTGTTTTGAATTTTCAGTGAAACTGATTCATTTCTAATGAATAAAAAAATACCTGAAACAAAGGGTTAAAGTCACATTTGCAAACTATTTTGCCATCTACCAGCATGTCATCATCATTCATTGTGAAATATATAGACGCTGCCTTAAACTGGCACTTACCAAAAATTACATTCTGAAAGAGTAAAGGTAAAAAAAAAAGTGACTGCAGCTTTCTTTAAAATAAATCATTTGTGTCATTGTTTTGTAACCTACAGAATAAAACACTTTGTTTTTCAGACTCGTATTTTAGTGACAAACAACCTCACACTACTGCCACAAATGGATCTTATTGTTGTAATGGAAAGTGGAAGAGTAGCACACATGGGAACATACCAGGAGCTCATCTCTAAAACCAAAAGCCTCACTAATTTGCTTGAGGTCTTCAGTGAACAAGAAAAAGGTAAGGACACAATGAAAAATAAACTTGGATACAATATGCCTACCCATTTTGAAAGTCCACTAATTGCCTTACTTCTTGCTATGAATTTTCATTCATCCTGCTTAAGTCAAGAGCTGGGTATTTAGTTTCCATAGGAAAGAAACAAATGTAGTGGGACACATCAGGTAAAAATCTAGCTCATTTATGATTTTTTAAAAAAAGCTTCTAATGCCCCAAATCTATTTTTTCATCTATGAAATAAGAGATTAGATGATTTATAAACTCTATTCCAGATCTAGAATATAATGGATATAAACATTCTACTTACTTTTAAATTAAGAACAGAGAGTATAAATCCATGTGAAATAATAATAAATATTTTAAACATATGAGTTAAAATATATAGAGTTTGAAGAAGAGAAACAAAGGAAAAATTACCTGAGGAAAAGCAAAGGGGAAAATAATTGTCCAATTTTTAAGAATTAACAATTGGTTTTATTTACGAAGTTACTATAGTCCCAAATTTTTAAATTAAGCTTCATAGACATTTTAAAATAAATGAAATGATTTGATCTTTGCCTAATGTGTAGGACACAGGGATGTTTGAAATCCAGCATTATCTTAATATTACAGAGAGATGAGTCCTTGTCTATTCTGAAAGTTGTATGATGTGCCATCATCTCTTTTCACAGATACAGATGGTTTCTCATGTAGATCATCATATCATAATCCTTTTCTTATACCTTTCCAGTAAGTTCCCCTGGGAACTTACTATAAAACTAATTAACTATTTCATAATTTCAGGGTAAAATAAGAAATACAGAGCTATGTCTCAGTACTTTCTATGTGAACTGGTAACTTACTTTATACTTTACCTGGATGTAAAGGTCATAAAAGTATGAAATTAGGCTATAAAAAGATCAGTGCAATTTATCATTTTAAGGCCATGAAATCCTAAAACAAAGTTATTTTGCTGATATGTTTCTCTTTGGGACTTAAGCTAACACACATTATTTGTGTACTACTATTTTTCATTCCTTGTTTTCACTCCTTTCTTACATTACAAATATTCTATTTGTAGATACATTCAAAAATATACAATGCATCATCAGCTGGCAGTAACCATTCATAAAGGAAACACCTCTTTTTTTCTCAATAGCTACCAACTTTGGAAATGATTCCTTGCCTTATCAGACAGGTTAATTAACAATTGATGCCTCCTGTATAGGAAAGAGATGCTGGGAGTGTCTCCTAGGACTAGACAGCGCATGGAGTCTGCCATTTGCTCTATCCCCCGCACTTAGGCAGCCTCATGCTAGAATAATAACAGGTGCTCAGTAGATGTTTGTTAAACGGATGAATCTGGAAGTGTGTCTCCTCAGTAGTTAACAGGATGATTTGAAATGCTATGGACCAGTGTCTCTCTTATTTTTTTTTTTTTGCCATTTATTTTAAAGGAAATATGAAATATATATTACTTTGGAAATACAGCTCCAAAAGCATGCAGTGTGTAAGACTTCAGTTCAATATTTAATTTGCCATAAAATATGAACAGTGTATCTTTTGAAAACTGTAGAATTTGCTGTTATTTAAATCCTCTGTTTGGGAAACAAAATCCCATCTCTCCTGCATTTGTATAACTTCTTTTGTGCAAGTGCCTTCTACTGTAACAGAATGAAAGTAATAATATTCTTGGAGTTTGGCTGACATGAATAGATGTTACCAACTCATCATCAGGAATATGCCAGAATAAGAAAAATGTAATTCAAGCTTTGTTTTCTAATGACCTCAATATTTCTGTCTTTTCCTTTAAAATTCTGAAAGGTGGAAAGTAGAGAAAATTTTTATACTAGGAATAGAATATGTTTTTGTGAAACTAAATATTTCTGTGATTTTGATTTTTAATGCTGAATTTAAAAATATATAGGCTTGTAAAAAGCAGCCATAAAATTACTTTATTCACAGTAAACATAAGATAGAGAAATAGATATATAAATAGATAGATAGAGATCTGTAAAAAGTTAGCCCTATATAGTGTAATTTCTTTAGCCACCATAGAGAAGAAGGCAAACATAGGTTTTGATGATGTAAAACACCCCAATAAACAATAACTTTAAATTGGGTTAGATTCAGTATAATATTCCTACAGTACTGTCCTTAGATCTGGACCAACCTAACCTGGTCCTGTACTCTATGCTTTAGAGAGTCTCCAGACTGCTTTTGTCTGCTAGGCTTTGTGGGCAAGAGACGAAGGGATCGTGACCCACCACCCAACAGCGTCCTCCCTATCCATCACTTCTTGACCACTGCAGATACTAAAGTCCACCCCCCCAAGGGGAGACTGCTCTGCAGGCATGCACTACTACTCTTTGGTCTGAGGATGTTTTTTTTTTTTTTCTTAGAGCTGGGAAAGGTGGTGGGCAGAGCACGAACATGTGAGCTGAGGTGTCTACACATGTGCAGAGCCTCCCATGGTGCAGGATGGGGCTGGGGTGGGAGAGAAGTACGGCAAAGCCTCAACTGGGACTACCTCACCAAGGACTCCATGACCCTCAGAGAAAGTCTAAGGAATCCAAACATTCTCCTCTAGACGTTGCCTTCCAGGTGGTTGGGAAGGTATATTTGTCAGAGTAAGCAATAGAACTCATTTAAGAGTCTGTTCGTTCCATCTATAACTTTTTAAAATAATTAGAAATACAGCATGCTGACATTAATAGATGTTGTGCATTAACAGATGTTAGGTGCAAGCCTGTCCCTGTGGGGAATTTCTTTTTCTTATTTACATAAGTAATAGGGGAAAATTAAATTCTGTTTGAGGGCATTTTTGCTAAGATTTAGGGGAAAGGAATTACTGGCAGGGAGTGGGATTTGTGAGGTGTTGTTTCTAGTTGTAAAATAGTGCTGTGATCTACCATTTATTTATTATAATTCATCTTCTTTTGCTCTTGAGTCTATTCAAAACTTCCTTTATAAGGTACACAATCCTGCCATTTAAACATTCTTGTTAATTTATGTGACATTACAATGGAATACAGTAATTTCCCCCTTAACTGTAAGGATTACATTCCAATACTCTCTGTGGATGTCTGAAAGCACAGATAGTACCAAATTATATATATATATAATTATATATATATTATATATAATATAATATATTATATATAATATTATATATATAAATATAATATAATTATATATATAATGTTTTTTTCCTATACATACCTATAATAAAGTTCAATTTATAAATTAGGCAAAATAAGAGATTAACAACAATAACTAATTGTTGTTAATAATAACAACAATTATTAATAATAATAAATAGAACAATAATAAATATTAATTATAATTAATAATTAATTATAATAAAATAGAACAATAATAATTGTTCTAATAATAAAATAGAACAATAACTAATAATAAAATAGAACAATTATAACAATATGCCAGCATCACTACTCTAGCACTTCAGGGCCATTATGAAGTAAAATAAGGGTAATTTTAACACAAGCACCACGAAACCTCAACAGTTGATGTGATCACCCAGAGTGGAGCATCTACAATGTGAATGCACTGGAAAAAGGAATGATTCAGATCCCAGGCAGGCCAGAGCTGGATGGTACAAGATTTCTCCTGCTACTCAAAATGGTGCACAATTTAAAATGTGTTTATTTCTGGAATTTTTCCTCTAATATATTTGGACCAAGGTTGGCTACAGGTAACTGAAACCTTGGAAAGTGAAATCTCGGTTAAGGGGGCACTACAGTAAAAGTCACAACCTTGTATGAAAAACAGTGGGCCAGTTGTCAGAAGCCCAGGGATCTGGTTCTCACACTGAATAACTATGTTAGTCTTCATAGAAATGACTCAACTCCTCTAGTTCTTTCCTTTTATGAAATACAGGGCTTGGACCAGCTCTGCTTTTTTTTGGTTTTGTTTTGTTTTATTTTGTTTTTCCAGTGGCAAACATGGAAATGAAGAATGCACGTTATTTTCTCTCTCTTGGGCCCCAAACTGCTGAGTCATTACTCTTGGGAAATACTTAGCTCTTCTATGGAAGATCCAAATAAGTTAGTGCCCCTCTCTAATATCCAAAAAAGCATGTACAGGCTTTTTCATTATGTAATCATAGTTTTGCCATGACATGACGAGATGTCTTACATTAAGTGGAAATAATGGAGAAAATAAAAGTGCTCCCAATGTACCTATAGATCCAGAACTCAAAAATATCTCCAACTTGTGCAATATTCCATCATCTCTCTCTCTCTCTACTTTGTGAATTGTTTGCTGATATGGATATAAAATCACTCTCTTCCTCTGCAGCTCATGCTCCAAAGCAAGTCAGTGTAATTAACTCCAGAACTATCCTGAAAGAACAAATCCTGGAGCAAAAAGATAGGTGAGTATTAGTATAATATCAGGCTTACTGGGATTATGGACTAATTAATTACATTTTTAAGCATTTAAAATGCATCCTGTAAAAAGGACCCATACGTTATAATGGATATAAAATGTACTTAGTGGTTTCCAATTCTGAACTGTAAGTCAGATGGATGTGTCTAAATTTTTAAGTGAGATGAATGAGACTTAGTTTTTGAAACATATGCTCATTAAACTCTCAGCTATTGCTAGCCAAACTCTGGTAGTAGAAATCTAATCTGATAGTTTTTGTGCCAAAAATATCCCTATCCCATAGTGTTCATATACTCTACAGATGAGAATGTGAAAATAGGCTTTGGACATGAAAATTTCACAGTGGACTGGGATGATTGTCAAGACAGGGTATGTGACCTAGAAATATGGACTTGGTGAAGGACCTGAAGAATCTGCCTACTAAAATAAGAGGTAGAAATAAAGGAAGGAAGAAACAATTTAGAGTGGGAAGGAGGGAGGAAAGAAAGGGGGAGGAGGGAGAGAGAAATAAAAATGGTAAAATTTTGGCCTTGATTGGATTTTGTTATATTATGCTTCATTTTTTTGTAGGTGACTACATGAGTAGTAACCAAGGCAAATTAACCTAATCAGTTCTTTCCTCCAATATTTCACCCAGTAGTTGTCCAAACAAGGAGCTGAAAGACAAAAAGAAATAATAGGAATATAGATATTAGCAAATGATGGGTAGAGTTACAGGGAACAGGCATTGATCAAAATTGCTTAAAATGGAGAATTGGGATAGATTACAGTGATGCAAGCATTTCAGGATCCAATAGCTCAGAAAGTTATAGATTTGACCTTCAGTGAAAGAGTGGATCTTGAATTCATTATTTTTTAAAAGATTGGCTATGCCTATCTTTTAAAAGATAGGATATGTGGATGATGTAGATGTTGCAGGCTGGGATTTTGTGTGCATACCATGTTTAGTTGACTCAGTAGGACAACTGAATCATTTCTCATTGATCATAAAGAACTTCGACTACCTCCCTTTATCTATTATCTTGGTGTTCTATCTATGGTGTTATCATCCCATCTCATGACGTTAAGAATACCTTCTGCACACTAAGGCCTTCCAGTTAATATCTCTAGTCTGGACCTCTTCTCTAAACTCCAGGGTGGGATGGCCAGCTGATCCTGTCAGCGTCTCTCCTTTAATGTCTAAATGACACGTCCAACTTATGTGTCAAAAACAGGATTCTTGATTTTTCCCCACCACACACACACACCTGCCCTGTATGCAATCTTCTCCATTTCAGCTAACAGTAATGCCATTCTTCCAGTTGCTCAGGTAAAAATATCTTGTAGTTATCTTTGACCTTCCTTACTCTACATTCAGTCCATCATCAAATCCCATTGGCTGTACCTTCAAAATCTATCCAGTATTCCAGAATTCAGCCACTACTCATCACCTTAACAGCTGCCACCTTTGTCCAAATCACTATCATTTCCACCCGTATTCTTGTAATTGCCTTCTCACAGGACTTCCTGCTGCCATCTTTGTGCCATACAGGCTGTTTGCAACATAGCATCCAGAGTGTTTCTTTTACAAATATAAGTCAGGTCATATCACTCTTCGGCCCAAAACTTCCAAAAGATTCACATCTCAGAATAAAATCCCATGTTTTTATGATGACCTGTAAGCCTTACAGGACCTCAATCTATTTATCTTTCTGATCTCAGAATCTCCTGAAGTTCACCCCTCACTACTCTGCCTTAGCAACACTGACCCTTTGCTACCTATCCCAGGGCCTTTGTACTTCCTGATCCACTGCTTAACGTATACTTTTCCCAGATAACCATATTGCTTGATCACCCACCTATTGGTGGTTTTTATTCAAATGTCTTCTCATCAATGAATATTTGCTTAGCCACCATATTTCATATCTCAACACTTCCTACCTCTTCTCCAGCTTTTTTTTTTTCATAAGCTTTATCAATATCCAGCACACTGGAAAATTTACTTATTTACTTTTATTTTATCTTTCTCCTATCTCTAGTTTATAAGTTTTCTAAGGGCAGGATTTTTTGTCTATTTGTTCGCTATTCTATTGCCATCAACTAGAATACTGAATGGCACATAAATCAATATTCAATGAATATTTGTTGAATGGTTGAATAAATAAATAACTAGACTGAAAGAACACTCAACGTCTTCCAATCCATCATTTATTTTATTTTTTGGTCATAATAACTTAATATCTTCCATTTAAATGGGTATCATTTTGGAAGAATCTCCAAGAAAAGCTAATCCAAAACATACTCTGAAACATAGTTTGAAATTCATTTGCTGTGGGGTATACACATCTCTAGATCATAAAAAGAGTTTGTTCCAGTATTTACCCTCACCATGCACTCAGTAAGTACCTCGATAAAACCTTAAAAATTAAATCCAGTATTGCTGTAAATGTAATCATACACTTTCCTGTATAATAAATTAATTTTCCTTATTTATAAATTCACTGTTGATCCTAATATCTAAGTTAAACCCTTAAAGTTTCTGTGAGCCACTTTGTGGAAACAATCCCTCTTTTTTCTCCTTCAAAAAAGAAATCTAGTCTCTACAAAGATATGTTTATGGAATTGTTTTCTAAAAATTTCTAAGTTTGATGGGCTCAAACTGGAGCCAGAATTCTGAGACTTACTTCTTCAATGAAGAATACCTTGGGAAGATCACCTCACTTCCAATATGTCATGTTTTTATCAACACAATCCAGAAGCAAGTTCATTTTTTAACGAGTGTGGTAAAAGGTTAATTGGTACTAACCTTATTGACAGTCTATAAATCCAACCATACTTATCTTTTCTTGTTTTCTTCAAACAAGAAATTTCAAGCAAGTAAATAAATAATTTTTTATCTTATGTTTGAGGGATGTATTTTAATTTTTCCAATTGGCCACATTAGTTCATTACTTTCTATGCCATTTTCTAGTCTCATTTTCATTTTTTTATTGGCTTTACTATTTGGTAAGAATACATGGAAGGAATCTTCCTTTTCAAGCTAATTCTCTCTCTCTTAGAATTACTTATTTTCAATTAGTTCAGAATTAAGACAGGAAGATATAAGCAGGCAAGAGAGTTTGAACAATTAGAGTCTCTCCACAATGGGATGTAGCGAGACAGATAACAAGAAGTCGTCCTAATAGAAAAATTCATAAGAAAACTGGCTAACTGCCTATGAGGAGCGAGTTAAAAAAGAAGGGAGTTGGATGAAATAATTTCTGAAATTTCCTTCCTTTGAAATTTAAGATTTAGAGTTAGTTTAATGACATTTATATTATAATAAGGACTAAACTATTTTGAACTGTTTCCATATTTTGGGGTCTAAATTTATATGACACATTTAATTATTTTCTTAAATCTCTAGTACTATCTTCCCTGAATAAACTGAAAGTGTTATTTTAGTATCTAGACTGCCCCCTTCTGGCTCTCATGCCAGACATTCTTATTTTAATCCTTCCAAATACAGGTGATAGTGTATTCAGCTCAGAGATAATGGTTTCAATATGTTAATTTTATATATATTTATACAAAAATATGTAGATGAGTATTGTGCCAATTTTCCCAAGAATTTCTGAAGGACAGGACAAGACGCATTTTTAAAACTTCTCTACCTGCATAATAATTTGCTCTTTTAAGGGACTCAAATAAAACCTGTTATTCACAAGGTGCCCAGAACCAAATGCAGTATTTTTGTGAAAAAAGAATAAATAACATTTTAGTTTGAAAAAGCAATACCTTTCTGTATAGTGTCCAATAAATTATTGGTCTTTGTTAGTTATGTCTAATTAGAAAGCTTTAATTCCCTTTTAACAGTTGGATTTCACAGCATTTTATGTCCAGCTACATTAAGAATTAATTTTTGGCTTGATACCAATGCTAAATTTGCTTATCCAAACAGAAGCCACGCCAAGGGCTTGAAGGATGATGACAGTAATTAACCCAAATCATATACCAGGAGCCATTCCAAGGAAAGTGTCTGTTAACTAGTGTATCTTTCTCTGATGCTAAAGCTAATCCTAAAAAGGACATGCACTGCAACCTCTCACAGAACGTTTCTTGATGGTAATGCCAGAGACAGGAAGGGAAGAATTACCAGGCTCACCAAATAAGCCATTTCTTGTTCTGATAAATAAAATGGAAATAAAATAAAATAAAATGGAGAAAGGAGGGCTTCTAATAATCTGCTGAGGGTGTGTACATCAATCAGTTCAGTAATTTTAAAGTTCAGTTTGATAGTAGATATATCAAATGACTTACAATTTATCATACTTCATGCTCCTGTGTGCAGGAATTTATTACAAGGAGCAATGAGAAATGTGTAAAAAGAATGGCCATTACAGGAATATTTAAGGTAGGAAAAAAAAAAAAAACTATAATCAGTATAAGCATTAACTTTTTTAAAAAAATCATATTATGGTAAAATGATAAAATGTTATATTATAAAATATAATGCTATTATAGAAGAATATTTGATCATTATATATTGAGTTACAAAGACCATAAATATTTTTTAAAAATTAAAGACCAGTTTTAGAGCAACATTTGTATTATTGTACCACACATATGTAGAGAAAAGACTATAACAGTATTCACAAGCATGTTAGCACGGATTGTCTCCAAAACATAGAATTATAAGTCTTCTTTTTTCTCCTTCATTGCCTCTTCCTCCTTTATTTTTACTCTTCTTCATGCTTTTTGGTATTTTCCAAATTTTCTCCAATAATATAATTCAAGAGATATATGGAAGACAGAATTCACCATGACTTGGTGATTGGTTCGAAATGTGCCATTATTAAGACAGAGAAAGTATTATGGCTCTTTTCAAAGCCAGAGAAAAAGTGAGAGAAGGTAGGTAAATAAATAACTGGTTCAGTGTAGGATGTCAAGCAAAGAGACAAAGTAGATGTCAAGCAGGCATTTGACATGGATTTGGAGCTCAGGGAAAAGATGTGGATTAGAGATACCAATTTGAGAGTCATCCACACAGAAGAAGGTTTCTGAAACTACGGGAGTGGATGAGATTTCTCAGGAGAGTGTGAAGCATACAAGGGCAATAATAACTGGAACTGAGCACAAGGAAACATAAAATATTAAAGAGAAGACAGAGAAAGTTGCCTAAGGAAAAACTACTGGAGGGCCATAGAGATGGGAGAAAATATCAAAGTGTGGTGGTGAATGGAGGTGAAAGGAAGAGTCACTTAAACAAGTGAATGATTGGCATTGTTAAATGTCATGAAGAGTTTAAGGGAGATAATTTTCAAAATACCTACTGGATATAGCAATGTCATTTGCTAATATCCTTGATGAAAATAATTTAAACTAGGTGCCAGGACGTTTAAGGAGGTGTAAGGGCACAATGTTTTGCTACAGAAGAAAGGCAACAGGTAGGAACTGAAGGAGGACATAGAGTTGAGAGCGAGATTGTTTCCATGGGAAAGGTTGCCGAATGAGAATGTGTTGTTCTCTGTGGGCTGATGGGAAGGAGCCAGTAGAAAGGAAGAAGGTGAAGATTAGAAAGGAGAGAGAACAATCCAGTGTTTTTCAGACTTATCTTAACTTTAAAAGACATATTTCTAGAGGAGAAATCTTATAATCTATATTTGTAACTACTCATGTTTGTTAGAAGAGAGAATTGGAAAAGGCTGGGTAGAAATGCGGCTAAATGTAAGTGTTTGGTGACTTCCCTGTCTGCTTCTATTTTCTCACGAAGTATGAAGGGAGTCCCCTTCTGAGAGTGATGCAAAGATTTCTAGGCACTCTTAAGGCCCAGATGGAAGGAAGATATTAACTTAAGATATTAACTTATGGAGGAACCAATTTTCAGGTCTGCATGATTTTTGGAAGCAGCACTCCACAGGAATAGGTGTGCCCAAGATTGATATGTGAGTTCTAACAGGGAGATTTAATGGAAAGAAAACAGTGAATGGGGGTTCAGAATATTACCCCAGTTTGGATAGATGAAGTGATAATCATGGAGAATAGACTGGGTAATGAAAGGAACAGAGAGATGGTATAAGTTTGCCTGGGACTAAAGAATTCCCCAGAATGCGGGACAGTAAATGCTAAAATGGTTGAAAATATGTAAGTTTTAGAAAATGTTTGCTTTACCTAAAAAGGGAACATTTTCTTACTTTATCAGGTCCTCTTTGGATCAAGGAAAACAGTTTTCAATGAAAAAAGAAAATATTCCTACAGGTGGAGTAAGTACAGAGGAATTAATATCACTTCTTATTGCCTACCCAAACATAAAAGATTACCTTGCATTATCAATAAATACTATAGATTTTTCATTTAATTTGAGAAGGGTTGCCAAATAATAGTTTGAAGATATTAAATTAAATGGAATTGTTGGATATTGGAGTCATGTTTAGGTAGGATTACATGTTATTTAGCATGCATATGTATTCTTTACTAAATGATAATAACTAACATTTATTGAGCCAGGACTGTGCTTGACACTTTAAATGTGCTCATAATGTGGCTATTAATAATATTCCAATCTATATATGGGCAATCTGAGAGTTAAAAGAATTAGTTACTAAACCAAGATCACGAAGTTTAGGAAATGTCAGAATTGGATTTAAATCTTGCTTGTTTGACTTTAAAGTACAGCTTTGAAGTCCCATATTATATTATTTATTTAACTGATGCTGGTCAGAAACTACCAGTAATGAAACTTATTCAGAAATGGCATGTCACATTCTAATATTCTCAGTAATGTAATGTTATATTAATTTTGCCTTTAGGTGAAGTTCTCAATTATTCTGAAGTACCTCCAATCCTTCAACTGGCTGTGGGTGTGGCTGGTTCTGGTCACTTACCTCGGGCAGAATTTGACCAGCATTGGACAGAATCTATGGCTCAGTGCCTGGGCAAGAGAAGCCAAACACATGAATGAATTCACAGAATGGAAGCAAATAAGAAGCTATAAACTTAATATCTATGGATTATTAGGATTAATACAAGGTAAAAAAATAATACGAAGTCCAGCTATTTCTCTTTTCTTTTTCTGACCTTATTGATTTAAAGACAACATATGGCATCATGTTATTTCAAATAAAATCTATGCCATAATATTCAAATATTTGGGCATTCTTCAAATGCATATGTTTGTGACTTACCATATTTGAGAGAGAGTAAATGAAGAATGAATGAATGAATGAATGAATGAATGGTCAGAGAGCTGCAATGGGATTACATAAAAGGATGGCTAGGAAAGACACTGCAGTGAACATGTATATAAGAATTGTTGATTTGAGGGTAAGAAAAGGGCATCCTCAGTCATGATTTTGAGATTTGGATTGTGTAACAGGAAGAACAATGATTTAAAAAAATAAGGAAACTGGGAGGAATCCTTAACTGGTGAAGCAGAGAAATGGGGAATTCAATAAGAATGGATACATTTAATAAGAAATGTTGATGCGTTCTCCAGTAGACAGACTAAAACTCATCTGGAAGTTTGGAAAGTAGGCTTCTTTATCTATAAAATGAGGGACTTACACCAGGTAATTTCTACAATTCCTCCCAAGTTCTAACATTCTAAACTCCGTAGTTCTACTTACACCTGGAATCATTCCATAGATATAAAAAATGAGTCTGTAAGAATAGCTGTGGATCACTATGAATGTAGATTGAAAGCCATAAGGGGGAATGGAATTCTTGAGGAATATCCCCCTTAGAGCTAATTAGGAGACTGGCTTCACAGAGTTGAATAGAGATAAGCTTCTGATCAGAGAAAGAAAGGGATAAAACAGCAACCACAATAATGTGAACACTTGCTCTGTGCCTGAAAACCCAAAGTGTTTCAGTTATTGAGGTTGAACCAAAGGAAATTGCCTATACATCCTTTCCTGAACCCTGAAAATGGCAGTTTCACATAGTTTATACTAATACAGTGATTCATTTAACATATATTCTAAAGAAGGAATCCCTCCTTAAACTTGGGAATGTTACTTAAACTTTGAGCTTTATCACTTCTAAAATGTAGATATATTCCATACTCAAATATTATTCCACTGATTAAATTAGATACTAATTCCATTGATTAAATTAGATACTAAGTATAGCACATATAGAAAAGTACTGAGCATACAGCAAGTCTACAATAAATGCACTATGATTTAACAATGGAGAAGATAAGTAAAATGATCAAAGTCCTATGACTAGTAAGTTTCAAAGCCAGATTTGAATCCATGTCCACCTGACTCCCAAGCCTATGTTCTCAACAACCAAATTAGCATTTCTATTGACAGTAATGAGATGTTCCACAAACACAGCATTCCATGTCAATAGGTTTGGGAAATTAAGAATTATATTCTTCTATGAGACTGAAATCTTCTATTTTTCCTTTGTTAAAGGTTTTGAATAATTCTACAATTAATTGATCTGTTTAATCCAGTGCTTTTCAAATCTATTTGACCATGGAAATTTTTTTTCTTATGTTGCCTATTAACATTTTGAATAACTTGTATTCTACAGAATATACTTTGAGAAACTCCATACTAAGATAGACTTCTTTCTAAGTAAGATGGACAAGTACAATGTAACAAAAGAAAATTATTAAAATTCTGAAATGCTGCAAATATGTTAAGTAGAAAAAAAATTGACAAATGACCCCTGATTATAGTTGAGGAACCATCATCCAGAGAGAGGGGGAAAAAGAAGAAAATAATACAGATTGTAGGTAATTATACAACTGAGAATCACAGAGATATAATGATAGATATAAATGTCTCCATCAGAAAAGAAGCAAACATTGTGAGATTCATGTTCATTCTGTCATTGCATTAATAATCTTCATTGGGGAAAGATATGTTAATAACTAAAATAAGAAATAAGGATTATCTATTCTATGAAATAGCAGGACTTTACAATGTGTTTGGTCTTGAATCAGCTAGAATCAACTTTATTGATGTACAGTTTGCAACTCAGTGAGAAAAAAATACATAGAGGTCTAGAATTCTTAGCAGCAAAAGAAATATCCATTTATACATGAATTTCTTTATCTATATATATCACATATACCTAGGAAGGTTAAATTCATACCAATACAGTGAATCCATGTTACAGCTTTAAAGTCGATTTAATAGCCTTTGACAAACATTTTAAGTGAGCAACTATCATTTCCTATAATATATAAAGCATGCAAGTTTGTCTATAATATTACCATGTAAACTCTTAATTTTAATTGACTTTCAGTAAATATGGGAGATACTTTATAACAAAGGCAACAGATTATGTACAGTTTAGTCATAAAGATTTTTTTCTGATTAGATTTTTGTTTGGAGTGGCCTGTAATCATTAGAATATAAATTTTCTCTACTTTTTTTCTTCTTCACTTTTCATTTCTTACATATAAAAAATTAAAAATTTTATCAAGGTGTATTTAAGCAATTGTAAATTACATTTCTATAAGGTGAGCCTAAAAAATGAAAATCTATAGTTTCATTTTTTTCAGCAGAACACACCTACATCTTATGGAACCTGATCCAATCAAGAGCAGGCTGTATTCACTACATCATCATAGCTGATATTTTTTCAGAACTTTAAAGCATAAACAGCACTTTTACATGTTAGTACCAGAGGCCCACTATGAATAATATAGAAGGCTAACATTCAAACGAAACTTGAGTACTGAAGCAGAAAATGCTACATCTATATTTTATGACAACAATAAAGATCCTACCTCATTTTTTAAAAATGAAATAGCCTGGAACAGTTTTCTTCCTTGGGTCTCAGCTATTTGCTTTTGAATCTCTAGGACACTCAACACATCGTTTATCTATTGTACTTTATGTTTCACTGTTAGGAACTTCCTTTCCCTGATCCAATGTGTAAAATATGGGCACCTTATTTTCAAAGTGTAATGTTTAAGGAGGATGCTGCTGCTTCCAGTTTAAGGTGGCTGAGTAGATCATTTATTTAACTTACCTCACTGAATTCCACTGAAATGACAGTGAATAAATATAAGGGGTTCAGGGGGTTTCAGAGTAATAAGTTTCTATACATACGATTATACTGATAGAAAAGCAAGGGTAGAAGAAAACCTGTAGCTAGGTACAGATACTGGGGAAGCTGGAATGGAGGAGGGAGATGTTCAGTTGGGCCAACACTAAATGTATGGTCACAGGTACAGAGTAGAGTTGAGTTGCATGGAAGTAATCAAAGTAATTCACTAGAGCACCGTTCTGCTGGCCTGTCAGCCCCTCCTAGAGCACCCACGGCCAACACCAATGTAACAGCCGCTGACACAGTAGCAGTACAATGGAAACTAGAAAGCTGATGTTTAAAGAGAAAATTAGGGTTTCTAGCATGACATACATAAAAGAAAGCCTCCTTATTGTGGCTTTTGGAGAAGCCTCAGCCTACATGTCTTGATCCCCATATGGAGACTTCTAGGATCATACCCACCCACTTAAGTGGAACTTGAACCAAATGTTTCCATTCAGGGGAGAGAAATGATGGGGGAAATTAATGTACACAATAGCAAAAGAGAGCCACATCAGGTATCTATATTAATTAACCGCGTGTTTCTCTCATATTTTTAAACTGATATTGATGGATGATCATAAAGTTTAATAAAACCAACTACATAAATATAAGTCAACAAATACAGCAGTCTATCCCAGAGGTAAAATAATACTATTTGGACTAGAATTAGACCTTAAAAGGCTCTATTTAGATTCAAAATATTGCATTCACAAAGTTAAGTACAGAATGTGCCGAAATAAGTTCAGTCTGAGAACAAGAAAGTTCTTGAAAAAAATTAAAGAATTTAAAAAGATTATACATGTGTGAGAAGATAAATTAGAAGAAATTATCCCAAATGTACAACATCAAAAACAGAGATAAAAATGATAGATAAAAAAGAAATTAGAAGAACAGTTCAAGAAGTTCAACATTCATATAAAAGGAGCTTCAGTAAATGCAGAGGAAGAATTATTAGGAACACAGTATTTAAAAATACTTCCCATAACTGAAGAATACAAATGCTTGTTTCAGCAACTATTTTAGGATAGAGCAGAGAGACAGAGGGTTCCAAGAGGGTACTTTGTGTTTCAAAGGGGAAGGTTTAAATAGGATGAAAGAAATGATAGAATATCAATAAATCTGAATATATTCAGAAGAGATTTGCTGGTTATTGAAGTGTTTGGAAGTAAATTATTGCCAGTTACATGGAAAACTAAGCATATGGAAAAAATAGTGGCAAAAGCACTATATATTAAGTGAACTTTATGAATAATATGTGTTCAGTAATAATATAAACACTGAATATTTGAAGGAAAAAGGGTAACATATTTTGGAAGGTGAAGAGGAAAATATAGGAAAATATAGGAGAGGGACGGAGGAAAATAATTGAAAATACCTAAGACTGAGAAATCAGTTAATAGCAGTAATGTGATACTATTTAAAAATATAAAGAAACTCTGGATATTTAAAATGTAAACAATTATAATATCATTTATAATTACTATAATACTTATGTTACTAGCTATGATTTAGGGCCCAAACTATTCTGGTTTTGGATACAATTTGAAACATTGCTTATTTTATACTATTTAATTTGGAAAACTTTATTTTATGTATTATGGATAACCCAATGTAAAATATGTAAATTATTTTAATGCAAAAAAAAAAAAGAAACTCATTAATGAAATTTAAGGTGGTGAGGGTCAACTATTTTTGTTTTGTTTTGTTTTAAACTGTGATGCCTACAAAGGAAAAAGGATTATGTTGGCAAAACATTTTATTAGCAATTTTTTATATTAGTCTACAATGGAACTATTTTGTATCTGTAAAGACTTAGGAGCAAATTGGCTTAAGTAACATGGAAATCCATTGACACCCAAAACTGAAGCTCAGGCATGGATCTTTAAACACACGTGATCCAGAAGATCAAATAAAGTATCTATGACTCTTTTAATTTATCAGATCGTCTTGTTTTCCTCCTTGGTTTTATTTTCAAACTCCACATAGTGATGAAAATATATCTTTTAAAGAACTTCTGTCCATAAAAGTCTATACAATTACTCTGCTTGAAACAATTTGGGTCATGTATCCCTCCTTGCACTAATCAATGTAACAAAGCATTTCTTCTTCCAGCTCTACATTTCTCATTTTGGGGACTCTTTTTTTCCTTCCATTTCTTCTGACATACTGGATAGCTCTTTTCTGAGCTTGTCTCTTTCTTGTCATATTTTGTCAAATGCAGTTAACAATAGTCAAAGTGTGCTAATTAATTGTTTTCCAATCTCTTCCCCTAAAACTACAAGTTTATTTTATATATTATCTGCCTTGTTAGTTATTACAAGAACAATATTCCCACCAACCAAATTGTAGTACCTTAACACACCAAAAGAAGCTTATTCCTCACTCATACCATGTGTCTACTGTGGGTTGAGAAAGGGACTCTGCTTGCCCTGGGGTTCCATGTTAAAGGAGCAATCTAACCACCAATTCAAAGGTTTGTAGGCACTGTGCAAAGGGAATAGGAACTGTAGCAAGTATGACACTAGCAGTTAAATGCTTACTGACCTGAAAGTGCCATATGTCATTTCTCTCATAATTCCTTGTTTGGAACTATTCATTTGATCCTATCACCCACAATAGGGCCTGCAAATTCAGCTCTTTCATGTACTCTTCCAAATTCAATTTCCATGTACCTTGAAGTTTGGAGAACTGAAACTATTAAGCTAAAAGCTCTAGTCACAGCCACACTGTCCCACAGGACATCATAAAGTTAATAAGTTGTTAAAATTCCATGAACCAGATGGGTCTTTTATCTTCCGTGTATTTCTGTATAGAACCTATGACCATGAATGAGGAGGGCTCTGGTCTGCTAGCCTGGCAAACCATCAGAAGTGCCTATTTATTTCAGATACACATATACATTTATATTTAGTCCAGCCCATAATTACATATTTGAGGTATGGTATTTGGGTTTTCAATTTAAAAAATAAATGCTATTACCAGAAAACTTTTGAAAGTTAAAAACACAAACTTCCTTTATGATGTTAATATGACTCTGATAACAGTGTGTGTTCAGGTCTCTTTGTCTGCTCTGGAGCCTATGTGGTCACCAAAGGATCCCTGACTGCCTCGCGGACCATGTATGCTCAGCTGTTGAATAACGTGCTGCACCTCCCACTGCAGTTTTTTGAAACCACCCCCATAGGCCAGATCGTCAGTCGCTTCACCAAGGTAAGGAAAGATGTACCTTACTAAATGGTATTGCTAAAAATGATGGCCTGTATGTAGTACCTTATAATCTCACTCATACAAAATATCATGTGTTTAGTACAGATTTCATTGCTGAATACATTTCCAGACCTGTTATACATAATTGATGTATAACAGAGTCACATCTTACACATATAATTAAAAGAACTCCTAAAAATTACTGAAAGAATCCAAAAAACACATGATCTTTGATGTCTACAATTCTTTTACACATTGAGTTTGAGAATCACTGGTTCAGGCTAAGAGGGGAAGGAAAATTGAAGTCAATGTGGAGATATCTGGAGTTTGAAAACATTCTGCCTTTAAGAAAACTTAAGAAATCACTTATGGTGAATGGGGAATAGGTGGAGATTTTCAGAATGCCTCTGCTTACCTATAGGTGTTTTCCTAATGTGTTTACCATTAAGCACTTATGATTATACAGTCCAGGAGAAATATAATGCAAACCACAAGTGTAATTTTAAATTTTCTGGTAGCCACAATAAAAAGGTAAAAAGAAATAGTAAAAATAATTAATTATGATAGTATATTTTTAATAAAGTATATCCAACACATTATACCAAACTGTAGTATAGATAAAATGATTAATTAAATATAATATATTTTGTACAAAGTCTTTGAAATCTGGTTTTTATTATATACTTGTAGTACACTTCAATTTGTAGTGGCCACATTTAAAGTGCTCAATAGCTACATATTGCTAGTAGTTCCTGTATTAGACAGTGCAGTCCATAACTTTAAATATGTTAGTACGTGCATATGTCTATGTAAAGAAAATGATGTGCATATAAGCCAGTGGACATTTCCTACTATGACCCTACTGAGTAATAATCATTTTTTTAAGTAAAATTTCAAATGATTGGATCTTGAGCAGATGGAAATATGGGAAAGCAAATTCTAAAAACAGATAGAAAATTACATATGAATATGATACTGTTATACTATTTGATATAAAAGATATTCAGGAAAATTCCCAAAGCAAGATAGAATTAATAAAATTCCATCTCTACACTTTGTATCAGTTTTGTCTTGAACTGAGTAGTTTATCCATTCAAGGTTTGGTGTCTTTTTTTCTTCCTTGGGTTCTCTTAGGTCATACTTTGCACCCCAAACATAGTTTGGTTAAGTTATATGAACAAAGTGAGGATTAATACATGGCCTCACCTATGTCCTTCTCTCATTTCTATTGTCCACTTCCTTCTGTCAGTTTCTTATTTTGTTTTTCTCCCTCTTCTGATGCAGGCAGAACCCAGCTACCCAAGAAGGCTGCTGTACATGTTTTTAGTTGATAACAATGCCCCAAGGATGTTTTACAATTTTTGAGTAGAAAATATGGTAGCCCAGTGCCCCAAATACTGGATTTTGAAAACTCCTGTACTGGATTTTAGATTTCTTTTTATGATTAGGGTGTGACTTTAGTTGTATAATTAATTGCCATGTAGTTGTCATAGGGAAATATAAATTGCTTGATCACAGGCATCTTGTTACTAGAACAGTCTTTTAATTGTTACAGTTGACTACAGGGGATAAATATACAAGGGCGAGCAAAGATCATGTAGTTAGACTTATTTAATCATCAGATTGTACCTGAGAAAACATCTTTTTAATTTTTTTCACTGAATGATATATTTGTCCTTCCCCTCATTCTACAACATGAAAAATTAAAAATAAAGTGACCTGATAATCAAATTTTTCAGGACATGTTTGTAATTGACACACGTTTCCATTACTATTTCCGAATGTGGATGAATTGTACATTGGATGTTGTTGGAACAGTTTTGGTCATTGCGGGAGCTTTGCCACTCTTCATTCTGGGGATTATTCCCTTGGTTTTCTTCTATTTCTCTATACAAGTAAGTACATGGATTTTTATTTATATTAATTGCTTACCAGCCCACAGCCAAATATAGTTTCAGACCTACTTAAACTTCCTGTTAGTCTAGGTTCTCCAGGAAGCAGGGTCCAAAAAAGGATTAGATGTACTAGAGATTTACTGGGGAAAATGGCTGTAAAGGTTAAAAGAGCGTGATCAGGAGAGGGCTGGGCTGAGCAAGTCAGATCTGATCCTTGTGAGGGAGAAAAAGAAGGAAGCATTGTCTACCAAAATAGTGCAAAAAGATCTGACTCACCTCTGTATGGAGTTATTATACTGCTAGTATTATAAGCATGTTTTTAGGAGACCACAGATTTTCTCCTCAATGAGATTGTAATTTCTCTGGGGGCAGAGACTATGTCTCATATATTTTTTTCTTAAATCTAGAAACAGAAGGATGGTATTAAGGATCAATTATATCTGCTTAGAAATACCCCACTCATGTTGCAAATGCAATTTTCTATAATGGTCTCATGGTTGGTAAACTATAACAGGGTGACCAGGAGTGGAAAACAGTCTACCAACCATGTCTTGTTAGGGGGAGTTGTAGAGTGTAAGCTCTGAATTTGGATTTGAGAACCTGGAGTTCTATTCACCTTCCTGACCCCTGTGCCTTTCACATCATTTCCCTGGCTCCAGGTCTTTCTCCTGTGAAATAAGAGGTTTGATTTAGATGTGTGCTACACAAAGTGTGGCTCCTGGACCCTAGGACCATAGGCTATTGGATCAGAATCCCTCAGTGTGGGGCCCAGAAGTCTGCATTTTAACAAACCCTCCAGGTGTTTCTTACTGAAGTGAGAGAAGCATTGATCCAGATCAAAGGTTCTTAAACTAGATTTCCTACACTGTTTCATGGAAGAACTCCATGCCTTCTACAATTCACTGAAATTTTATAAAAAATCTATGAGTATGTATGCATATTTACATTTGTCTAGAGAAAAATATTTTATCCTTAATCAGCTACTCAGAGGGTCCATGACTCCAGAAACATATTCCCTGGTCTAGTAACCTCTTAAATCCCCTTGTGGCCTCAGAATGCCATAGTCCTTTGTATTCTCCAGAGCAGAGTTCATAAGCTACAAGCTAGCAGGCTGTATATAGATTGAGATATGTTTTTATTTAGCTTGCTCAGTGTTTAAACCAATTGAAAACATTTTAAAATCAGGAATGTCACATAAAATTCCAGATCTGAAAACTTTCCTGAAAATTTTTCACGATCTGATAACCCTTAATTTTCATTTTTAGTTGACAGCAATTTTCTGGGGCTAATTAATGATGGTCTCGTTCACTCAGGGCTTGCTCCCTCCAGCTTTCCCCAATCCCCACCCATCCCAGTTGTCCTCAATTTGAGGCCAAGGAGGAGCCAACTTGAAATTGTGGCTGCACTAGTGATTTTTGTAGGAAAAAAATAATTATTTTTGTCTGTAATTATGTTTAGGTACAAAAATATTATTTATATACTTGATCTGCTTTCCTCATTTATTGGATTAACTGCCCAGTCACATTTTCAACATCTGACACAGAGGTTTTTCCATGGTCGATACTCAATCATGGTCATTTGGGAGCACTGTCAAAGTGAAATTTTGCCCAATTATGCTCTAGTGATGCTGTCCAGAATTTGGGCCTTTTGCTGTTGTGTGGGGATATTAGTTTCCTAAGCCTCCTGTAACAAAGTATTGAATAACCTATTCATAATAATACAATAAACTGGGTGGCTTAAAACAACAGAAATTTACATTCTCAGTTCTGGAGGCCAGAAGTCCAAAATCTATTATGTAGGCAGGGTTGGTTGAGAGTCTGTTTCATGCTTCTCTTAGCGTCTGGTGGCCGTCAGCAACCCCTGGCATTTCCCCTGGTTTATAGCCTCATCGCTCCAGTCTCTGCCACTGTCTGCGCAGGGTGTTCTCCCTGTGTCTGTGTCTTCTTTTCTGTCTGTTATAAGGACACTCAGCATTGGATTTAGGATCCAGCCTAAATCCAGGGTGATCTCATCTTGAGATGTTAATTACATATGCGAAAATACTATTTCCAAGTGAAGTCACAATTCAATAGGTACTGAGGATTAGGAGTTGTATCTCACTTTTTGGGGTCACTCTTTAAATCACTACGCAAGAGTCTTGGAGTGTTTTAAACCGCTGAAGCAATTTCAGCTACATCTTCCTAACTACCTCTGTCTGCCCTCTAATTAGAGATATTACATGGCAAGCTCTCGGCAGATTCGGCGGTTGGCAGGAGCTTCCCGTTCTCCTATCATCTCCCACCTTAGTGAGACTCTATCAGGAGTGTCCACTATCAGAGCGTTTGGACACGAGCACAGATTCATTCAGCAAAACAAAGAGGTGGTGAATGAGAACTTGGTCTGTTTCTACAATAACGTAATTTCAAACAGGTAAGTCAGATCAAAACACCTACCTTAGGATCAGTCTCTTAGATAGCTTTTTCACTAACTTCTAAACAGAAAGTGTTTTGTGATGGCATTTCATCCAATTAAAAATATACATAACAATAAGTCCTAAATATTTTTTTAGTATTTAACATAGATTTCAATTAAATTGCATCTATTATATTCACATAAAAGGTACATATTACTTTATATGAAAACAAGGTCCCAAGTTGTTGAAGGATCTACAGGATGCTATTAGAATTACTTATTATATGATTCTACATTGTATTTTATATTTTGAGAATATATTTTCATCTGCATACACTATTTTATAAAATTGTTGAATTTGAAGTTATAATTTCCTTAAAGGAAAATAAATGAAATATTACATAGTAGTTGGACACATTTTAATTTTTAAAGAATAATTTTACCATATAAAAAGCGTATGTAATTGAAAAGATAGCTGATTTTCCAGTGCCATTTTAAAAATGCAACACATCATTTTAGCTAGTGTTCCTTTCCTTTGCTTTTAAATTCTGATCAAATTTTAAAGCAAGGTTCTGCAAGTATATTTTTATGCACAGGAATTTTTTAATCTATCATCATGTGAAAATCCTATGTTTGACTGAATTCCAAGTAAGTGGGGGAGCAAAAGGAAAGCAGCTATTGATGTTTACTTCTCGATTTCCCAGGGGAGAGTTAGTACTAAGTGTACCAAAACTTTTTCATCTCGCTTACTTAAGAATATATTCCCTTTATCACAGGTGGCTGTCTGTTAGACTTGAATTTCTTGGCAACATAATGGTATTTTTTGCTGCATTGCTTGCTGTGCTGGCTGGCAATTCTATAGATTCAGCAATAGTTGGTTTATCTATATCCTATGCCCTAAATGTAAGTAAATAATGATTTTTTGCCATACATGATATGTTTATAATCCAATTAATTAAACACTGTCCTCATTTGCCTGTCTAAATTATAGATTATATTAACTAAGTAATGAGAAACAAATCTGGATTGCCCTGGAGGCTTATTTTTGTTTGTTTGTTTGAGTAGTAGCAGGAATCTGGTTCAGCAGTTATAAGTCAGCTAATAGGAAGAACAGGCTGGTACCCAAGGCTGAGCACTGAGGGATCAGGAAATTCCTGCTGTTCCATAGTTACCCAGAAGTTTCCACTGTCTTACCCTTTAATAGAGTGTTACAGAATAGGACCCCTCTTCACTACAGCAAGTGCATCCAATTTGCCCAGCCTAAGCAAGAAAATAGTATAGGCTCTGGGGAGAGTTTGTGTGCTGCTTTTCCTGTGCTTGTAAGTTTTTCCCTAATAAGCTCTATTTTGTATTACACTGCAAATCACAAGTGGTATGAGTGTGTTCATGCCCCCTTTGTAAAAATAGTAAGTGCCCTTAACTGTTTAATATAATTCCACATTATTTAGAAGATAAGTCTAGATGATTTTGGTATACGCCCTTAGTCCCTAATTCAAAAACCTTGAGGCCTGGTGCATTTCAGAATTCAGAATTTAGGCTTCTAGAAAGGGAATATGGTACATATTTATATGCAGGACCTGGGACAGAACCCCATAATCAAACATTACTGTGTTTTGCAGTGAAATATGATAATATACTTCCTAAGTAGGTTAAATAAACATTCTGAAGAGCCCCATATGAGTTGAAGTCAGGTGGGCCACCAAATGGGTTGGCATCAAACTCAAGAGAAAAGTAGATTGTCAGTTTTTTTGACTTTTAGAATTAGGTTAGAAATAATAACCTTGCAGAACCTACATTTGGGAATAGAGTGAGAAGAAAGTATAGCTTAAAAAAAAAAAAACAAGGTTAGGAGAAAATTAGAAAGTTAGGGGGACTTACTTCTGTCAGAAGATAGTGAAGAATGCCAAAGTGTTTGTGCACTGTTTTTGTTTTTATCTCTCATTTAGGATGCACATTTTTGAGGCATATCCCACCAATCTTAGCATTCATCATTCCTTATACCAAGTATAGACTTATTTCTTTAATATATGCTGAACTGTGGTGGTTCTGTCTTCTGCCAAATAATTATATTTTTTATAATATTAGTGAGTTTAATGTACTTAAACACAGTGTGCTAGAGCTGTTAAGTAATCAAAAGAAATAAAGTATATGAAAACTATAAAAAATGAAACTTTATAAAAATAAAGTATTATTTGTATTACATAAAAGAAAAAAGAATGTGCATTAAGCTCTTTTTTCCTTCTCCACCACCTTCCCAATCACCTTCCAAGATTACTCATTCTTTGAATTTTTGGGTAAAGCAAGCATGTGAAATTGAAAGCAATGCAGTTTCCATTGAAAGAGTTTGTGAATATGAAAATATGGATAAAGAGGTAAGCACTCCTAAGTAACCAATAAATAGATGCAGGATTAAAATATTTTAATGCACCTTGAATTGACATTTAAAAAAATAAAGTTTAGACAAAACCTGCATTTCAGGAGGGGGAATATAAAGTAGGGATCGTTAATGGGTGCAAAAATGTAGTTCATAGATAGAATGAACAATATTTGATAGCATTCCAAAATGACTAAAATCAATCTAAGTCAGGGTATGCTTTAAAATAACTAAAAGAGTAGAATTGGAATGTTCCTAACATGAAAGAAATGTTAAATATCTGCGGTGATGGACATCCCAATTACCCTGATTTAATTAATTCACATTGTATGTCTGTATCAAAACATCACATTATTCTATAAACATATACAACTATTATGTACCCATAATAATTTTTAAAAACCCTGCATTTCCAAATTCATGTTGCAATATTCAACATTTCAGTGAAATTAAAACTGAAATTATTGTAAAATGGACCATTGTTTTATATATCACTAAAGTAGAAATAAAAACACTTCTAGTTAAGTTAGAACACTCCATAAATTGTAAGATATTTCTCAATTACAGTGAATTATAAAAATGAAATATGATAACCAGTTTTTAAAAGGCACAGTGATTTGTCCTCTACTGATGTATAGGGTAAAATACAGAACTTATGATTACAACTTTGTGGGGATTTAAATTGAGAAAAGTGTCTTAATATAGTCAGCTCATAATTATTTAGAGTCTGCACAATTTCTAAATGGATTGCATCCTTATTGCCTATAACTTCTGCTCCATTTACTAATCATTAACATCTCTATGAATGGGGAGGAGGAGGAGAATAAATCATTCTGTTTTGTTCTCTTTAATTAATTATAATTTGGAAGGGCAAAGAGTGAGACTATTGACAGTATAATATTTAACTTATCCATATATTTCATCTGTGTTACTTCTGTGCCCAAGTTCGGTTAATTAACAGGGAAGATGGTAAAGATAACTTGAATGTCTGTATCTTCTTCAGTCCACCTACAAAGCTATCTTTCCTTTTTTGTTCATCGCTCTTCTTCTTTTGCTCATAAGCCTGAAGAAGTGCTCCTCCTCCAAATAAAAATCTAACATTTCCAGTTGTATTTTTGGTAATATCGCTTCCTGTCTTCTCTGAGGCCTGCCCATTAACTATCTCTTCTTATTCCTACCCCTTGCTCCTCTCAGCCCATAAATATGCTAGATGTTTTCTATATCCTCCAACTCCTACCTGAACCTTGAATGTTCCTTTGGATTTTTCTCTAGGTCTCTTCTTTCCTTCTCATATAAATTTCATGAAAAATTAGTCTACTTTCACAATCCTCAGTTACCAATATTCAATTTGCTTAGTCCATTTGCCATCTGATGACTAATATATAATATTACTTTTGCCCAGGCGCGGTGGCTCAAGCCTGTAATCCCAGCATTTTGAGAGACTGAGGCAGGACAATTGCTTGAGCCCAGGAGTTCGAGAGCAGCCTGAATAACATAGTGAGACCCTGTCGCTACAAAAAATTAGCCGGGAATGGTGGCATGCACCTGTAGTCCCAGCTACTCAGGAGGCTGAGGCAGGAGAATCACTTGAGCCCCGGCGTTTGAAGTTACAGTGAGCTATGATTGCATCACTGCACTCCAGCCTGGGTAACAAAAAAAAAAAAAAAAAGAAAAAACAATATATATATATATATATTATACACACACATGTATATATATATATATACACACACATATATATATACACACACATATATAAATATAACATTTTCTATATTTTCTAAATTTTTTGCTATTAATATATCTTTCACATTGGAATAAGATGACAAAATATGTATGGAAACACACATTTAAAAAAAACAAATAAAAAATTTCTATGAAATTTAATGCAAGTTGTGACCAATACTGCTGCAAAAATTCTTGAGGTGGAAGAGGTAAATTTGTCCAAATAACCCTCTTCACCCCTCTAGAGCTCTGTTTCTCTGCTCCCTTTTACAGAAGAATTCTTTGGAAAAGTTGCCTATACTGGCTTCTCTATTTCCTTTTCTCTTAGTCTTTTTCGGAGCTAATTCAAACAGGCTTTCGATCCTACCACTCCACTAAACCTGCCCTTTTCAAAAAGGATGGACCATTCTCAGTCCTCACTTTACCTGACCTATCATTTGACATTGGCCTTCACTCCCTGTCCCATGAAACACTTCACCTCATTGCCCAGCCATCCTCACTCTCCTCTACGTTCTGCCTCATGCTTCCTCCAATATTCCAGACAGGTCTGTCTCAGAGTCCTGGGCACAAGTGATTAGTTCCAGCTAGTTATTAATCCCTTTGTCTAGAATGCTCTTCCTCTGGCATCCCTATGGCTTTTTCCCTCAGCATGGCCAGGAAAGCCTTTCCTAACCATCCTACTTAAAATAATACCTCTTCCTTCTACCAACTCTGCCTATTTCTTCTTGTCTTCCAAAGCTTTAATATCATCTAACATCCTACATATGTTATATGGTTCTTTCTGTCTGACCCCGCTAGTATGTACATTCCATGAAGGAAAGAGTTTTTATCTGTTTTCCTCACAGCTGAATCTCTACTAAACTAAATAGTTTACAGCAACTAAAACAGTGACCGGTAGAGCAACCATTCAGTATTTGGGGAATGAGTGAGTGACAAACTGTCCTCATCTCAGCTAAAATTTCAGGTTACCTTTATCCCATCATAGGATTTTAGATTTTTCTTAATAAGTTGACAGAAGGTGAAAAGTTTATTACCTGTAAAAATTTATCTCTAAGAGTTTCTTATAACTAGATGAGAGGTTTTAGAGGGGGCTGGTAATATTTAAAACTATTTTCAGAAAACCATAATATCTATAAATGTCTCATTTATCATCATTTATCCTCACTTTTGTTTGCATGCATAAGAATTTTGGGGGGGGTATATTTTATTATAATTGTAGTTTAAAGAATATTTCTTTGTTTCAAGGCACCTTGGATAATGTCTAGAAGGCCTCCATTACAATGGCCCAATAAGGGGATAGTAGAATTTATTAATTATCAGGCTCGATATCGAGATGATCTTGGTTTAGCATTACAAGATATCACTTTCAAGACTCGCGAGGAAGAGAAGGTATTGTATATATTTCATATATTTCATTTCTCCTTTTATCTGAATGCATTCCTTGTTAAGTACAATATGATATTGAATGTAAAGTAGTCTTTTCTTAAAATTTCATATAGGCCGGGCGCGGTGTCTCACGCCTATAATCCTAGCACTCTGTGAGGCTGAGGAGGGAGAGGATCGCTCAAGGTCAGGAAGGGGATTGCTCAAGGTCAGGAGTTCGAAACCAGCCTGAGCAAGAGCGAGACCCCGTTTCTACTAAAAATAGAAACAAATTAATTGGTCAACTAAAAATATATAGAAAAAAATTAGCCGGGCATGGTGGTGCGTGCCTGTAGTCCCAGCTACTCGGGAGGCTGAGGTGGGAGGATTGCTTGAGCCCAAGAGTTTGAGGTTGCTGTGAGCTAGGCTGACATTAATATGTGGTTGGTGGATAGAAAATAAATTCTCCCTCTATGAAAAAAAATTTTTTTGATTGCTAATACACTATTGTGAAGCATAATTTTAATGTACATTATTTTTACTTCCTCTATAAAGTGATTTATAACAATAAGTAAAATAGTTATCTACAAAACAGTAAATCCATATTATGAATTATGTGTATTGTCAATGACATGTTTTCCAAGACCATTAGAGAGATGGAAAACATGCTTGAAATGTAATTTAGTTAATACAAGCAACCTACAAAACTATTGATAAGTATGAATGTTAGTTTTGCATTTTAAAAAAAGCAAACAGATATACATTAACACATATATTTTGGCAATAGAAATATATGGGAAACAAAACATTCTGGAATTTTGATTATCTCAATTGATTAAATAGATTCCTAATTTTTTTCTCTCTGATGTATTTGTCAGATTTAAAATTTTATATTAGAGCAAGCCAACGACCTTAATGTTCTCTCTGCCTAATGTTCCTATTAACACTAACACATGAATCAGCAACCAAAAGAGATTGCTTTGGTTCTCATGGTCAATGGGACATGTTTAATTACTAGAATATTTGTAACAAGCCAATTATTTTGGCCAGGAGTCAAATCCTTAAACATTATACATGGTCATCCACAATAGTTTTAATGCTAAGTTGTTTGGATACACCAAGGAAATTTACAGGTATTCCTTTGAATTTTCTAGCCTATTTGGCAAAAGGTTCCAGTGTCTTATATTTGTTTGTTTGCTTGTCAGTTTAGGGGGAAGGAGGGTAGAGAAAACCTCATTTTTTGCAAGTTCCAGTAAAACCATTTCATCATCAGCGCTTCCTTTGCACTTGCCTTTATTGGCTAGTTCAGAGGTGGTTCAGGGATGTTCTGCTTCTGCTTTTCCTGGGGCTGCTGGGGTTTTCTAGTTAGATAGTAACTAAATCACTACAAATAGAGGAAAAACATATGTTAGCCAGAGCCTTTCCAGTGAGTAAAGAGTATCTGGATAAAGACACATTATATCTTCCATGCCACTCAAGGTTAGTCTAGTTGGAAAATTATATCCCAGTCACCTGACACCTCAGGTATTTTTTTGTCATTGCACAGGCCCTGTTCCCTTACAGAAAGTGTGGCATGAACTGTTTATGATCATTTCATTACAGATTGGAATTGTGGGAAGGACTGGAGCAGGCAAATCAACACTATCAAATTGCTTATTTAGAATTGTGGAGAGATCAGGAGGCAAAATTATCATTGATGGAATTGATATATCCACTATTGGACTTCATGACCTTCGTGGCAAACTTAATATTATTCCACAGGTAAAGTGTTTTGCCAGTAGTCTTTCTTAACTCACTGCAAGTGAACTTGTTTTTTCTTTTTCTTTTTAAATTTTTTTTCTTCCAAGTATATAAATTCATTTTTAGGAGCCAGATCATTTTAAATTGTGTTATGAAAAATTGTTACATGATTTAACCCTATTTAAACACTCCTATTGTGAAGCATTCTTTCTAAGACCATTTATATATTTGAAGAACCAGTGCCTCTCTTTGAAAAAGTTCTCTTCCTAACAGTAAGTACAAATAAAATTCAAATCAATAGATGAAACTCACTGGTATTTTTTGGAGGAAAAAAATTATGAAGTCTTTGCTTAGTTGGCAGTTTGAGTGTAGTTTAATTATTTTGACTTGAAGTTTAGAAATTTTAACAAAAAGAACCATAATTCAGTTAGATTTATTTTCTCAAGTCTTTTTGATTTTTTTAGTCTGTGGAATTAAAGGGAGTTGATCATTAACAAGTATGCAAATTGGCTCAAGATTATCATGCCTGTAAAGTCAAATATGATTTATTCAGTTGAGTTTGAGAAAATATATTTTCTGAGCATTTATTAAATATTTTTGTGCTATCTTCAAAAATATCTTAAAATACTAAAATCTCAGTCACATTGTTCAAACATATACTTAAGAGTATTTACTTCAAAACAAATTTGAGGCAATGCGTAGTGGCTCACATATGTAATCCCAGAATATCGGGAGGCCAAAGTAGGAGGATTGCTTGAGGATGAGAGTTTGAGACCAGCCTGAGCTACATAGCATGATCCTGTGTCTACAAAAAATAAAAAAAGTTAGCTGGGCACGGTTGTACGTGCCTATAGTCCCAGCTATCCCCAGATGGCTTGAGGCAGGAAGACCGTTTGAACCCAGGAGTTTGAGGTTGCAGTGAGCTATGATGATGCCACTACACTAGGCGAGGCAACAGAGTGAGACCTGGTCTGGGGGCCGGAGGAATGGTGGGAAATAGGGTAAAATCTAGAATTCTGGCAGGGAAAAAAATTTACTGGAAGGAAGACACATCAGTCATTCCCTTCTTATAAATAAATAAATGCAGGTATAATAAAATATACTTTCACCAGGCATCTTGTTGTAGCAAAAATAAAATGGTCTTAGTCTGCTTTGAATTCTGCTCAACAGCTTATTTTCTGTGTGGTCTTGAACAAGTGCTCTTTGGAACCTCCAATTCACTCTGTGTAAATTGGGAATATTAACCTCTATCTTTCTGAGTTGGTAGTATGCTGAGTGATAATAATATATACATACTAAATTTTTTATTTGTTATATATCATATCTCTGACTACATGGCAGCTATCATTATTATTATTGTGGCCGTTGACATTATTGTAAATAATAGGAGAAAGAGAATGATGCTTATAATGATTTAATTAGTTTATTAATATAGTTTATTATTATAATTGATTAATATTAGTTTATTAATTAGTTTATTAATATAGTTTATTATTAATTATAGTATATTTTTATTCTCTTCTATTTTTGTTTTAAATATAAAATGAATTTGATGGCTATATCAGGTTTGATCACTTTGCCTTTTCCTCATTTATTTTGAGTCTGATTTTTTAAAATTTATGTGTGTCTCAGTTGACAGTAACATTGCAAGGGACTCTTTTATTCTCTAGGACCCTGTTTTATTTTCTGGAACCCTTCAAATGAACCTGGATCCCCTGAACAACTGTTCTGATAGTGAGCTGTGGGAGGTGCTGGAATTGTGCCACTTGAAAGAGTTTGTGCAGTCCCTTCCTGAGAAGCTGCTGCATAAGATTTCAGAGGGTGGTGAGAACCTCAGGTAGGCTGCTAAGAACAGAGCTTGCCCTGGTTATTCATTCAAAGCTCTTTAGAAATTGTCCTTAATGGGAAATAGCTCTTGAGCCACCAGGGAGCTTGTTTGGTCTGTTTAAAGCACATCATTGCTGATTCTGTGTCAGGAAGAGGAACATGGAATAAAATGGTAGCCATTGGCTTGGGAACTATCGATGAAGGGAAAGAAAAGAAAGAAAACAAGGAAAAAAGAAAGAAAAGAGAAAACTATGAAATGTCACTATTTAATTGAATCTTCTTTTCTCAAGACTGCTACTCTAATAGCTTTGTTCCTTAAAAATCATATGGTTACTTTCTCTCCATCACTGTTTGTGGTCCTAAGACTGTCCCCTTTAAGTGATCAGAGACGCAAAGAAAGTGAGCTAGATCCCTTTAATGGCCCACATGGCATGACTCCCAAGGCTTCCTTGATAACTAACTTTCTCCCTTCCTCTTGATGTCACTGCCATATAGGCTGTTCACCTTGCTGCTTCATGAGTTTGCCAGGCCAGCTTATGGCTGCCTCAGGGATTTTGCATCTGTAGTTTCCTTTGCCTGAAACAAGTTTCTAACAGAAACCTGCATGGCTCACTTTCCACTTCCTTCAGGTCTTGACTTAAAAGGCAACTTCTGAGAAATTCTTTGGCAGGCTCATCTAAAATGCCCAGCCCACACCCACATGTTATACCTTCTTCTGTGTGTTTGACTTCTCTTAGCACTTTCTATACACATATTATATATGAAATTACTATATATACCGTTTCTATACACATATTATATATGAAATTACTATATATACCGTTGTATATATATGTGTGTACTATATATACTTTATGCTCTTCTTACTATGTATTTTACTCAATTATTATTATTATGTTTATTTTTTTCAGTCTTCCCCATGAAAATGTAAAATGTACACGGATTTTTATCTGTTTTGCTTATTGCTCTAGTGTCTGGCACATAGTCATCCTTCAATAAATAATTTCTTGAATAAAAGATAGAATTAATGTGCAGATTAGAAAAAAAATGAATAGCAGTATCAACAGAATTTTAGAACAGAAAGTGTGTTACCATAAAGTCCCTTGTTGAAGTTATTTTGCTTTTCTTCTCCTAGCGTGGGACAACGGCAGCTTGTGTGTCTTGCTCGCGCTTTGCTTCGAAAAACAAAAATTCTCATTTTGGATGAGGCAACAGCCTCCATTGATTTTAAGACTGATAGCTTGGTGCAGACCACGATAAGGAAGGAGTTTTCTGATTGCACCATCCTGACGATTGCTCACAGACTGCATTCTATCATTGATGCAGACAGGTATGCTTGCTTTCTTCTCAGCAAAAAAACAATTTCTATATAGCTAGATATTGGACATACAAAACACACTAATTACTTGCCACTGATAAACAATGTTATCTGTGCTGGGAGATAAAAAATTTTCATGAATGGTTTAGAAAACATTTTTCTAAAATAATTAGAAGAAAAATTTAGTGCTCAAAGAATATTAGAAAACTCAATTTATTTCCACATATTTTGTACTGAAATAACTCACACAGTAATTTAAACCTTATATTAGCAAGAGCAAAAAGCTGAGGTGGAAAAATAATTATAGGTTACCTGATTGTGTTTTTCTTTTTTTTTCACATTGCAGGGTGCTTGTTCTAGACTCTGGAAGGATTATGGAATTTGAAGCACCACAGAATTTGATAGATCAGAAAGGACTTTTCTTTGAAATGGCAACAGAAGCTGGAATAACACCAGACTCCAGGACAAAAAAATAATTTTAGTTGCATGTCTATTATACCGAATTAAAAAAACTAAAGTGCATTAGTATTTAAAAAAACAATTATAGGGGAGATATGAACAAAGGCAGGCCCCTGGGGACAAGCTGGCACATACATACCAATAAGCAGCAGTTTCCCATCCTGGGCTATCCCGAGTCTTCCCTCCTCCATTCATGCCTGCCTTCTCTGCATTGCCAAAATTACTAAATGCCACTTATCCTTTAGCTCTCTGACTTCATTCCAGAGTGACCTCCTCAATGAAGTGTCCCTTGATCTCCCTCTCTGCATTTCAGTATGATCTAGATGCCCCTTTTCTGTGTTCTTGTGAGCCCCAGGTGCATACTTTTATCATGGCCGGGACCATACTCTATTTTAATTCTTTAATGTCTGTCTCCCCCCAGTAAAGGTCCCTGAAGACAAGGTCCCAGTTTTAATCACCTTTGTATGTCAGGGTCCTAGCATAGTGCTTTCATATAAATGAAACCCAACGAATGTTTGTAGAATAAATAACTAAACATTTTAGAGCAATGTGATATACTTATTTATTTATATATAAATACAAATGTACAGTTTATGAAATGGAGAAATCACATAAGAAATAACTTATTCATTTGCTCTTTGAAAAGTTATTATATATTAACTGAATTTTATAATCTGCTTTATTGAAAAATGTTTTATAATATTTCTATTTGCTTTATAGCAAAAAAAATATATTTTCTTTGTAATATCATTTTTTGGTTGAATCAACCTCAGTGAGATATGTATCAGATTGTATACAATCATAGGATTATTGATTTGTAGTACTAACCATATTTTGAAGGGCTTTTTCATTTAGTAGTCTTATGTAATAGAAGCAACATTATGTCTCTGAATTGCCCTTCAAAGTTAAACTGTTTAATCTTTAGAAGTATTTTTCTTTCAAGCTAATTTTAATAAGATATTTAAACATGTTCTTTATGACCCATCAACAATTTCTTTTACCCTCCTTTTCACTTCCCTATTCAATCTTGTGCAATCTTGCTTCATTTCCTAAGGGTATTTATGAAAAGTTGCCTCACTATAAAAAATTTTATTATTGAAAGTCTCCTTCCTTTAAAATGTAAGCTACTTGAAATGTTGTACTGTCTATACAATCCCTGAAGTGCTTTATGAACATTGAATAAATATGTTTAATTCCATTAAGAAAGGGATCAAGGTATTTTATTAATGTCAGCTAAAAGGTGTTTTAGCTCTCTACTCCTATAATTTCAGTAAGAGAAGCTGCATAATTTGAAAATCTAGTGGGAAATCAACAGTAGTTGGGATAAATTGTGGTATATTCACATAAAGGAATTCTATACAGCCATGAATGAATGTATACAACATTCACAAACATAATGTTGAAGGACAGGAGCCAGCCACAGAAGAATATTATTATATGAGTCTATGATTCTACTTATATAAAAGTTTTTTTTAAAGAGAAACTAATTTATAATATTAGAAATTGGAATATGGATTATCCTTGGTAGAGATGGAAAGTGCACACAGGTGGGCTTCTAGGATAACAGTATGTTCCATTCCTTGATCTGAATCTGAGTATTGGTTCAGTTTGTGAAAATTCATCAAGCTGTATACTTAGGATATGTGAAGTTTTCTGCATATATGTATTTGTAGATACAATCTTTATAATTATTATCATATATGATAGAATAAAAAGAAAGCAAAAACATGAAAATGACTAACAATAAAAAGTATTCAAAGATGATTTTATTATTTTAAGAAATTAATATTTCATTCTTATTTTAATTATGTAAATCAAGCTTGTTCAATCACTGAAGTATGCTAGAAAAAAGTGTAGGGTATTCAAAATATCTGGATTACAGAGAGGTAGCACATTTGTATTTTTAAAACACTTATTCCATGATTGAAAGATTTGTTTAGATACTGAAACTTCAAAATGGATTAAGAAAACAATAATTTTAATATGCAAAATATTTACCTTAGCTGATAGAAGGAAAATTCTAAACAACATTATGTTGTGTTCTTTGAGGATAATGAGAATATTTATTATTGAAAGCACACAATGTGCAAGGCATTTGGAACATTTGTCACTTTAAATTCTCTATTCTGTTTTATCACAAATTACACTCACATTCCAAAAGGAGTTTGGCCAGTGAGACGTAGAATCCACGTTCATATGACTACAAAATTGATGATGCTCTTTCCATTTCCCTACCAAGAAGTCCCATTCCTAGAAGAGCCCCTCTGCAGTTCAAGAATAGTTCAAGATCCTTAAAAAGAAGGATTTTAAACCAGTAACTCTGTAGGCATAATATATAAAATTAAAGCTTGTGGTGGGAGTGGGGGTCACTCCTCTTTAAATATGGTATTATTTTGAACCATATGAAATAGTCATCTTTGTAGATCAAAAAATGGTTGAATAATGGCAATTTCATATACTTATGAACACAACCTGGATATCAAACTTGGTGTTAAGATTTAATGTTATATTTTAATCTGTATAGAAGTAATAAATAGTTCTACCTGATCCAGAGTGTCTATTTACAAAAACAACAACAATAAAAAAAACTAGAGTAGGACAATATTATAGTAGTTAAGAGTTCAGCATCCCAAGACAGGATGCCTATATTAAATTCCAAGTCAACAATCTATGAGTTGTATAAACCTGGGCAAGTTAACTTACTTCTCTGTGCTTATTTGAGAGTGATAATTCTATCTACCTTGTAAGGTTGTTTTGAAAACTAAATCATATAATACACATTATCACTTAGGACAGTGTCTGGCATATAGAAAACATTCAATAACATGTTAGCTATTATTTAAATATCAACAATCATTGTTCCTTATAATTACAGTTTCATATTTACAAAATCACATCATAGGATACACTATTAACCCTTTGCACTCGGATGTCGAGTGTGACTTGACACGGTTAGCAAAAATTATAGAGATGAAAATTACTCTTTGAATGTATCAATAATTTGAAATATAAAAAAAATCCAAATAAATAAATTTGTATAAAAAGAAACTCCAGTTTTTTATTCTACTGCTGTACTTTGTAAAATCTGGGGTATTAAAAAAATTAAATCCCGAGTAGAATAAAGGAATTGAGAAAAAAGCGAGTACAAAGGGTAAATAAAAAGGGCAAAATGTTTACGAGAGTCTATTCTGTGCGCAGCAACATTGAGATAACTGGAGATTAAAATAAGACGCGATTCTTGATGATACGCAACATGATCTCAGTGAGATCAAGCAAAGGGAGGCAGTAGTTAGGTCAGCTCTCCTTCAAGTTCCGTGTAGCACCTCTTTTGGTCCCAGTTTTTCTAGATGCAAGTGCACCATTTGTAAGATCCAAGAAGGCAGGATGTCTAGCTGTATTGTGAGCCACATTTCTCGAAATCTTATGTAAAGGAAGACTATTTGTTGCTTCATGTGGCTGCTATGCTGTTGGGTTAATGAGGCCACAGTAATGGGTCCAAATCATACAAAGGCTGACTGGCTTCTCTTGATTACTACCTAGAAAACAAGGCTGCTCGCTTGTTACTTAGAGAACGACCAATCTGAGCTTAGTTATCCTTACTGCTCAAATACGGCAACCTTTCATCTATCTCAGGAATGCTGCACAAAAAGTAAAATAAAAAGGAACAGGTATACTAGTGAGATGTAAAATAGATCATAAATTGAAAAATATTTTTGGTAAATTTGCTCGACATTTAGAAGGAAAATGATACAAATGCATTTTTTGTGTGCCCAGGAAAGTAACACAGGATCAATTTTTGAATTCATGTTTATAAAACTCAGGTCATTGTTAATGCACTTGTGTATTGGTTTATGACCATTTTTAAATTCTCATATACATAGTAGAAAATGTAATGTGGTGATCAGAGAGGAAGACTAAGATGAATGATTAGAACACAAGACAGTGGAGTGCAATAGGAACTAGGCATAAATATTAAAATGACTTTAGTCCCCACTAATTCTCTCTGAACATCAGCTTCTGGCTTTCTGTTCTGAGCATCTGTGCAACAACTTCCAGCTATTGCAGAACAAGAACATACAGTAGTATGTTGAGCTGTGATGCTCAGGTCTATGATTTTACAGAGTTAATGGACAAGAATTATTATTGGCCATGATGCATAAGATCTTGAAAACTATAGTTTCATATATTTTGTCTGATTTTTTAGTTGATACAGGCAGGTGGGGAAATCAGTTCCTTTTATTCCATCTTGGCCAGAAGTAGAAGTCAACAAATGACAATTTGAATAAATGTTTAACCATATAATAAGAGTCATAAATTCAAAAAGTACGAGGAGAAAAAGAAGGAAAGCAAATAAAGAAATGTAAACAACTAAGGGGCTTATTGTTCTTATGTAGAAAGAAGTCCTAAAGTAGAGAGCACAAAGTTGGTTGGGGTGGCTCCATAACACCACTGGCTGCTCCCATCTTTTTCTCAACCATCTACAAAACATCTGTTGCATGGTAGTTGCAAACCCATTGCAACTCCATGTCCAGCATGCCTACATTCCAAGAAGGAGTAACAAATGACGAGAAACAAGATGTTTGTATAATCCAAATGTGTAAGTTAAAAAACAAACACAAAAAAGCCTGGGTTTCTATTAATAGCTAGTGATTTATGCTTATAATCTTATTGGCCAGAATTATATCACATGGCCATCCCTAGCTGTAAGGGAAGCTGGAAAATACAGAAATATAGTTTTTGAACTAGGGAATATTGCTGCTCCAAATAAAAGTGGGTTCTGAAAGAATGAATAGGATATCTTGTGATACTATTTAGTAGTAGTCTGACACAACTACTCAAAGTATTTTTCAATCATGTCAAAATTATCTTAGTTTATCAACTTGGGAGACAGAAGAAGGGTAATGATTAGAAATAACAATTGAAACCTAATTTCAGTTTCTAATATTCTCTATTAGAAAATTTAAGATCAATGGATGAACTCTTAACAGGAGAAATGTGTGTATATCATATAAACTTCATATACATATAATAAGTTATAGAGTTACAAGTATTATACCAAATAAAGTATTTTAGGACTTTTAGGTAAGCCAAATAATAGTTAATTCAATGAGGTCTAAAACAAACTATTTATTCCTGCTTTAACATTCAAATAACTTAATGTTAAGCAAACTACTTTCTATGTGCTAGGCACTAACAAAAACCTATTGAAATATGTACTATTATCTCCATCTTGTAGTTAAGAA